TGAAAATATATTATCAAAGAAAGACATATTTTGTTATTTACCTATAATTATAGTTACTATGATTAGTGAATGATTCAAAATTCAATGGCTCTCTAATAATGCTAAATCAAACCAACTTACTAATTTAATGTCATTCAATAATAATATCAATATGTTTGTCATATGTACAAAATCACTAAAAAAAAAAAACACTCATCATTATAGTTATTTTGTGTGGAGATATAGAATCAAATCGATTTGCTTTTATGTATTTGACCCATTAAACTTAAATCTTTTTTCTTCTTACTCTCCTTATATACAGTAAAACCCCGTTTAACCGAAATATGGGGGTCGGTAACGTTTCGGGTAACCCATTTTTTCAGTTTATCAATGGTCGGTCATTTAAATGTTCTTTCGGTACTGAAAGATCTACAAAAGTCATGTTTTTACTTTTTAATGATATTTTAAGTACATGCTTTCATCTTAAAATCTAAAAATGAACACACAGATTTATTTCTCAAAATAATCGACAGATTTCTTCTAAACTTTGTGTTCACAACAGTCTCTGGCAGTTTTGTCTCTCCATCTCTTGATTAGCAGAACATCGGCAGGCGTTGAGTCATTTGTTGTCATCCGTTTTAGGTTCCCTTGAACCCAAAAATGTGGTTTTTTAAATCAAATCAAATCAAATCCACTTTATTGTCACATAGAAACATTTGTACATAGCAAAGCTATTAAACTGGTGACATTGTCAATTCAATATAAACCTAAAAATACAATTAAGTTACAGAACATTTTTGTCTGACTCTAAAACAACAATTACATATAACAATGCTGCTTAATTTTGTAAAAAGTCACTTACAGAGTAAAATACTTGGTTTAAAAGATAACTTTTTAGAGTATTCTTAAAACTCTTTAAACGGATTTGGCTTTTAATGTTTGTCGGTAGATTATTAAAGAACTTCATACCCATGTAACTAGGGCCCTTTTCATAGATTGTTAAGTTATGTATTCGGTATTGAAAATTTTCTTTGCACCTTGTGTTGTATGCATGTAAATGCTGCTGTCCACAAAGAAGATCAAAATTCTTCTGAATGAACAGTAAGCATGAATATATATAGAGAGAGGGAAGGCTCAATAATCCTAACTGTTTAAAGATTGGCTTGCATGAGACTCGTGGCCGCGAAAATGTCATAATGCGAACAATTCTTTTTTGAAACTTGAATATTTTTTTCCAATCAGCTGATGAACCCCATAGCTCAATTCCATATTTCATAATGGAATAAAAATAGGCAAAATAAACCATTAATCTAGTTTCCAAATCAGTTCTATCCCTTAACACAAGCATTTGGAAACAAGCAGAATTCAGTTTATTACCGAGTATTGTTATGTATTTTTTCCAGTTTAAATTTTGGTCAATTGTTAATCCCAAAAATGTATTCTGTATTTTAGATGTAATTTCAGTATTTAAAAACTCAACTGCAAATGTTGTAGGGTCATTACTTTGTGCTGTTTGAAATTTCATCAGATTTGTTTTTTCACAATTTAGTTTAAGTCCACTAGTACGAAACCATACTTCAAATCAAATCAAATTATCTTTATTCACTTTATACATTTTATATACATGAATAGTGTCAAAGCATACAACATTAGTTATAAAACTTAATCTAAATGGCATCTTCAAGTTCCTCCTTAAGTGATGTATGTGTGGACGTGTACAGAGCTACAGACCACACCTGGGGTTCGATTTTGATTACATTTTGTATGTAGGTACCTATGGTATCTCCAAGTGTTTATTTTTTAAATATTGATTTTTAATGGTGATTTTCCTATAGAAACCCATAAAATAACAAAATAATTGAATTTTCTCAAAAAGGTCTTGAACGATTTTGATAAAAATTTTACCTGCAACCGTTTTTAACTAGCCCTTTGAATTCAGTTCTTAGAATTAAAAGGTTCACTTTTCAAGCTTGTTTTTTTTTTACTTTACAAACACTAGTAGCGGACCAATGAGATTCAAGGATTGAGAGACAAGAAGTAAAATCGTAATGCTTTGAATGTCAATTTATCTGCTGTTAAGACCAATTTAATTATTGTTAATGAGTTGTGCAATGAGTGGTTGGTACAATGAGTCGTTGCATCAATATCACTTTCAATGAGAGGTTATATTAAAAATCATAACCTCTCTTTGAAGTTGTGAGTAGTGATTCTTAGTAATAAACAAATGACACAAAATGACACAAATGAAACAAATTGGTGAAGTGCAAACTTGTGTAAATAGACTTTAAAAAATCGCGTAAATAGAACTGGCGATCTTAACTCTAAAAAAGGTGATATAACGCAGATATATCCATCACTCTTCATTCAATGCCAAATAAAATTTTATACCATTATCATAACCCAACCTGCTTGGTTATTTATTTATTATTCCTAATATAGTAACTGTGTTTTAACCTCTAAGTACACAATTATTGATCTCGTCGATTTTTAATTTGTAAAGGGTGATCCAGGGGTACGTTCCTTCAGAAAATGTTAAAAATTTAGGAACAAAATGGTTGATTTTACATATTTTTGTACTTTAATTAGCTTTGTCAATTTTATGTTTTAATTGCAAAATCTAAAAATGGTTAATAGGTCTCATAGGGGGCTTGAGCCCTCCCTAGCTCATATAAATGGACGCCCATGCCAGAGCTACTTCTATTGGTATTGACAGAAATGCTAGTGATAGAGCTGCAAGTTCTCTGTCTTTGGTGTCTAGTCATGCCACCCTTGCCAATAGGCCTGCGGTTTGCATGTGATGTGCTATGGGCCCGAGAGATATTTGTGCCCCTCCCCTTCTTTGCGAGGAACTTTTGTCTTCCTAGTGCCCCCCAACAAACCCGAAACCTCTTGCGCCCTTAGGCCCGGGCCCATTAACTAAAGTGACCCTGCTCCCCAGGTCTAATAATCACTGCCATTGAAACAAGAGATTTTACATTTAACTGATTCTTTATCATTATGGTTTGTTTAGGATGCTCCCTGGAAAATACCTTCTAAATGTAGCATGGATAAAACAGAATATCTGCAAGCCTGTTGAATACTACAGGCTGATATAAATAATTGTGTTGTTTAAAGTATTTCCCCTCCTCTAAAAAAAAACCAAAAAACAAAAATTCATACAAACGCAGGGCTAATAAAGACATTTTTATCCATTTATTCATTTGTAACCATTTGGCTACCTAGAATTTAAAAAAAGTCTTTGATTAGTTATCCTTCTTTATTCAATTACATTCTTATTGTCTGAACGCAACGTTAGACAACAAAAAACAATTATAGGCTACAACTGCACATACCTTGTACAAGCAGATATATTATTGCTTAATTATGAACCCTATACTCCGTGGATTAAGTGATTTAAATATTAATATTTTTATCTAGTTTACCCTCAACTAACAAACATACCAGTACTTATAAGACTCAATTAGAATTTATTAATGACATTAATCTTATTACAGTAATAGGCAACGTCAAACAGTACAACACATAGTGTTGTATGTAGCAGTTTTTGAGTGTTTCAACTTAGTAGTCCAGTCAAGGAATGAGGTGTAGAGTGCGTGAGCAGGTAACTAAGCGATTCCTTCAGAAACTTGTTCAGGGGGCTTAGGGTGTTAACATACCAAAAGTCCTGACTCCTAGGTGGTGAGCCAGGGGGTGGAGGGGGGAAAAAGGGGGGGAGAAAGGTACGCATTTTGGGTTTTTTGATTATATCTCGAAAACTATCAACTTTTTGTATACTATAGTAAATTATAAAATTGAAGATGATTAAATTTTCTACAAGAAAAGTATATAATGTGTTTATTTTGGTTCAACAGATTACGAGTTATAACTTATTTAATTGATATCTTATTAAAATACTCCTTCCATAAGAAATACATGTAAATTAGTATGCGAAATGGGGCGAATCCTATCCGCCCAAAGGAAATATAACTGATATTCTGGAAATCTTGACAAAATTTCCAGTAATTTGACACTTTAATCATTAAAATTGATCCAAAATTAAGGCGAGGGCGAGGTAACAAAATGTCGAGGTTTGGTGTTTTTTTATTGGAAATATAAAAAAAAACCTTAAATCATCCCATTTTTAAACGCTCACCCTCGCTTTAATTTTTGACAAAATTTCATGATTAAAGTGTCAAATTACTGGAAATTTTGTCGAGATTTCCAGAATATCAGTTATATTTCCTTTGGGCGGATAGGATTCGCCCCATTTCGCATACTAATTTACATGTATTTCTTATGGAAGGAGTATTTTAATAAGATATCAATTAAATAAGTTATAACTCGTAATCTGTTGAACCAAAATAAACACATTATATACTTTTCTTGTAGAAAATTTAATCATCTTCCCTTGCTAGGTTTAGTGAGGTTATTGCACAGTTGATTTTTCAAAGAAAAGTACAGGAATTCGGTTTTATCTTCATTTAAGGTTAGATTGTTGGCTGAGTACCATGACTTAGCGGTTGACAAGGCATTGTTGAGTTGAGTTTTTACACCAAATTCAGTTTTTGCAGATACTACAAAAGTTGTGTCATCAGCAATACTTTGTTTTTTCCTAGCCATCCAATGTTAATTTTTAAGTAGGCCTTTCCCCCAATCACTGCCATAGACAGGTTCACTAGTCTTAGTTGCACATCAAAGTATCAATTTAAAATAAATCTCCAAAACAAACAAAAACACTTTATATAGGAGTTGTAATAACTAGACTCAATTTACTTTATTTATTTGCTTTAATATCACACTTTACAATGATTTTTACAATGAATTTTTTTTTTTACAATGAATTTATTAGACCAAAATTTTAATTTAATTGAAAACAGTTTATTAGGTTTCCTAAGATTGGTGTATTCAAACTTACTGTAAAACTATTAAAAAGACATTCAAGTCCAAGTATAACAAAATCTATAGTAAAAAAAAATATTCCAATATGTATTTGAATACAACATTTTAAAATTATGTTACTACAAGTTATAATTTTAACAACACACACTTTCTTACAACTGAAGATTAATTTGCCTGCGGTTGTTCTTTTCAATTTAGTTCAAAGGACTCTGAAACATTCCTTTGATTGGAGGGTCCGGTTTGTGTACTTTGCGCTGAGGTACTTCATCCTCAAAATGTACTTTAGCTGGCTCCTGAAGTAGTCTGTGTTGTAGCAAGTCTGGAGAAGGATCTTGCAAAGTTTTGCGGGGAGTGGGAGCCGAGAAGAAGAGTGGAGGGGACGTTCCATGATTCAAAAGGATTCCTGCTTCAATGTCTGCGCTATCGCCGCTCAATTTTGGAAGTTGGTACTTATGATTTTTGCACATAATTATAGCATTTATAGCTATCGGTTGAACCGTAAAAATGAAGTTTAAGATCAGGATGCTCCCGGACAGGTACAGCAGCGCATGTACTGGAATAGTACATAAAGTATGAATTTCATTATTTTAAACTAACTTATATTATGAAAATAGTTTTACGGTAGAGTCTCAATTATCTGACCTAAATTGGCTGTGTTGAGGCCATATGAGCAAAAAGGGTGTATAACAAAAATACTCCTTGCCGCAACAAACCTTCAGACTAAAAGAATTTCCATTTGCCTGATTAGGTTTTCACTAAAAAATTTCCTTAAAAATGCCAGATGTGTTCCCTTCTAAAATAACATTAGCTACGCAGTTTAATGGTTAGTTAGGTTTGCTGTTACAGGGAAGTTAATAAAGTATATTTTTTTACTAAAATATTAATAGCTTAGTATAAAATAAATAAATTTACTAAGTTTCATCAAATTATATCCAGAAGCAAGTAAACTACAATAGTTTACCTTAATCTACAGGTTAAAATACCTTTAATCCGTCAATGTGATCAAATGTCACCGATGAGCGGCGACCGGTTTCAGCCCAGCTGTGGGGCCATCTTCAGGCGATAAAGGAACATAAATTCACTCCGAAGAGGTCGTCATAAAGTCTATAAATAGGTCACGAGAAACAACACATAAATAAATTTTTTACAAATACACTTGTGGCCACAAATTAACAAATTAAGTTGCTAGTCCAGACTGTCGTCACTGCCGTCTTGTCCATCTGCCATCCCCCTCCCCCAGTTCTTATCAGGTCCTTTCCGTGTTGTTACTATCCTTTTAATGTCGACAGCAATGAACAATATTAAAACAGTAGTCGGCATTGAAAGGATAGTAACAACACGTAAAGGACCTGATAAGAACTGGAGGAGGGGGAGGGGGATGGCAGATGGACAAGACGGCAGTGACGACAGTCTGGACTAGCAACTTAATGTACGCGTACCGTCTGCCGCGCAGTTAATTTGTGGTCACACATGTATTTGTAAAAAAAGTATTTATGTGTTGTTTCTTGTGACGTATTTATAGACTTTATGACAACCTCTTCGGAGTGAATTTATGTTCCTTCATCGCCTGAAGATGGCCCCACAGCTGGGCTGAAACCGGTCGCCGCTCATCGGTGACATTTGATACCATACCAACCCAGAATCATTAGTTGCCAAACACCTTAAAAGTAATCCGAATCATCATATTTCATTTCCTGAATCATTAACAATCCTAAAACGTAAAAATTCTAAATCATTAGCTAAAATCCAAGAAAGCTACCATATTTATAAACATTTTCATAGTTCAAACCAGATACCCTTCTAAACAAAAAAGAAGACTACAACAATTTGATAATTTTCAAACTCATAAACCAACTAGAAGTACAATATGACAACGCCGCAGAGACTTGGCAACATCGCAGTCTTAGAAGAGAAAGCTCTAGTATCATAAACTCACCCCATCCCCTAACCTACCAACACCTCAAAAAGCGAGTACAAGGACAACAGCCGGGCAGTCGGACAGTGACATATGTAGCGCTCCCGGACCGCTCACGCACTCGTGCTCACGGAATTCCACGCTCGCGCCATGAATCGTTTGCGAATGTAAATAAGTGTAAATAAAAAAGGATGGTGCGCTTTTTAGTGACTAAGTGATGTGAGAAGAAACAAGACAGCTCCTGATGATGCCACACTTGTGGCAAAATGTACATAGAGAGCGTTAACTTATTAATTCATCAAGAACCTGGCAATCAAGAGGTAAACATCATAATTAATTATCATCTCCTTAAGAGAGCCAACGATTGTTCAGTAGCATAGTGGTCATGACAACAATGGAGATTGTTTAAATCTTACCTGGAGAGATACCATTCTCCTCCAAGAAGTCAGCAATTTTCTTCCCAATGTCTGGTTTAGGCGTTATGTCCAGAATGTTCTCAAAGACAGCTGCCATAATTTTGTAGTAGGCAAGAAACCTCACGGAAATTGTAAAAAACATGAAGCTCATATCCATGTATAATCTGAAAACCAGAATTTAAACTAAATAATGTTTAAAAACTTTGGCTACCAATCGCCACATATATGCAACACTGTGGTCATTGCCACGGACAAAGGTATACATTTTAATATTACACATGAGACCGGGTGTCACTTAGTTAACAGTACACGCAGACCGTGGGCCAGTGATGCAGCAAATGCCAATCATATGCCGTCACTAATCATCATATCCACAGGCCAAATGACGCACATGTGCGTAGACATCTGCAGAGAATTCAGGGCTCTCAAATAGATAGACCGTTACAAAGATATCAGTTTTTTAACACATTAGAACACCAATACAAATATGCGACGTCAGTCTATATTAATATGAACTGCCATTGCAAACAACAATGAGTATACTACATTACTCTTGCGGTAGTGAATGTGTGTTAACATAATAGTTTTTCAAACAATACTAGTCCCCTTGGTGAAGCCGCAATGGTAAAGGCTCAATTATTCAGAGCGAGTTCACAAGCTACTGGTTACTTTTTTGCACGCAGCTCGTAATCTAGCCCAGTGTGATCGCTCCACTTGCTCAAAAGCTGTTATTAAAATAGCTCTGGAAAAAGTTGACTCCGCCAGTGACTTTAGAGAACAAATTGGCTTTAGAGGATCCGAATCCACAACATTGCTGCCTTAGGCCCAATGTCCGTGGCGCTCCCGACTGAGCCACCAACTCACTTAAGAGACTTTCCCTGTGTAATTGAGCTTTATGACTTTGTCTTGAGTCAGAATCGTTATAGCTTTATTAAGATCCTTTCAAATTTGGAACCCCTATGTTTTAACATAAGTTTATTTTATCAACAGCTACCGTACTATAATGCTATCTCTAGTCATGAACTTGTACATTACCAATGAAAAGTAGGATTAGTCTTGAAGATATGGAAGGAATCGGATAATATAGGGAGTTCTATGTCCTTTGCGCTGAAAACCTTGCTATATTTCTTCCTGGCTTAACTTGTAAACTCGCCCTGTGTAATTGAGTTTTTTGACTGAGTCAGAATCGTTATAACTTTATTAAGAACCATTTAAACTTGGAACCCCTAGATTCAAACCTAATAATGTTATATGTAGAAAAAAATTGCAATGTTTATTTTAAATATTTTATGCTATCCCAGTTTTAAGAACTTGAATTATATTAGATTTACCCCAGCTTATGTGGCAACTTCATGGATATTCTTAATTGCTTATCACTAACACTATAGTTTATACTATATTTAAAAAAAAATATTTACACACAAGGTTATTAGTATCGCAGTCAGGTCACTAGACTAGTCACCGTGTGTGTGTAAATATTTTCGTAAATACAGTATAAACTATAGTGATTGTAAGTGATTAAGAAGGCCTCTGAAGATGCCACACAAGAGTGTCATCAAAATGCATAGGGTAACATAAATATCTTACCTACAAGAACTCAATAAACAACAGAGGTAAATGTAATAAAAAGTTTATTTTATCATTAGCTACCATAAACCCCTCACCATAAAGTCATACTTAGTCATTAACTAGTAAATTACAAGTAGGCCTACAGTTATGAGTAAACACTTTGTTTATTACTTTAGTTCCACCACAAAACTGTAATATTTAAAATACAGAACTTAAAAAGTCTAATTCAATAAACAAAGAACAATTCAATACCGGTACCAAACTTTTTAGTAAATTACATTTCAGATTAGAAACATCAAACTTGAAAGTAATCCAAATACTTATTCTAATTGCCACTTACCTTTTCTATATCTGATGTAAATTATGACAGTAACAGAACTATAACAAGAAAGTAAAACCAAATCAAGTCACAGTTGTTGGTCTGGTCACGGCTGATCCTCAACTGAGCACAGAGCAGTGGAGGTAAGACAATGACTCATGTGAGTGACAGGTAGACGGAGAGGGGAAGGGGAGGTAGAATGCCAGCTCAGCAGCCTAAAACTATGTGATAAAGCCAAGAAAATACCCTTAGCATTACTATAACCCTTTAGATTTGTTAACAAACAAGCGATAACTTACTGCCAAGTTAGCCAGTGTACACAAGCAACCAAGGAATAAATTCAAGAAGAAAGATTTTTTACTGTTGAACTAGAACTTTTAAATGGATGAATTTATGTAAAATGTGACAGCATTTACTTATGTACAAGTAAAGATTTTATTCTATGATAAAATATGATGCCTGCTTTTTATGTGTTTTAATTCATATTGGTGATTTTGAAAGCTATTACCGACAGAATGTTCACTCCCTTATTTTAGGAATGATTTAATGATTTGTGCTTTACTGTTTGGTTTTGAGAAATGAAAGAGAGAACTGTTGTTTAGAATTAGATCAAAAGATTTGGTTAAAATAGTTGTGAAATGTGTGAAATAACAAGGCGTAGTCAATAAAAAACCGCCTTCTGCACGTACCGGTCAGAACTAACGTTAAAATTGTATTCAACTAATCTATATTGTGATAAATCTTATAGGGAGAATGTTCAAGCTTTGGTGATAGTTTTTATGTATATTAGAAAAAAATTACACTAACAAATTTATATCACTCTAAGGTATACTTTTAATTTTTATTCTTTTGGTATGATGATTTGGAATCGGCATAACTCGCTGGCTATTATGGGACTATAAGGAGGTTCTGGCTTCAATTTCCACAATCTATAACTTACAGGAATTTTAAATATACTTTTTGTTGCTGAAAGATACACATTTCACTAAATACATACTTACTACTAATTAAAATTTAACACACAATTGTATTTTATTCCAATTATAGAAGAGAAACTATAACCATAGATGACATGTTTAGTAAACCCATGGTCATTAAAACTTTAAGCTCTAAAGACTACGCACATGCAATCAGGCCCGTTTTTGACCCTGTTTCAACACCCTAGGCACAACTAATAGTAGCGCCCCTATGCAATATATATAACAGGGTGTCCACCGACCGGGAGATCCGGGTATTATGCGTGAGTTTTTTTAACCGGGATATATACGTGAATATCTACCTGGAATTTTCAATTTATCGCAATCCCGCATGACAACAGTGACGTTTCCATGACCGCGGGAGACGATAATATGTCTACACACGGCCGCGAGGGATGATCAGAATTTTATGCGATCACAGAAGATGATAATGTCCACACGACCGCGGGAAAAATCAAGAATTTTGCTGCGATTGCGGAAGACGATAATGATCTCCACTCTACTGCGGGATATGATTAACATTTTGCCGCGCGAGACGATTACGATATCTACAGGACCGCGGGAGATACAATAATGAATTCTAAACGGTCGAGATGGACGATGAAAATGTTCACATGACCGCGGGAAAAGATCAGAATTTTGCCTCATTCGCGGAAGATGATGATCTCCACATGACCGTGGGAGATGATAAGCATTTTGCCACAGTTGCGGGAGGCGATTACTATGTCAAACGACCGCAGGGCTTAATAACCCTGCCCCAGGGTAATTAACCACCACCAGGTTAATACCAGAGTAATAATTGACCGCAGGGATATAATGATGTCTTCACAGCCGCAAGGGGTGATCAGAATTTTATCAAACTAATTTGGATTTTGTGCTCATGCGATGATGATAAATGAAATAAAAAACTATAGTATGCAAAATCAATTCACTGAACCATCTTTGGGGACAAATGGTTAAGATTTTTTAAAGATGCACAATCATCTTTAAAAAATCTTAACCATTTGTCCCCAAAGATCACATCAAATTAAAGGTCTTTATTAGTAGAATACAATGTCGTAAATTTGAGCTAAAAAAACAACTGAGTAAAAAATGACAGCCGTTCAAATATTCAAAATGGCAGATTCAAATAATATAAAAACGGCTACCATTTTTGACTATGTTGTGCGAGTGATTTCAGATTTGCGGCATTGAGTTCTACCAACCAAGACTTTTAAATTGATAACAAACTTGACATATGTTACTATTTAGGAATAACTGTGTCTGACTCCTCGTGGGCCGTCCCCCCTAAGGAATACAAATTTAATAATAGCTAAAAAGAGTAGATATTTATGGTTATTATTAATCTATTAATATAATCGCATTGATTATATATTAACCAAATTGCATTACTTTAACTATAATGGTAAAATATGTTACACCTTTCCGGGACCAACCACACTGTATTACTGTATATGTATGTGTGTTGGTGGATACATACTTTTAAAACTTGTGGCTAATTCTGAAACTGTGAGGAAGGGAATAATCAATAATATTTTCAGCCATACCACAGTGGCGTGATACTCTTAGAACATTGTCAGCAGATATTGCTTTGTCTCGGTATAATCAGTTATAGACTAAACACTACCTTATCTGTGGCATATTTAGCATCAGCATTCCTTTCAGCTTACCGATACCTGTATTTGTTAAACTAAAGTTAAAGATAACTTGACCACTTTAATGCTTTGCACACTGATCTCAATTATACCAGAAAATATTAGGTACTGTTGGGTTTTGTATTTATTAGCTTAATATTTATACTTGGATAATATTTTAAATGATGCTTAAAATGGTTTACAATACCTGCATATAGTAATCCTTTGTTGCTGATTTAGGCAACTAGTTTCGGTTCTTGTTTTGAACCATCTTCAGGCCTCAAGGTGTCTAAGTGATCACTTCATTCGAAGGTCGTTAACAGAATTCAATAAATAAAACATATACAAAACACGATACACGGAACGGACACACATTACAAAAAACACGAAAAACACGAAGGGACATTGACAAACGATCGTGACCGGGCTGAGGTAAAGTCTAGACTGGTGGTCAAAGTGGTCTAGATCTCTTTGGTATTGTAAACCATTTTAAGTATAATACAGTAATCCGGAGGCTAAACAACTATTTTTAAAATTTAAATGATGCTTTGTACTTGTATTGTGATATTACTAGTATAGGTTCATATCAATGGAATAAGTAAATTAATAATGATACCTAAGGAGAAGTTATTTTCATAAAACGTGTATCTATAGTTTTAAATTTATTTTGTACAAATGGAGATTTAATAAACTTAATTGCCACAACATTTTTATTACAATTTATATTTTGACTGCAAATTATACTATTTCCCTTAAGTTTGTATTGTGTTTTCTACGCCAATGGCATTTTTTACGTTTTGAAAGGGAACGGTCCAAACCCTGGTCTTGTTTCTATCTAATGTCAAACTTTTTTAGATAGCGGCTTTTTAATTCGCCCAATGACAAAAGGCATCTGGGTTCTGAAATGGATGTCGCTTGGAATTGAACCAGCACTCCTGTATAAATAATTTTTAAGAAAGTCATATTCTAAATCTGTTTGAAAGACATGAAAATACAGCATGTAGGCATAAGTGTGATAATGGTGTCTAAAAGATATTGCCTTATATCTTGAATGGTTTTCTTTGAATATCAAAATTTCTCCTGGAAACGAGGTATCTCTAACTCAGGTTTTGTGGTACCGTATTGAAAAGATCATTGTGACTTATTTATTGACATTTTAAAGAGTGTGGACCAAGACACTGTAATGTTTGTTAACCATTTAAAGTCATTTAACCATCAATGTTTAAATAAATTTCCAACTAGAAACAAAAACTGTATTGATAATAAGTTACTGAATTAGATAATAGCATTGACTATATACCTAAAATATCAAGCAGCGACAAATTTAACGTAGTTGGTAGGGTAAAAACGTCTGATAAATAGTCATGGTCTCTTCTTGAATAAAATACGGAGTAATTAGTCCTTGGTAACATGTATGTTAAAGAAAAAAAATGCTCAAACTTCAATCAATTGTAAGCCTCGAATACAAATTTTAAAAATAAAAATTTGCGTGACCAGCAGGGCTAGGGCAGGCTCCGGTGAGACAACATACACTTTTTTCAAAAATCAGATTCTTCGTTATTTGATGAGTTTAAATGAGATATTAACATAAGTCACCATAACCTTTGAACCATAATTTTTACAGCAATGGGAGTTGTACCATTTTGTTCAGAATTTATAGGACTATACAATACTGGAGTTTTATTAAAATCATTCAGAAAAAGTTTGAAAAAATTAGATTTTTCTGTTATTTTATGTGTTTTTTTATGGAAAAATTACCATTAAAAATAGAAATAAAAAAAAAAAAATAAATACCAGGAGATACCATGTATTAGTACCTACATACCAAATTTTATCAAAATCGGACTACAGATGGTCTGTAGCTTTGTACACATCCACATATACAGACAGACATAAATTCGAAAACCACTTCTTTGGGTTCATGGGGACCCGAAACAAATTTATCCACTCAAAACTGAAACTTGAAAATTTTGACGAAAACAATACTTTCTCCGTATTGTTCTCCGTACGATATAGGGGGAGAAAGTAAAAATAACATAACACTGAATAACTACTACATAGAAAAAGTACCCCCGCAACAGCAAACCTGCAGACTAAGCAAATCTCCATATGCCTGATTTGATTTTCAATTAAATCTATTTCAATAACCTTAGGTTTGACTAGTAGGTTTGCTGCTACAGGGAGGGTAATAAAGTGTGTTTTTTAGTAAAACATTAATAGCTTAGTATAAAATAAATACAGTAGATTTGCTAAGTTTGATAAAAATTAAAAATATACCCAAAAACAAGCAAACTACAACAGTTTATACTTATTCTCCATAAGAATAACATGGGAATTTTAAATTTACAATTTTTTTAATTTTATCCGTAACCAATAACCATACAAAATCACTTCAATATTCTAAATTATTTGGCTTTTAAGCTTTTCAAATGTGGTCTAGAGAGAAATTGGGAATTCTATGTTTTGAGAGTCAAAAACGAGAAAAACCAATTTATACCTCATAAATCTCCCAATAATGTTCCCATGGTCGGATCATGCTAGTCCTCAAACTCGTTGGTATAAACATAAGTTTACACGTTTGTACCAAATTTAATCGAAATCGGATAATTTTTGATAGAGTTATCGTGCTAATGCACACACACACACTATACAATATATCAGGGTGTTCAAAAAAGGTGGGTACATAATTTACGTAGTGATTCCTTGGGTCAAAATAAAGAGAAAATAAGAATAACATTTTTTCCAAAATCACTTCGTTAACCAGAATCCGCCATTTTGTTTTTTTACATAAATATTTTTATCTTTGATTTTTTTTTTCAAGCAATTTAATGAAACTTTGTGTGTATGTTAAAATAGAAGAGACCCATTTTGGAAATTTGTTTAAACTTAAATTACTAAAGAATGAGGGTCGCCGTAATTTTATCCCCCTGGAATTTTACCCCCAGGGCAAAGCTGACATCACTCTGTGATGTACAGTAGAACCTCTTTAATCCGAACCCCTGTAATCCGAACGTCCACTAATCCGAACGCCTCATTGCTGTACTCTATACACAGTACAGTAGTTCTTCATTGTATACTGTATTTATTGATATGCGCACTATAGTTATTTCAATTGTAATGTATAGCACTGTTTATTCCCTATGTTTACTACTGTATTAAATAAAACTGTATTTTACTTTATAAAGCATTTTTCACTTTTCCCTAGCTTTGTTATGTAAAAACAACAATATGTTCTGTAATCCGAACTATTCAATAATCCAAACTACCCCCGGTCCCAATTAGTTCGGATTAAAGAGGTTCTACTGTAGTAACCTGAGCGCTCAAAAGATTGTTCGCGGGCGGAATTTTACCCCCGCTGATTTGGAAGTCTAATGAAAATAGACAGAGTGTGATTAATTAGATTAGCGATAAAAACCAGAATTTTATCCCCTGTCCAGATAACAAGCGTTTAGACAACTGAAGATGTACGGGTCAGATTTTTACCCCCGGAATTTTACTCCCTGGCCGGATATAGACATTATTAAGAATGGTTGATTTTCTTATTTCTATTTTTATTTCATTGTAAACATTTTATTATTAAGTACCGGTAGCCTATCTTTGTTTATTTATCTCGTAATCTCAACTGGTATTGTTCTTTGGGGATCCAATTCCAAAACAAAAGAAACTTCTCAATGCACAGAAATTAGTGGTGAGGACAATGGCCAAAGTTTCCAAAAGAAAAAGCTGTAGATCATTATTTAAAAAATTTGGAATTTTAGCAGTAACAGGTATATATTAGAAATTTTCAAGTTACTCTACAATAATCAGGACAGCTTTGATAAGTTTAAATTTAACCATAACTATTACACACACCACTCACACTTATATCCACACCATAGACTTTCTCTGTATGAAAATAGTCCAAATTACATGGCAATCAAAATTTTTAACAAGCTATCAAAAACCATAAGCAAAAATTCATCAAAAAATACCTTCAAAACCTTACATAAATTATTACTGGAAAAATCTTACTATAGCATTGAAGAATTTTTTCTGGATAATTTTGAAGGGTAAGTTGTGCCATGGTTTAAGAAAGAGTCCTCAATTATTATTATTTTTATTTTATTATTTTTTTGTTATTTATTTTATTTTTTTTTTGCTGTAATAGAATTATATACAGGACAAAGCCTATCCTAACTTCTTAACGATCCTGTTCAAGGCTTTAGTTTGTCAGCTGCTTGAGTACGCCTCTGTGGTCAGGTCCTACCTCCTCGGTCGAATCAATATCTTCAATCAGTCCAGAGACGCTTCGTTAGACATCTTGGTTGCCGCACTGGGTTCAACTTCATGGATGTCCCGGTCAAGGCAATATTTGCTGCTAATGGACTCCCACGCTTGGATTATAGAAGAAAAGTTGCTAATATGCCTCCCTCTTCAAGCTTAATAACCAGATCAGCTGCCCATTTCTGCTGGAGAGGAACAATCTTCACGTTCCCAGAAGAACCAGGCCTGTCTTTGTTAATAAGAGCATTAAATACTGAATAAGAATTAAAATTTTGTCTTGACCTGTTCTTTTTCTGTGTTCCAAAACATTTGTAATTTCAACTTCATATCAACGAGCTGATGATTCCATGCCACTTTTGTTGTGTAATATGTCCTAACACGCAAATATTTGAGCTGATCAACGGTTGGTAAGTAATGAATTATTACTCACAGCTCAGTTTTTTCTACTCTACTACTGACAAAGGAGAACCACACCACGGTATATCCAATGAGCTGGTGAATGTTGGCTGGGTATCAACACGTGGGCTACATAGTTTGCTCGATCAGCTGTTTCATACAGAGGACAACTGTACCGGTGCCTGGACTCTTCCTTCCTCTCTGACTTGAGTATTGGCTTGAACCATATCTCAGGCATCTTACTAATGAATTCCCTTGGAGGCTGGTCTTCCAAAATTGATCTGGAACAAAAATAGTTACAAAAACCTTGAAATACACCCTTTGGTGGTTCTAATCAATTAAAAAAAACCTGGCTATAATGATACTGAATATGAATACACAATATAAGTCTTGCAAACATTTTTACTCTTACCCTTCAAATCAAATCAAATCAAAATCTCTTTATTTATTTTGTACATGACATACAAGACTAGTGTCATAAAATAGAAACACTTCTACTATACAATAGGTGTTCTACTGCAACTAATTTTGACGTGCAACTGACTTAAAATTGTGCTTAAGTACATCAATCTATACATTTATTCTTAAAATTATCTTCTAGAGAGTAACAACTTTTCTTGACTAAAATGTTTTACATTTATTTCTGAAATGTTTTTTGTCTGTAGTGATGGTGGTAAATGATTTAAAAACTTGGATCCTATACGGGTTGATTTTTTTCACAGAATATGTGAAATTATGTTGGGATAAGTTTATTTCATCTCTATTTCTTCATTTCTTGTAAAGTAGGAATGAACATTTATTTATTTATTTACGGGCAAAACTTGTAAAATTAAAAAGTTTTTTTCATTTTTGGCACCTTTTCCACTCTATATGAACATAACAAAGTCTTCTTACTGCATAAACAATTATTATACTAAAAACAAATGATCCAGATGATGTATTAGCTACCCGTCCATGAGTATCTGGATCAATGGCAGATATATCCGCAACCCATCTTCACAAATATATCAAATTTAACCTGTAAAACAGGTGGCTATGTTATTTATTTATTGGACAAGATTTTATTTGGCAAAGAAAATTATATGGTAAATTTGATGCTTTATGGTTGCCAACATTTATGCTCTAGACAGTTATTCACATTAAAGATTAACATGTTTACCATGATAAGCATTGTATTCCTCATCCAAAAAACTCATCGAAAAGCTTCTGACTTTTCTCAGTATTTAGCCAGAGACCTAATTACTAGGGGAACCCTGATTATTAGGCAAACACAATAACCACTCAACTAACTCAGCTATGATAAAGCGGATTTATCTGACACCTGTCTGGGAAGGGTTCATATTTTATCACTGAGGAAAGTAAAACAAATCTCTAAATACTGACAATGCTGAGTTCCAGCGGGCTCCATGGATGAGAAGACCAGAGACCAACAGGCCAGAGTCCCCGGGAGATGGAGGCTCCATACAATGGTCCCAACTCAGCAGGTGAACGGGGGTGTGAGTCACTCTAGAATGATCCCCTAGAGCAGACACTAGTAGAGCTTGGGGCTGGAACAACCCTCCAAGCCACACATGTCTCCCTACCCCTTCACTACAGCAACCCTGGACAACAAACCGTACAATAAGAAACTTCAGTGGCTTGTTACGGTCATCAAGAGAATGGGCAAACAGAAATGCTACTTCAGACAGTTGCTCTGATTGAAGCAGTGGTGGATCTAGCCAGGGGGTGTGGGGCAAGATGTATGCAGTGAAAGAGGTTGGCCAGACTGAGAGACTGCACGTGATGACATCACTGCAGTCCTGGCCGCGGCCGCGTGTAAATAGGCTACACTGCGTTATACGGGGGGAGGGGGTGGCTCACCATTTTGTAACACACACAATCCTCTTTAAATATACAAAAATAATCAAACTGATATCTAAATCAGTTAGTTATATAAAAAATACGTCCACATAGGGATCTGTTTCTGTTTCTGTTTGTTTGTTTGTAAGTTATCAATTTTTATTTGATTATAATAAGGGTATCGATCAAAAGTCATTACAAGTTTAATGATTTGTTAAATCCATATTCCACTAGTAAATTTATGCTTAAAATGTTATCAAAGTCAACTACAATCGAGTTACGTAACACAACGGTGGGTGGGGGGAGGGGTTTGCTCTAAAGCGTTATGGTGTGTTACATGAGGGAAGAGGTAAAATGACAAAAAAGTGTGTTTCGTAATATCTGTATGGCCCCTTGGGTTTCTGTAATGGATCATTTACCTTATAAAAAGGTTAAAGTAAAAAATGTGCTAAATAAAATGTTTTATGAATAAGAGGATTGCTGATCTAACTTCCTGCTGATAGACACTGATAATTTTATGGTTGGGCAAAGAAAATCCAGACTTCACTAACAACTAGAACAGGCCTATACCAAAGCAATTGTCAATTATAATAATAGGTCAATTGACCTGTATTGAATAACATTGAGTTTATTTTACATATGATGTAACTTTATTTTCACTTTTATATTGCTGACTTTCAATACTTTCGGTTCATTCTTAGGATCAGGACAAACAAAAAAAATTGACAATCAGTGTTTATTGTCTATTTGATAGGTACATTATGACATATTATGTAATAAATAGATGTGAAATGAAAAATAAAAAATAATTAATAGAAGGATTTGGTGCTTCCAGTCTTAAAAGTGTTGTAAGTTGGAATAAGGTCGGACAGTGCCAAGGCAGATCCCCCAAGTTTCTCTAGTATCTAATTATTCTAAGTATCTCTGGAAATTATTTTATTTTACAGAGCCTGCTTCAATTTTTCATTTCCAAGCTTCCACTGCCATTGCTCTGTTGTGTGAAATAATTCTTATTTAATTCTTCCAATCTAATTGCAACCAAATATATAACACTAAATAAATATTTCCTCACAAAAGTTTAAATGAATCTTTTTTCTTTGCAAACATCAAGGCTCAACTGATGTGTGTGTTTTTTTTTACAACTACTTCAATAAATGACGTGACAGTAACACAGATAACCTTAACATTTATTTGTGAAGTGTGAAAATTCAGAGGTCTATTAAGCTAGAGTTGTTATTTTAATTCATTTAAGTAAATTTGATAATAGTACAACACGTAAAAGCCTTGATATAAATTTTTAAACTGAAATGCGGGAGTTACCTTGATATACTTGAGCCGATTAACTAAGTCATCCACATAAGGACCAAGGGGTTTGCAAGTTGGGTAAGACACTTTCAACCATGTTGTAGGAATAAGACCTTTTTCGATTTGGAATCCGAGGAGTTCAATATCTTCAGACATCTCGGATAGTCCTTGAAATGCTTCACTGAAAGATTGAAGAGTTTTTCGCACAACCAACAATAGCCTTGAGTAAAGATTCCACTCCTGTCTGATTACAAACCCCACTCCAGATAGAGGAAAGTTATACTCCTCATCAAGTGAAAATTCTTGAGAGAACTGAAAAATATTGGTTGTTTGTTAGAAACAAAGCTGGTTTGTAATTACTAAATTAGGTTATAAATTTTAATAAATAAATAAACAACATATCAATCATTTTAAATTTGGTTAAAAGGGTAGATTGTGATATTTTTAATTTTTAATTTTTTTTACCCTGCATCTGGCAAACGACTATTGACTAGGCTCTAAAACTAGTTCCTCCACTGGCAAACGAGTAGTCACTAGTCGTTTGAGCATCAATTTCTTTAACTGCTAAGTTTCAACAGAAGACATCACTGTATTATATATTGCTTTATATAATTTTACACAGGATATTCTAAAGTTTATTCTGATATATACTGTAGTTTTTTTAGTTACTGTGATGTAACAATATCTTGAAAGTTGAGAATTAAAAAGAAAATCACGCAACTGCATGTTTAGAGTGGTGTGACGTAACATTCTTTCTTATATTTTTTATATACAAATAATAATAAATATGACTTTTTTCATGTAGAGAACCATTTTCTAAAAGTTTTGTATATCTTGGATTTCTAATAAAAAAATCTTTTGTATTTTTCCCAAGCCTCTACTTTAGAAAAATGTTACAGGCCCATTTTCATTAAAACAGTTCTGCAAAATTATTTTTCGATCTGTCAATGGTTTAAATTTGTTCCTTGCAATAGCCTGGAAAATAAAATAGATAAAAGTATTTATACTTTTGTATGGTAGAACACAATTTATACAGCTCTAAAGTAACCTATGTACAAACAGTAAAAAAAAAAAAAATGGCCTGCCAGTACAGAGATTTGTAGCTACCAGATGCAGAGTTAGGCCCGATTTCACCAAACACTTAAACCACCGTTAAACCATGCTCTAACTGCAGTTAACTCTTAACTGACGAAATCGGATTTCACCACCCACCGTTAGAGCTAGTTTAGACTAAACCGCCGTTAGATAATTAACTGCCCAATTTTGACCGGTTAACTTCTTTAATCCTTCGTTAAGGAAATATCAGCTGGCTTTAAGTTTAACATTTATATGGAAAGGCGAAATGGTAGAAGAGAATACGGTACGAATCAGCTTTTGAAAGTAAGTGATGGCAGTGAAGAGTAGCCTATGTTGTTCGCCGAACTAGGCGGATAAGAGAAAGGGTTAATGATTTTAATAACAAAGATGAAATTAGTTTTATTATTAGATATGAACTAACAAAAGTTTAGCCTTTTTCTTTAGGAAATGAATACAAACTACTGTAGTGGTTTGTGTTTAGGCTATCCCATATAGTGCATTGCTTTAGGTTATCCCACAAGGTTTTTAGTTAAGGCGTATATCTGTGATCAGCGACCGCATTGAACTGTTTGGCGATCAAGAGCTGTACTATTTTATCTCGGCTAAAAAGTGTGTCCCGACTCTTCTACCAACATTTTCAAATTTATTATTTTATTGTTCGAAAAATAGGCTCTCTTTTCCTTCTCCCGGCTTTGTGTAACCCTAACCCAACGTTCAAACAATTGTTTTGCATTCGGTCAGACGTAATTAAAGCAAAATCTCCTAAATTAATTGTCATTATTCTGCTAGTATTTTATAGAAAATAATTATTTTGGTGTTATCTTTATTGTGTCTTGTTCTTGTAATTATTTTTTTTACTCCAGTTTTTTCACTACTTCAAATGTACCAAACCGGTTAGTGAACAAACAGAATATTGAACATCCCTGTACATGTCTTATGTCTTATGTAAAAAGTTGGATTTTGAGTCTTGACTCGACCGCAAAACTCAACCAATTTGTTCCTCGAATATGTTTGATCTACATTGCTTTGCCTTTATTTATTAATTGTAAATTGTTTTGGTATTTATTCTACCTTTCTGTTGTTATTTTGCTCAGAATCTAGAATCTATTGTATTCCTGTAAGCTTGCTGCCTCCAGTTTTGTTTTCACTACCTCATAAACACTGATTTATTTTCTAGGTTATGTTTACTTGCTCCCGTAACAGCCCGATATTATGACAGTTCACTGCCACCGCCACCTGGATTTTACTCTAAACTCTCGTTTATAAAACCAGCGTTAGTTTTGACGCGTTTTCGTTGGTGAAACCAGATTTCCTTAACTGTGGTTTAAATCATCGGTTAGTTTTAACCGAAGTTTAACTAAACCATCGTTAGCGAGAATTTTGTGAAATCGGGCCTTAATCAAATAGAGGATGTAAAAAGCTGTTTCAGACCCAATAACCCAAAACAGTGAACTTATTTCAATACTTTTCATTGTTACGATTATGATATTATAAAATATTCACCAACTGTGTACATGTTTCCATTATTTTGTTTTCTAAAAGTATTTGAATAATCAATCACCATGATGCACACCTGCACACCAGTAAAGAAACATTTGAATTAATTACCTTGTTAATTATTGATTCCACCGAGAATAATGTAGATGACTTAAGAGTTGATTTATTTTTTGCATAGGTAGGTTGAAGAAGTTCCATATTTTCAAATAGTTCTTTAGTGATTTCCATGTTGTGCTTTATTTCCACATTTAAGTTCAGACCGAATACCTCAGATGAAACATTATCTGGGAGTTCCTGTTAGGATAAATGGGCAAACATTAAAGTATACAAGTTTGCACAAATTTAAATTTCATATTATAAATCTAATACAAATTGGTTATGTTTTATCACAAAGAAATTTGCTCAAATTCATTGTATGATTTGAGTACTCTTAAACCTTGCATCAGATTAGTCCTGTCTAGCAAGTTAGTGGCCCTCCTTTTAGTAAAACAATATATTATATATATCAATCAATATATATCAGTTTCATTAAGTTGACCAGCTTATATAACATTGAAAACGATTTGTTGGTTGGGACAAGTAGGTAGAATGGTTTAGTTTAATAGAAGGCAGACGAACACTCCTTGAGCTGATTCAAAACTCCTTTGTGTGTGTTTGTAGACTGCCTGTTTATGAGTAGAGAGGTTATTTAATTCTCAATCTAATTTTTTGTAGGCAATTTTCAGTTGAATGAAAACGGTAAAAAAGTTGGACTTGAAATAAAAGGAACAAAATATCTCTTAATATCAATACCAGAACAAATTCCACAAAATAAATAAATCTTTATTGTCACATAACGTTTACATAATATAGCAATGCTATAAAACATGTGACATTGTCAAAATACAAATACCTTAAGACTAAGGAGTAATAAATTATTTAAATTTAAAAATAATCTTAAAGTTGATTATATTGATTTATCTAGACACAGATGATTTACTTAGGGGTACAATTTTCCCAAAATAACAGAGTGAAAGTATAAAGTAGATTGATAGCAGGGAGGACAAGTTTTTATTCTATATCCAAATGACTAAGTTCCAAACAAATTTCAAAAATGATTAAACGATTAAACTGAGAATTTACTAAACACCTATTCAACCAGTACTACTATAAAGCATAAGGGAGAGAAAATTCAGCTCTAAGCAAAGACTCAGAAAAGAAATTTATAGTTTTTGATAATCAAGTGTTAAGAAAAATATGTGGTTTAGTAAAAGAAAATGTGGAAAGGAGAATTAGAAGAAGTCAAGAATTAAGAAACCTCTACCAACATCTAGAAATAGTAGCTATCATCAAAAGCAGAAGATTCAGATGGGCAGGCCTCGTAGTGAGGAGACCCGAAAACACAATTGATAGAGATGGGCTTTAAATAAATGATCCTGGCTAATGAAACAGCTGATCTTAGTCAGTAACAGAGCAACACAGATCATCCCACACCATTCTTCACTCATCCTTCACTCATATTTGGATTAAAATATGCACCTAGGTGGCGTCGCCATCTCAATGATTGATAATTGATAATTAATTGATAATTGATTGATAATTGATGTATTTGAGGGGAGACCTGCAAGCACCAGATTGTTAAAAAGGCCTAAACTATAATATGGAACAAAAAAGTGGCAAAAGACCGCAGGAGTCTGGGAGTAACTTGGACACAAGCCTAAGACCAAGAGGACTGGAGGTACATTGTTGTGGAGGCCAAGAACCTTCTTCAGTTTCAATGGCCATAGCGGTAATTTAAGCTAAGTTGAAGATCACATATTATATCTAACTAACTAATAAAATTTCCATAAAATTATTATATTCAAATATAAATGAACCGAACTGTAATATAAATGCTACAAGATCTGTTAACTTATTGTACAGGAACATTGCTTCCTTGAGTAAAGCTTATAACAACCTTGAAAATTTTTTTACAGTTTTACAAACTTTACGGGTGTCATACCTGAATGGCTAACAGGAAGTCGTGATACTCAAACCTAAGAGGCACAGTAACACTGGACAGTTTGTAATTGGGTGTTTCTGCCACCTGTGGGTTGACTATGTCATCCATGATGGTACGCAACAGCCTGAGGTCCACCAGATCCTGGACACGGCCCCCGTAGTTGCACTCACCCACCACATACTTGATCATATCATACGGAATGTCCTTGGACTCATTGATGTACATCTGTAGACAACATAGGAAACTTATGATGCACATGGTTTTTAGTTACAGTTTAGTATTGGTAACCACCAATATTGATATGGTTATATGCAGTGGTAGAGTGGGGCGGGAAAACATTGGAACGGTATTCCCACTCTGTTTTTACCATTAATCCTACAGGGTCATTCCATGTCAAATAAATCAGGCACTTAAGCTGACCATTTAATATTTTGATAAAACTTGTGACATTTTGTGTCATAAGTCCATATTTTTAAAATGCAGGGTTATTAAAAAATTATGTTCATGATTTCAAGTGTACATAAAATAATGTTTTATTTGTTATACAAAGAAATAAAATGGTTACAAGTCATGAAAAACTCAAAAGGTTTTGTCACAGATACGCTGAACTATAAATATTCGAAATGGGAACTACTTGCGATACGACAGATGTCAATACTATAGTCAGGCTCTTGTTCTGTAAGGGATGACATTGTTAGAGTGGATCCGTTAATTTTGCTAAAATATTAATTTAAATTAATAGTTCCCCGCTGCAACTCCAGCGACGAGTCCTGCACAACAACGCCTAGCGGCTGCACTGGTAACATCGACGCAGCGCTACTCGCGGCAATACAGACGGCAGTGGGGAAGGCTGTACGAGTAGCAGTGGAAGCGGCATTGGCTACTTTCAATGAAGTGATATGTAAGCTGCAAGACGAGGTCGGTTACCTGCTAAATAAATTGAAGGTAAATAAACTGAGGGCTAAATAAACGGGAGACTGGAGGGCAAGATTGATGACTTAAAACAATACCAGGGACTAGATCACATTCGTGTATTCAGCATTGAAAAGAAGAAAGACAAGGATACAGACGCTCTGGTGTTAGAGTTGTGTCGTGAAAAACTAGGAATCGACGTGTCAATGGACGATCAAAGGACCGTGATATGTCTCAAGGTCGCATCATGTCAGCCCATATCAGGAAAAGGAGCATGGAAAGGAGTTGGTGTGAATAAAAAAATAAGTTAAAAGGGACTGGCATCACTACCAGAGAAGATATGACGCATTGTCGACTGCATGTGCATCGAAGAGTCGTTTCGAAGTACGGCGCCAAGAACGTGTGGACGCTCAGCGGCAGGATGCTGTGAGTAAACAAAGGGAAGTTGAACATGGCGACGACCATGGCGGATCTTCCGCCAAAGGTGACAAACACAACACCGACCGGCTCCAGGACCATCTCACCCAGATAAGAACATAGTCTTGATTAGTTTTTTCGTTTAGTGTTGAAAACTTTGTACAACAGCTTTTTAACAGTAAAAATATTTTTATTTGCTTATTTTTCATACAAAAGTAACACTTTAAGTTTATTATTATTTGTTAATAATATAGAGTGTTTTTAAAAGAATGCCGGGATTTTAAATAATAATTGTTTGGGTACTATTCAAGGTAACTAAACATTTTATACGTCAAATTGAAGCTAAAATAACTAAGTTGTGTTTCCCGTGTAGCAAGGGAGGAAACTTTGACCTTGGCATGCGCAAAATAGGTGCAAGGTGGTAGGCCGCTATTGTGACTCATACACTTGATGCCAGTCGCCAGTACGACGTTAACGGCGCAAAAGAAGGTACAGATTGTAATCTGTGATTTGCAGAGTTTATATCCATTGCTAAATTAAACTAAATTTAAATCTACTTTATGATAAAGAAACTTGAAGCTGGTTTAATGAATTTCCTGGCACCGAAGTGTTTTGAAAAGACATTCACCTGGCCGGCTAAAAACAAGCGATGACATAGTCGAATAAATCCGACAATTCTGCATCAGAAGCCCAAAATAATCGATTGCCCGACGTCTTCAGTTGAACAAACCTAAATTGGTCACTTATGATCTTATCTATAAAAGATAGAGTCTTTCTGCCGAAATGATTCAGTTAAGACATCAGATAAACTCGCCGATGGTCCTAAGCGTACAGCCTTTTCCAGTTTTACGCTCATATAAGATTGATGAAAATCTGAATTGTATTAAATCATTCCAAATTGTATCAAAGAATGAGAAAAAAACTTTATTCTTTTTCCTTCAATTTGACGTTTAAATAGTTTAATTATCATGAATAGTCCCCGAGCAACGACCGTTTGAAATCCCGGCATTCTTTTAAAAACACCCTGTATTATGAAAAATTAAATATTTATTCTCTTTACAAAATTACTTGATTTGCAAATAACTGTTTCAAGTTCAAGATACTTATTCTTGTTTTGCTGCATATGCTTTTAGTATAACTATTACTATATTCATCTAATTAAAGGGACAAATGAGTTTTGTTTAATCTATAGGCCTAATGTTTTGTTTTTAGTTTGTAAATAATGAATTATAAATGCAGGGGTGCCCACAAGGGGGGGCCGTGACGCAGACTGCGTCATTGAAATTCTTGGGGGGGGCTCAAAAAATTCAAATGGGGGGGGGCTAAAGTTAATTGCAACAGTGTTCAACGTGACGAAAATCCAAAATACATTACGAAATCGCCAGATAGAAAGTGGATAATTAATGACAATAGTTATATTATTGAATTAAATTAGTTAAAATAGGATTTTAGGATAGTTTAGGATTCGTGTAGAAAGTTATTATTTAAGATTAGCAAGACGTGAGATCTAAGCGAGGGAGCGCACGGGATAGCTCAACTGCTGTGATAGATAAAAGATAACGCGTGGTACAGACACGTCCAGCTACACCACACAGCAGAACGCTTTGTTGACATAAAGCTCGTTAAAATACAATCAAGTAGCAAGTAGCATAGGCTACAATACTTTACACTATTGTGTATACTCGATTACCTGAGTTAATAGGGAGAGGGGGGGAATGAAAAATAGGTTAACCCAAAATAGTATAAAAACAGATGACAAACTCATTAAAACGCTGTAAACAGCCATTAAGTCACGATTTACATTTTTATAAACGAAATTCAATATTGCACAATCATTATTATTGTAAATTTCAAATCATTTATCTTGGTTCAGTTGTACAAACGGCAACGTTTAAAATTGTAGCTAACTCAAACTCAACTAATCACTAGCCAAACATTACATTGCTATAAATAACGTAAATATTAAAGGAACCTTTAGAAAGTGTGTTATAAGATAAGGTACTGCTCATGATAGACAGATAGGCTACCGATGCTGTATCACAGCATAGGAATTGATAGATAAGTAATAAAAAAGTGTAAAATTATATTTAGAGATAATTAAAACACTCTTAAAAAAGAATGTAACGAGAACAATCTCGTTATTCTCTTTCTTTGTTCTTCTGTTCATTAATAGGTTTCTCTTCAATACATACACAAATTCAACAAGTCGCCATATTTAGGCCTACTCATTGGCCAATCACAGCCTTACTAAAGTTACCATGGTTATCACTCAATCACAGTGTACTAAGCATTATATCGTCATCATTCCCCAGCTGTTGTATCTGAAATCTGTTGTAACATAGCGCACAGCAGACAGAAGTGTATAACGGAGCAGACGATTGTTGGCGCAAGCGTTGTTTCCATTTCATTTTCATCAAAGGAGCTGTGATGTTTCTAAAGGGAGGGAGAGGGGATCGTTATATCGAGAAAGACGCTGACAATTCGTTATGGATATTCTGGCAATAAAAAATTCCTTAAATTGAGGTGACTTATAAAACTCTAATTTTATTTATATAGAAAGAGAAGTTTTCCAGTCCTGTACAACACTGATTCACGGTCTTTTCCCTGTAATCAAATTCAAGTACAACTTGATACACACAGAATCTCTGGTTCCCGACCTGGATGATGGCTAGTTATTTAATTTAATTTACAGTTACATATAGTACTCGTGATAAATCAAACCCGTTATGTAAGCCAAAGCCACACGGTTATTAATCTCACTTGGTTTTGGATTTGCTTACAAACGTGATCGGAAATGGTTAGGGCCTTCACAGTATTCTTAAAGAACATTTATGTAAACATATCAGTGACAGCTAGGAAAAGAATCTTTATCAAAACAGCTGTTCGTAATTTCATATACAGGGTGACAAAAAAGTCTGGAAACGGTTTAATATCTTTTTAACTAAATTCGTTAGAAAATTCAAACATTTTACATCAAATTATATGTATGAAAACTACTTTTTGCAATCATTGCCATTATTTGACCTTCACCAGGGGACGGCCCACGAGGAGTAGGTACATAATCTTTAACGTAAGCATAGGTTGATATGCACATCATTTTAAAGGTCTGGTCAAGTGGAGTTCATTGCCGGAAACCGCGTCCAAAAAGGTTCATCCGTTACAAAATGGCAGCTGTCCAAAGTTCTTGTGAAATATACCTGCACAGGCCTTAGTATGGGCAAATACTCGTATTAAACATTAGTTTGAGAGCTTAAACTGTATTTTAAAGTCAACTAGCTCATAGAATAATAGTATTCAATCTTCAAAACAAATTTAACCGGGTTTCAGATTTCCCTGCTAATGTTGACTATGAGTATATTTACCAATACTAAGGCCTCTGCAGGTATATTCCGCAACAACTTTGAACTGCCGCCATTTTGTAAGAGATGAACCTTTTTTGACACGGTTTTCGGCAATGAACTCCACTTGACCAGACCTTTAAAATGATGTGCATATCAACCTATGCTTACATTAAAGGTTATGTACCTACTCCTCGTGGGCCGTCCCCTGGTGAAGGTCAAATAATGGCAATGATTGCAAAAAGTAGTTTTCATACATATAAGTTGATGTAAAAGGTTTGAATTTTCTAACGAATTTAGTTAAAAAGATATTAAACCGTTTCCAGACTTTTTTGTCACCCTGTATAACGTGTTCTCTTAACAGATTATTAGTATTTCATAAATTAATGACGTATGTAGTAAACATGGAGAAAATAAACTAGAAAAATCACACAAAATTGTATTTTTGATCGTCCGTTATTTTATTTCCAAAATAGTGATGTCATATTTTAATGGCTATAAGGACTCTCTCGCCAATCCTGTGGATACAATTAAACCATTAGAATCATAATCGGTACTCTAGTTTTCTTTAGAGTAGGCCATGAGTAGGCTGCATAAAATGCCTTCTGGGCCGTGACAGACGGACATAAATGGAGATAAGACATGTTTCAACTTCTTCAATGTATAAAACATAAATAACCCAAAATATGTATAATTCTGAACAATGTACAGACAAAACTATAACTTTATTGATATAGATTAACTGGGTTTGAATTTTAAATATCTGAAAAAAATTATAAAACTTCTTTTATAGTTTTACAAATAGTGCTGGGCGGGGGAATAATGTTTCTCATTTGTTGTGTACATCATTTATGGGGGGGGGGGGGCTGTTGCTCAATTGGGGGGGGGGTGCGTCATGAGTCTAGGGGGGGATGGGCACCCCTGATAAATGGTTAATTAAAGTTGTATACATGCGTGTCCATTTATTTTATTTACTTTTAAACATATTTACATATTTTTTTAAATGATTTATTTGAGTTGTATACGTCATGTATAGCAATGTTTTAATTTTATTATTTTTAACACATTTGCATATTTATTTCAATTAAGTATTTGTTTTCATTTTCAGTTTAAATAAAGTGTATATACATTCGTTACCAGTATTGTATTATACTACTGGCATGTTATGATAGATAACTTTAATTGTTAACAAAGAACATTGTTTACTTTTTTGGCCTACATTAAAAAATATATAAATATCTTTATCTGAATACAGACTATTTGTTTGAGTAAATCTTAGATAAAATAAATGTTTTGTTACTGTTTGGTTATTTATACATGTGTCTGTAAAACATTGAATATTTAACATGGTGACTCTGATAATATAATTACATGGAGTTGTTAAATTATGTGTTTGTAAAATGGTCAAACGGACAACTTTTCTTGTAATCTGAGTATGGAGGATTTTTCTGCAGTGTTTATCACAGTGGTGTTGTAGTTTATATCTCTAAAATATTTAGATACTTAATCAAGATAAAAATTTAGCTATATAATAAAATAAATATAGTATTGGAAACTTTTAACACTTTTTGGGACTAAAGTTTATCTCAAAATGAAAGTTTTCAAAATCTTCAAGTGAATATTGATTTTTTTGTGAACTAGTCAAAATTTAAAAAAAGTACGACCTTTTTATGGTTATTCCCTTAGTCCCACTTTTTAATCTTAGGGGAATAGAAGGTATTCCCAAAATTTCAAATATTTATAAATAATTTAGAGTTTATAATACCATCATGTAGTAAAGATAATGTAAATATTTTACCTGCAACTGTTGAAGAGACATATTAAAGTCTGTGTCACAAAACTTGTACAGTATGTTCCAACCCAAATGGCCATACTTTTGTCTCTCTTGCACTGACGCATGGAGGAAGCAAAGGGAATACAAAAGTTTAGCAAATGCACGATCTTTACCAGGACATCCATAAAAGAAATCTTCAATAATTATAGGTTCAGACTGGAAACTGAGTAAAAGTCTTCGCTTCAGCCCAGGAGGCAAATCTGTGGTGATTTTAACACTGCTTTGCAATATAGACACTGGGAACTGCAAACAAAGATAATTGAATTAGTGAATGTAAAATTTTAGAATACAGGGTAGGGTGCTGGTGCTTAACACATTCGCTGCGAGAATCCCTTTGACAGTACAGTAGGAAATGCGGCGCAGCCTCGGAGTGCCAGTGAATCAGCGAACGCAATAGCATTAAAATATTTCAGTCTTGATAGCGGCAAAACAGTGGTGGTGATGGTGCTGTGTTACACCGAGAGTGGACGTCTGGATGTAGTTCATTGAAAAAACTCACAGATAGCAGCACTGCCTGGATCCGTAGCCAGTGTCTTTGTAATGTGGCTCGAAGAGAGAAAATCCCTGAAAACGGGACAAAACTGTTGCCAGAGGGAACTTTACGGGAAATTTTACTACCAACTTAAACCCAACCTACACCAAATTAAAGTATAGGACCAGCACAACATGCTGATATAGTTTAGTTGATCCCAGATAAATGCGGAGGTCACAATAGACCAACTTGTATAACATGCTGTGACAGTACAGCATGACTCCGATCGAAGTCGTCAGCAGCGAACGTGTTAAAGAATATTTGGTTTTCAAATCAGCAGCATTTGTAAATTTTCCATAAATATTTTTTTAAGTGTAGAGTTGACCCAATCAGTCTAAAGAAGTTAACAAGTTCTTTACACCTGCTCACCTATGAAAAATAAAAAATAACTTCTGAATTCTGAAAGATGGCGTACTTCTTCATTCATGCATGTCCATTCAGTCATCCTTCAAAATGGACCATTATGTTAATAACAGTTTCATTTTGGGTAGAGCTTGATAGTTTAAGGGCACGTTGACATAAAAGGTATGTTTTAAAAATAAAAAGTCACAAGCAATCAAATCTGGTGACTGACATTTTCGTTAGTTAAGTCAAAGGTTTTAAAACTTACAATGTTAGGACGGAGGAAATTGTCTCTGAAATTCTGCAACTGAAGTTGAAATTGTAGGGAAATTGAAGGTGAAAACATTTTGAGAAAATACATCTTGGAGTGTGCCTACAAGAAAGGGGACTGTCTGTCACAAGTTATTTCCTAGAGACACCTTTTCCTTACATGATTTTTTGTTATTTTTTGTTATTAGGTATTTGAGACCATTGCTAATTTTGCTTACAAAATGTATTTGGTTTGAAACCATAAATTTTAAACTTCTATACTTTAGACTTTTTATATTCACACAAGGGTTCATTCTCGAGGTAGCCGAGATGGGTAAACTGTGATTTTAAACATTCAAATCTTCTCAGAACTTTGATTTTCATAATTTTTCACAAATTTTAAAAATTCTGGTTTCAAAAAATGCCAGGCAATGTTGTTGGAGTCTACCTGAGTGGATGGTGCTGAAGTAAGCCAAAGTCTAAACTCCATGCTGGTATTGAGCAGAGTGAGGTTGTCACAGACACGTTCCAAGTGAGGCATGTAGTCTGGAGCCAAGTGACAATTCTGTAGCAACACCCAACTGCCTTCTTCTCTACTCCTGGATATCAGTCTGCTAGCTGCCTCACCCTACAACACCACTGTGATAAACACTGCAGAAAAATCCAACATTATCTGAGTCACTGTGTTATACAATGTTTTACAGACAGATGTATAACTTCATTTTTGTTTGTGTAAGTCAGAATTACTTTGAGAATAAGATAAATATTGCCTTTTCATTATGGATCCTCAGTCCTAACTGTTATCTAATTGTGACCAGAAGCTACCACTCGACCAGCACATAGCGTCTGACAAGTAGCAGTATTCAATGTTTTTGAATACGAATGTTTTGACAGTCCTTATATATGTTCATAACCTGCATTCCACTTAAATAAATGTTGGAATACAAGCCTGAAAATGAGTTTTTTAGCCAGTTTCAAGATAACAATATTACTGTGACAGAAAAGGGAACCCATAAGAAAAATGAGAAAAGATTGAACATTTTTATTCATGGTCTATAAGGATCAAATTTATTTACCATATACATCTAATTAATGTACTACACAGGTCATACAATAAACCCACATCAACACATTCCACGTCTTGTTTTAAAATTCACACTGACAGTTTAAAGCAGTGTTTATACTCTAGTTAGTATACATTAAAAACTTTGTTAATGTTTAAGAAGTACCTAAGAAAACTGATCATATTATGACTGACTTAACATAATGAATTAAAGGAAAAGACAATAGTTGGGTTGAGTAAAGTTGCAGAAAAGCCAACACAAAAAAAAAGCTCCATAAGGATTATGTAGCTAAGTATTAAAATGGACAGTGTATTACCTTGTGTTGAAAAAATACGATTAATTATTAGTTATTAGTATTAGTGTTATTAATTACAAAACACTGTTGTCAACTTACAAATATCCATACAGAATTCACCTGATCTACTCCCAGAGAAATTGTGTGAAGTCTGTTTTGGAAGAGTTTCTTTTTAGCAAATTGACGCACGGCTGGTGCAGGGTCAGACCCGGGGCCCATGATAAACAGTAGAGGGGTGAGACAGTTGGAGTCCTCAAAAGAAGAGGTCAGATCCAGGCTAAAGGGCAAAGTATACTGCTTCCCCATACAGCCCTCTACATACTGTTCTATGCTATCCCTTACCTAGGAATAGAAGAAGAAGAAAAAAAATAATAATGATGATACAGTGTTTACACATACACTCAAAGAACAATGGTCAATGACCGTCTGTTTTGTGGTTGACATAGGCCTACTGATTAACAAATTTAAAAACTTTAAAAGAATACATGAATAAAACCATACAATTCTTCATAAAATAAACTGAGTTCCAACACAAAAATATATACACATAGGACTACATATGCCTATGAAAACAGAACAGATTATAAAAGAATTAAAAATAAAATTGAAATAATATTAGAAACAGAATTTATCCTACACACAATTAATAATTCATAAAACAAGCCTAATAACAATATCAAGGTAAATAATTTGTATTATTTACCTTGATAAATACTAAACAAACAATCAATATTTCTACATTTTGAAAATTATATCGATTTTCTTAGGTATCAATGCTGCAATACAAGCCGATACAATACAATAATGGCCGATACAAGCCGAAACATGTAAATGACCTTCAATTAAAATTAGCTGTTTGTCGGATTTATAAGGTATGTAACCTATTTATTATATTATATATTAAAGTAAAGTAGATAAATAGTTGTATCCTCTGGTAAAAACAGCTTGAATAGTGTCGCTACAAAATTGTAAGTTAAAAATGTTTATTGCAATGGTGTGACTCTTAGGACCCGTTTATGCACCAAGTAGCGATAGCGGGAGCGATTTCTAACACCATTGAGTTAAATGGGGCTGTTTATGCACCAAGAGCGATAGCGATAGCGGTTGACCTCCCGCTGCGGTTTCTAATTCGCCCGCTGTGTAGTTAGAAATCGCAGCGGTTGCTTGGGATAGAGCGGTTTTCAACTACATTGAGTCAAATGGGACTGTTTATGCACGGCGGGAGCGGGAGCGGCTGAAGCCAGGGTTGCCAACTTGACCCACGTGCACGTGCACTTAGGACAAATAGTTGTGTTAATTATTTGGCAGAGTTTGAGTTGGCAAGACTGTGTCCCCCTTCCATTCTCCTTTAACCAACCGCTACCGCTATCGCTCTTCATGCATAAACAGCTCCATTCATAGCGGGAGCGGGCCCGCTATCGCCCCGCTCCCGCTCTTGGTGCATAAACGGGGCCTTACAGGCTAATTTCTGACAAAACATCCATACCTTATCAGGATAGATAATCTTTATAATGTTCAGTTTCTGAAATTCAGACAGTTGACTGTTCCATGGATATGGAAAATCCAGTTTGTCAGAGTTCTGTAGGACTTCCCACTTTTCATGGTTGCTAGCTAAACTTTCTGCAAAACCTGGATAATTTAATACAATAAAGCAGTCAATTGTAAGCAAAATGAAAACATAAGTTTATTGTATAGATTGACAGTACCGTACTCTGACCATTAGAGGTCCTCAGCTACATCCTGTAAAGGAACCCTCTAATAAGAAATCATTTTCTTCAATTAGGGACTTAGAAACGAGTTTTTACACTATTTTCGCAGTTATAAAGAAGATAAATTTCAGCTAGGTTTTCGTAAAGGGTGTTTTTTTTCTAAACACAACCCAAATAATTGTACCAGCTCATATGTTACTATCTCTGTTTTCTTAACTTCATTGCCATCACCTAATATGCATTGTTGCATAGATATCTATTATCTACGATATTTAGTGTTTGTATTTTATGAGAATTTATTTTAAATAAGACTCAACATGGTGTTTTCACAAGCTCAAAGAGAGTATTTAACTTTTTTATTTTACTGATACTTTCTCTCCTTACACGTTATAAGAAGAAAGTATTGTTTTTGTCAAAATTTTCCAATGTTGTGTTTTGAGTGGATATATCCATTTTGGGCACCCCTGAACCCAAAAAACTGGTTTTCGAAGTGATGTCTGTATCCGTCTGTCTGTATGTGTGGATGAATACAGAGCTACAGACCACAACTCTAGTCTGATTTTGATTAAATTTGGTATGTGGGTACTAATCCATAGTATCTCTAGAATTTTTTTTGTTTTTTTTTATTTTGATTTCTAATGGGGATTTTCTCACAAAACCCATAAAATATCGAAAAAATAGCATTTTCTCAAAAAGGACCAGAATGATTTTGATATAAATTAACTATGTTATAGTCCCATAAATTCTGTACAAAATTGTACAACTCCCGTTGCTGTAAAATTACGGCTCAAAAGTGATTGTAACTTATGTTATTTTCCCACAAAAACCCATAAAATGAAAAAAATCTGATTTTGAACAAATGTAATAAAATTTAGTATGTCTTATAATTCTAAACAAAATAGTACAACCTCCCATTGGTGTTAATTAAAGTTCAAAAGCGATTGCAACTTTTGCGATTTTCCCTATTAACTATCATAGTTTCTCTCATCCCTTACCCATGATAATGTTTGTTGACAAGCTAATGGGAGAAAGTATGTGTCATATTGACGGTACCGTTTATTTTTTAGATGTGGCAATGTTTTGCAGGAAATTCTAAATCGACGGTAGAATTGTATGTATTGATTTTCGCATTCAAATTGTTCCTATCCACTGTCAGGTATCTGTTTCGGTATCAACTCTTCACGATCGAGTCTCGATACGGACATGGTGGTATAGAGAATCGACACATCCCTACAGGAAAGCATCTTGTTTCTTTTTCTCATTTTCCATCTTTTTTGCGCATCCTACGGAGTAATCAGCTGATTGGATAGAGCATTGCTTTGCAGTTGTCTGCTAAACACATTTCACCACGCGGACACAACAACGTATCTCAACTTACAATAAAGAAGCTTGTTAAAAGCTTTCATATAAGTGGCAATATGTAATAGTTGTTGGAAACAGTTGTTCTACTTTGCAAAATGTAAATAAAAAATTTACATGCCATAATAACTACTGGCAAGACAACGTTTTTTAAGTGAGTAATGGTCCCTTCGGGTCCCCCTTGGCCTAGGGGCCCTCCACAATTGTCGACCTGGCCAGTTTGGGCCTGAGTATTACCATAGTATTTATTTATCTAAATGTAATTAACTACTTGGAATAATTACTGAACCTAAATTATTTTTTATTAGGATAGTATGCAATGTGCCACGAAAAAAAATATTGAAACGTAGTTTAACTAAATAGGGTGGCTGCACTGATGTCTGGAAGCATAAAAAAAACCAAACAAAGGAATTGCACATTTAGTTTTATAAAGAGTTATGAACCAAGAGAAAAATGACTGTAACTTAAATTAACTGCTTGAAAGTGCTGACCTCTTATTAAATGTGTATATTTGGTGCAAATATTACATTGATGTTTTAATACTTTTCTTGAGTTTTACATAATTAAGCATAATTTTTTAAAGGGATGCAGTCTTACAAAATACATATCAGTAATTATCCTATTGTGGATATATTAAAGGCTAAGTAAAGGCTTTTAACTTTATTATTAACTCATTTCACCTGAATATGAGGATAGCTGATCGAGCTGAACTATTTGTTTCCATTTGATATCCGTGATCCACTCCACAGGACTGTTAGTTTCACCTTTAAATCCTTCACTTTCTATTTTTACACCAATAAAAAAATTTAAGTCTTCTTCAAGTATAGTTTTTTTGGCCCTGAAAGATTAAACCTAAAGATAATACCAATTTGAAATCATCTGATACTTAAATATTATTTAGCTTACGTACCCAAATCAATAGAGCAAGAGTGCATGACTGCCAGACCTTTGTTATTTTATTATTAAAATCATATTTATTAAACAAATATAGCTAAGCAAACATTAAATACAAGGTGTTCCATTCAAATGTTTAAAGTTATCCACCATATTGGAAAATGGCAGCTATATTTGAAAAAAATAAATTAATTTCTTTATTCCCTAAGAAAATATTTGAGTTATCCATTTAGTATTTTCTATAAATGTAATACTTTTTGAGATACCAGTCATGGCACAGTTAAGTTGTTCACCCTGTATATACTGAACCAAACCTGTGATCAGAATTTTTATGGAAATCACAGACAGGGAAATCAGTTATACCCTGTCTTTTTTATCAGTTGTAATGCATTTACTCATACTCTCTATAGAATAAATTGTCTTTTAATTAAATGTTATCTTAGGCCCATGTGAATATTGATTTTCCAACAGGTTTTTTAAAGTTAGTTGAATAGTTAGATATCTTGCAGAATTTAGACAACAAACCTAGGCCTATGATAAAAACACTTTTACCTACGACCGTTTTTTAAAGTAGCCATTTCAGTCCAGTTCTTAGAATTGAAAAGTTTCACTTTACAGCTGTTTACTTTCATATCCGCATAGTTTCATTTCATATCCGCATAGTTTTCTCATATCCACACAGGTAACGGACCAATGAGGTTCAAGTATTGAGAGAAAAGAATTAAAATTGTAATGCTTCGAACGTGAACTAATCAGCTGATCAGCTGATCAGTTGACCAATTTAATTGTTTATCCGACTTGTTCATGTTGATACTCGCGTATTCTTAATTAAGTTGGTGGAAGTCCAAAAATAAATGAAATATTTGCCGAATTGTACCTGATACAATATTATTTATGGTAAGAATGCTGCTAGCAATGTAATATTTAACGAAGTTTAACAAACACGTAATTACAGGAAATCAGCTGATTATACAACAAGTCATTGCATCACTTTCAGTGGCAATGACAATACACGAAAACATAACCTCTCTAAAAAGTTATCAGTAGTTATTGTTAGAAATTAAATCCAGATTGTTTGATTGATAGTAATTAAAAAACGGTCGTAGGTAAAGTAGTGTACGCAACTCGCGTTAATAGTCTTTACGACACTCGTAGAAGTTTTTAAGGCACTCGCCAAGGCTCGTGCCTTAAATTTTCTACTCGTGTCGTAAAGACTCACGCAATCGTTGCGTAAACTACTATTTTTCAAGGAATATGAGGTAAAAAAGGGACTTGTAAAATATTCCATCCTGTCTAGAGAAAAGTATGGAATTACAAAGAAAGTGTTATGTGTGAAATACAGTGATTGGCTGATCCAATTCCAATTCCACAAACTCTGTCTGTTTCAATACCCATATTACATTGGTTTTACTTACAATTCTATGTTGGAACAGAGTAGAAGGCAAAACAGGATTCTGTGTTTCTCAAAGAGAGAACAACACACATTTCTATAAAGGTTGTAAGTAATTCGATTTTGAAGGTATTGCAGCCTTACTTCCATTATTTGGGACTTGTTGCTGAAAAGTGCAAAATAAAGTTACATATTTACTATTCTAAGCTGATTCTTCTTACCATGAAAAACTGAGAGAATATCTAAATGAACGTCCAATGTTAATTATGGTTAACGTTCAGTGGTAAAAGTGTTCATCACAAGTTATGATAACAGTTTTCATTAAAATATAATTAGTGATAGGTAGGTTAGTTGTTGGCTACAATTGTGATAGTGGTGTATCTCTTTGATATTTGTAATCTCCTAGTCAATCAAAATGTATAAACTATAATAACTTTTAAATGTTGAAAATTTTATCCTCTTAAAAAGGCAACTAAGTTTTCTATTCTCGTGTTTAGTAAGAACTTTCCATTATGCAGTTTTGTAGTTTTGGGCTCAAATAAAAGGACTTACGCAGTATCAATAGATGTGATATACGTTTTGAGAAACCAATCAAGAGAAAATTGATACATGAAGTTAATGTTGCTGAGGTTAGTTAGGCAGAAGTAGAGTCTGGCCGAGTGCTCAACAACAGCGTAGTAAAGTTGACAGTAAGAATGGATCTCCTCCTCGATTATCTTGGCAAGCTTCTGTTTATCCTGGATTTCTACTGATAAAGACTGAAAAAAATTATAAGAACACTATTTAAGGATAAGTTGAAAACACGTTTGTATGTTTCAAACATATAAATAGCTAGCCTCTGTGTTTTTATCAAACACATCATTAAGTATGTTTTCATTTTAGACAGTCAAACTAGAGTAGTACAAGATATTCCTTAACATACAAAAACACTTTAACACAAACCTTCCTAAAAATCTGCTTTTTGAGCTCTAAAAAATGGTTTAGAGAGAAATTGGGAAATTCTATGTTTTGAGGGTATAAAATGAGAAAACCCAAATTTCAACACATAAAAACCTGTTCCTAATCCGTAGGAGGTAAACTGTAAGAAAGGACCATAAGCGGACTTAGAAAGGTCCTATAAGTTTGCCTCCATAAAAGAAGCATTTGAGTCATCATTTCATTTCCTATAGACTAATCACGCTGGTTCTTGAAATCTTTAGAATATAGGTAAGTTTACAAGTTTAGACCTAGATTCATCAATATTGTATTATTTTAACTCGAGTTATTGTGCTAACGGACACATGTATATATTTATTTATAAATAAATATATATAGTAGAAAGTCGATAATTCTGACGTTAAAAATTAAGACCGCCAATAATCTGGATTTGAGTTTTATTTGTTTTATGCAGAAAATTAAATAAAACCTGCTTTCAGATGTCTGTTACAAAATGTTACAGACTTTAAAACAAGGTTCATTATTGTTTATCATGCCTTGTTTGTCTCTAACTCTAATATGTAATACAAAATAGTTTCCAAACCCAGACGGTCATGTAAATTGTTATTTAAAGAATTAAAAGTATCAACTCTACCTTCAATGTATATTCTTCAAACTTTGATGTTTATAAAAAGAAGCCAAAATATTTTCATGAATGACAATTTTAACTATAGCTACCTAACCAGAAATTAGAATAATTTTCAACTGCCCATCCACAGATTGACACTTTTTGAAACCTTGTCCCAATACATTAGTAAACAATTTTATAATAAATTGCCAGTTCATATTAAATATAATTCAACAGAGTTGTTAAAAAAAATGTCTAAGTTCCGTATATAGATAAAACTTATAGTGTAAAAGATTTCCTAAACTATCACTGTAGACCTATTTGAAATTCTTTTGTAAACATTTATTTATCTAGTTTTAAGTTGTTTTGTAATTGAGTTTGACAATTTCACATGTTTACCCAGCTGTGCTGGTTCAATTGTAAACGTTTATGTAAAAATAAATCATTGACTTGACTTGACATAAATACCTTGGCTGTATCAAGAATCTCAATGGCAGCCTCATTTTCCAAAATATTTCCTTTAGTGTACGATAATGTATCCAAGATCTTACTCTCGACTTGTTGTAACTTAGTTTTGTTTTTAGAACTAGAAATCATCATTGCCTGTTTCTTTTCTTGAAGATCAGGCCTACAAGCAAAAGAGAAATAAAACAATTATTTTTATCGATAATCAATAAATAACTTCTTGATCAGCATTGTACGTGTTATTAAATTTACGGAAAGTAAATGAAAGATACGACTTATAACACTTAAAAATTATAAGATGAATCTTTTATTTACTTTCCGTATCGATAATCTTACAAAAAACAGAAGTTATTGGAAGAAGTATAGAAAACCTTCTCACAACACTAAATCAAATGTGGGTACTACATTTGCATCTAAAATTCAACACATTCAGGTCAAAATACGAGTTTCAAATATCAAATTTATTTGTATAAAAATGCAGGTTTTAGCACACAAAATAGTACAGTACACAGCACATTTCATAGCCTACATAATAACATTTAAATCAATATAGCCATTAACAAGCCCATCTACACTACCCAGTGCATTTTGTGTAGATATGCGACTCTTCTGAATTAATGTGCAGTCAATTTGGAGGAGGATCTGTTTAAAAAATGTTCAGTAAGTTCAAGGATTATCTGAACGTACTGTGTCTAATTCATTCATACATTTTATATTTTTTACTAACATCAATATGACTCTGGTTGTTTCTTACCAACAAGGCTAGAATCCATTTCACTTATTTTTTGCAAAAAAATTATGGAAACTATAGCAAAATGTGCTGCTAAAGAAGAATGCTGTCTTGGGCATTACAAGTGTGTAGCTTGGGAGGTCTACATTATGCAATTTGCTATATACAAAATATGCTGCTGTAGGAAAACACATGCTTAATTTATATATTCAATATTAGCTAAAAAAAACACTGTTATACAAACTGGAGCTGAAATAAGGCTTTAACCCTAGAGTGGTGTCTTGATTTTTATCACACATTAAGTGTCTGCGGTCTTTAAAGCCGTTTTTGATAACAAAAATTGTTTTGTATAAAACTGTAATCATAAAAGATAAAACTGCGTAAATTATTACTCCTATATATGTTTAAATTTTTATGGGGTTTATCGTAAAATAAAACCCCTCTGAGTTTTGGTAAAATGTTTTTGAAAAAACTAATACATTTATAAAAAGCTGATACGGTAAAGTAAATTAAAAAAGAAAATACTGTTTTTAAATTACTAGCTTTTACTCATATATTATAAAAGTTTATGGACTAGTTGATGAAAAAAAAAACATAAACCATCAGAATTACATATATTTTAACGTTTGACTGAGACTTCAAATAATACCTATTTTATCCATAGAGTATTGGCGACTTTGATTAGCCTACACCTTTGGTGTCTTCGGACTGTGAGACCGTTTTTGTATTTTATAAATATTTTTAGGGGTCTGCGGGTCCCCGATTTTTTCGGGTCGGGTCGGGCCAGCGGAAGGCCCGAGAGACCGGGTCGGGTCAGAGATTTGTTCGGGCCAAGATCGGGTCGGGCCAAAAAAAATTATTATTTTCAAAGTTATGATAAGTAATTTTCAAAGAAACACTCTTATATATATTATTGCAGAGGAATTAAAATGTTAAAATTAGAATTAAATATTAAGTTTGCTCACGTTTAAGAACAAAGACACAACAGAGCAATTGCCTTACTGTCACTAGCCAGAGCCAGTCGTGAGTCGTCTACTGACAAAACAAAAGCCGTGACTCAACAGTGCAAAGAAAACGAAGTCAAAAGAAAGACTATTTATCCAGAGGTCCCATTTTAATTATTTATTGTTTATTCCATACCTAGTTTAAAATATATTTTAGTATTTTATTTACATAATAAATTATAAACAAAAGAAATATCTGATATAGTGTACAGATCTGTATCTTGTTCTTTTATTTTCCTATTGTCCTTTTTGTCATTCAGTAACAAAACAAAACAACACTTCTGATCGTCTGGTTAGGCAATGGTCACTATTTCATTTTTTTTTTTAAGTATCAAGTATCAGCAAGTCTACAAAGAGGTTAGGCCTAAATATTTTATAATTTTATTTTATGAAAGTTTTCATCAGTAAAATTATTTTTTTCTTAGGTTAGATAGTTTCAAAAAAGATATTTCTAAGATCCAATACAATATTTACAAGACACAAACTACCATGAATTAATTTCTTTATAAATTATCTGTAACAGTTTTATATTTTTGAATAAAGAAAATATATCTTTTTGTCTCTACTTCCTTGTTTCGTTACTTGCATTTTGTCAGCAATTGGAACAACCAGGTGGTGTAATAGGGGCGGGGGAGGGGGAGGGTCTATGACCTTGAGTGTCCCTGGGCCTGGCTCGGGTTGTGTAAGAGGGGTGGGGGAGGGTCTGTAACCTTGAGTGTCCCCGGGCCCGGCTGTGAGAGTGATTCATGGTTTTTTGTTTACATTCTACTACCCTTCCTTCCGAGAAAAAGACCCTACGGTTTCAAAAACATTGACTTACAGTATAAAAACATTGAGTTGTGTTGCTAATTAGGGCACTATAATGTCTCTGCTGTCTGCTTATGTTGCCAAATTAGCATTTAACTTTCTTTTCTCTTGATTTAATATAATTTTCTATATATTAAGAGTTCTTTTTTGGGTACCTAATAATTGTGATATTGTTTGACTTGAGTTTATGGATTTTTAATTCTTTTCATTTATTAGCTAAAATCAGTTGTTTTAGGATCTCTTGCAATACCTATAACTGTGCCTATAACTGTGTATCTATAACTGACACGACCTATGACACGATATGCAATTTTTACAGTCTTTACTATAACTATACCATAAACAATGTATGTGTGCTATTTTTACTGTTTTAGAGTTTTATAGTAAATTAGTTTACACAATATCTTTTCTTCAATGAGTTCTCCACTTGTCATGTTGCTTAGTCTATTACTATTTTAGGCCCTATAAAAAATAATTCCTATGTAAAGCTGTAGGCCTACTAATGCCAATAATAGATAATTCTTTATTTATGATGATGTAACTAATAATGCTATCGTAAGTGTGAGGTTTTTGTACTTAGGAGGTTAGGAGGCAGGGAATGAATGATTCATATTGCATGGTGGAAACATAGAATTTGTATTTTCTTCTTGCTTGCAGCCTTGAAGCCAGTCCACAGGCCCTAAACTTGTGATAAGGTTAATTGATTTGTTTATGATCCTTTTATATTAAGTTCCATTACAAACTTGTTGTAATATAGCTCTGCTGTTTAGATATTTCAACAGTTATGAAAATGGGAAAGAATGGCTTGATAAAAAAAATTATTTTCTTCTTTCTTGCAGTTGAGGCAACTTCTAAGCTGTAAATAAGTTATGAACATGAAATAATATACATAAATACATTTTTTCCCATATGTTATTTTCAAGTAATATTAAAAACACAGATAGGAGTTAAAAAAATTTAAAAAATCCGGTAATTAATAATTTTTGGCCCGACCCGATTTTGGCCCGAAACCCGAGGACCAAAATTATCGGCCCGACCCGACCCGTCCCGAACCAAAAAAGTCTGACCCGCAGACCCCTAAATATTTTATGTATAAAACTATGGAAATATAAACTATGTCAAATTATTACAATTATATAATTAATTTTAAATAATATACAAGTATTACATTATAGTATTGTACATAGTATTACATTATATGTAGTACTATTATTCATTTTAGGTGGCTTCAGTCTGTTGGACCAATCACACCCTAGGTGTCTTCGGTGTAGGGGACCAAATTACACAATTGCAGACAAATCTGTAATCTCAAAATTACGCCCTCGCGTCTGGTGGTAGACTGAGTCGAGGTAGAAAGGTAGCAGGAGACACAACTCCTACACCCTAGCGGAAGGAGCAGGAACTTGAAAATGTTACGTCATCGGACTCACAGACCGAAGACACCAGTCTAAGGTTAATAGGACATTTAAACCTGTAACCTTCTTTTTTGGTACAGGATTTAAGGCACTTACAGAGGCCAAATTAACCTGAGAAACCCCTGCCTCTTAGGTGGAACTATCCCGTGGTTACTGCAATATCATACAAATTTCTCACAACCATGGAAACATCATCTTCGTTACCTACAAGCGTGGTAAATTATAATTTTTTTTTTTTTAATTCCATTTTTGTCCTGAAAAAGTTGTTTTTGTAAAAAACGCTGCAGTCCCATTCTATTAGCGGTCCTATGCGGTTCCTAGGCTGCAGCCTAGTCAGCCTGGAAGTAAATCAAACATTTTTGATTGCTATTCTAATAGGTGTCCACTACCCAATCACATATACGATATAAAAAAAAACCAATAGAATATGTTTTGAGTTAAAGCTTAAAAAGGGTTTTCCTCAGTTCAGACGGGTCACACAAGAAGAAGTGCAAAAAGCCATTCAATATCTAAAGATGAAAAAATTCATCCGGAACTGATGAGGTATCTGCTAAACTTCTAAAAAACTGTAAAAATAAAATAGTAATACCCCTGACAGACCTCATAAATAAATCACTCTCACAAGGAAAATTCTCAGATAAATTAAAAATAGCTAAAGTCTACCCAAAATACAAAAATGGACCAACGATAGAAAGAAACAGCTACAGGCCAATCTCCCTAATATCAACGTTTTAAAAAATAATCGAAAACATAGTACTAGCCCAACTCCTACACCATCTTCAAGAACACAACCTTCTCAATAGTCAACAGCATGGATTTATCAAAGGCAGATCGACAGCCACAGCCTTAATACAACTGACGGAACACATACTATACCAACTAGAAGAAGGCAGCACCTCAACAAGCCTCTTCCTAGATTTTAGTAAAGCTTTCGAATGCCTAAACCATGAACTTCTTCTACTCAAGTTGGAAACACAAGGTGTGAGAGGAAGAGCAGCAGAATGGTTTAAAAGCTACATTAGTAACCGGAAACAGCTTGTGGAAATAGCCTAGATAAAGAACAACACAAAGTATAAGGCAAAATCCAAAGCTGTAGACGTGTAAAGAGGAGTACCCCAAGGATCAGTACTTGGCCCAGTCATTTTCCTCCTTCTCACAAATGACCTACCTAGTTGGATTGGGGAAGATGGACACACCACCATGTACGCAGATGACACGGTTCTCACATTTGCGGACAAAACAATGGAAAATCTGGAAGAGAAAACCAATACACAACTCCAGAGAACAAAGCAGTACTGTACCTCCAACGACCTAGTTCAAAAGAAAGCAAAACCGTTCAAATGACTTTCACCACCAAACGCAACAACACAGACATTACAATACCGGGACTACAAACACAAAATACCACAAAATACCTAGGCACCATAAACTCTAAGCTATTATGGAAACCCCACATAGACCAGCTCTGCAAAAAGCTAAGTTCAAGTCTCTACGTTATGCGTAGGATCAAGCAAGCTTGCAGCCCAGAAGTAACCAAAGTTGCATATAAAACTCCAACTCTCACTCCCAAAAAAACTCTCTCAAAACTCTCTCTCTTTGCTCTATTTGAGTCCCACCTCAGATATGGCATTGCGACTTGGGGTGGAACATCAAAAGAGAACCTGGAAAGAGTACTCCTAAAGCAAAAAAGAGCAATTAGATGCCTTGCCGACCTAAACTACAGAGACAGTTGCCGAGAAGCCCTCAAGAACCTTAAAATTCTCACATCAATTTCACTCTACATAAGATAAGTCATTATCCACACCACTAAAACAGCCCAGCCAAGACACAGAGACATATGCCAGCACAACACACGACATGCCGCCAATGTTTCCCTCCCACAACACCATCTGAGTCTGTACAAGCAGAATCCATCCTACAAAGGTGCTCTGTACTTTAACAACCTACCAGAGCACCTTAAGAGAGAACACCCAATCTGTTCAAGAAGCACGTTCTACTCTGAGGATGAATTCTTAAACAATAAGCTACCATGAAAAAAAATGCTAATTGTAAATGCAAATGACTGTAATAGTTTATGTACATACTGTACATTTTATGTACCTGACGCATGAATGTTCACTAGGAATATTTCAATAAAGAGTTTGTCTATTGTCTATTGTATATACAAAAGAAGTTTTCAAATAGTTGGTACACATTTTGTTAAGGTGGTTAAAATCATACTGTACATACCTTTCTTTTGCAATTACGATGTCAAGTAGTTTGTCTTCCAATCCATTAAGAGTTAAAGTAAAGTTAATGACTGAGAAGAAGTTAAACACAGTCGGAGTAAAAGTTGGGTTCTGGAGTCTTGTAGTGATGTATATGCAGGGGAGTTTCTTTCCATCAGGGTCTATAGTACCTGTAAGTAAATCAAGCAAAATAATAACTTAACTAGACCAAGAATCAGGTCAGGAAACAGGTGTTGTATGTACTTGCATGATAGTTTTTATGTGAGTACCGTTAACACCTTCCTGTATGAGTCTTGATTATTTGATTATGCAACATTAATAGCAACAAATATACAGCTTAAGTAAAACACAGATTATACATGTAGTCACAACAGGGTTTAGTATGCACTTTTTTAACTCAACATTTTAACAGTTTTCAACTTTTTTTAAAAAGGTAGCTTTTTTAATCTTTCCGATATTTATTGTGAAAGTGTAAAGTTCCTGTCCAAACCTGTCTGATATTTATTGTGTAGCTTTGTTAAAAGCCTTCTGAAGAAACACATATCATAATTTTTTGAAAAGGTGCTTAGCAAATTTACTTATTTAATTTGGGCTTCAGCTGATTTTGCTGATCTCTTTCTATATACAATGACTACAAAGGCACCAGAAACCAGCTGCTTACAGTGTAAAAAGAAAAAAAAAGTTCGGCACCCTTCCATTCCACATTACGCCGAGTTTGCGGGACTCTACTGTAACACGATGACAGACAAAAATAAACTTGAGAAACAAAATGATAATATACTTCCTAACTGAATCTATTTCCTTCTTCAAAATCAGTTCAGTTTACAAAAGAGTGTACTGCTGATTAACAATCACAGTACACAAAAGAGTGTCTGTGCATATAAATAATCAATCTTTCAAACACTGTAAAACACGTGTCTATAGTCTGGCAGAAGCTCGAAGGACTCCAGCGGATTAGGCGACCCTTCGCCCACGCACGCGCACTCACCAGCGGCTGCTCAATACCTGCCCCATCCCTCGCCCGCCCGGCAGGTGACTCACCACTGGCTTGCGGCCATAACAAATATGAAAATGAAAATTTTTTAAATTTTTTGTTTTAATTGTAATTATTTGAATTGACAATAAAGTTGTGAGTTTAACAAGCTAAAATTCGACTTGATCCCACGACTTTAAGCTTTGAAAACACTATTTTGATTTCTGGGGTATAGGTTTTTGCATAATATTTTAGATTTAAGATCTGGATATTTTTCCTTTAGACTAGACACCTGGTGTGGTAGTGATGCGAGGTATGTGTCTGTGATACATAAAAAAAAACTATTTAATCTAATACAGTAGCGTAAAATTGTGTTCCATCTGTGATTTTATTATATTGACTTGCTATTTACTAGGATATTAGTATTTTCGGATATTTTTATTTTTACTTTAAATATGTTGTCGGGCTTGTATTTTTTTTATTTAAATATGTTTACTGTGGGGCATATTTTTTTACTTTAAATGTTTGCTGGAAGGCTTGTATTTTTTATAGATTTACTGTCAACTTATACGTTTTACCTTAAATATTTTTACTGTCGGGCTTATATTTTTACCTTAAATATGTTTACTGTCGGGCATGTATTTTTTACTTTAAATATATTTACTGTCGGGCTTGTATTTTTTTCTTATTTATTTATGATGTTTAGGCCTATTTAGTTTTTCAATCAGTTATAAATAGGCCCTATACTGTTTCTTTAAAGAATACATTACAAATTGAAAAATAAAAGTTATTAACGTAAATCCTGTTTATTTATTCATACAATGTTGCGCTGTAACCTGGTATTAAATTATTTTATTTATAGTTTTATTAATTAAACATTAGTATGATATTATATTACATTATCTCCCGTTTATTAAGATTTGATATTTTATCGTTTTGTTTGATATTTACCGTTTATGTAGTTTAATTAGGCCCGTTATGCCAAACTGGGTTTCACTTTGTTATTATTATTATTATTAGTTTCAATATCATTTTTAAGAGTGTGTGTCAGTTATTTATAAATTGATATTTTCTACCGTTTTATTTGTATGTCATATTTTGAGGCTAATAGTACGTTTTTATCATATCTTAAAGTTTTTAATTAAAACCAATTTTTTACATTTTTACCCGCTAAGCCAGAAGCCAGACTAAGAATTTAAGTATAGCCTTTAAAAATATCTATCAAACTGGTTCTTACGTTGTACTGAGTATTATAACTTATTACGTATGTATATATTGTACATTTGTATTTTTCTAAGTCCTCTACGTTATTGTGTATCATAGTATTAGAGATTAATAAAAGATTTTTTTAAAGGAACTTGAGTTTATTTTAAAGACCTTTGATTAGTGCGTATCAAAAGCTTACTCATCACAACTAAATATTATGCAACACACTTTTCATACAACCTAGAAATAAAAAATAGTGTTTTTGAAAGCTTGAAGTCGTGGGATCAAGTCGAATTTTAGCTTGATAAACTCACAATTTTATTGTGAAAACAAATAATTGCAAATGAAACGAAAAATATTAAAAAATTACATTGTCATCTTATTTACTGGTGCAATCCAGTGGTGAGTCACCGGCCGCCGGGGGAAGGAGGGGCAGGTACTGGGCCGCCGCTGGTGAGAGTGTGTGTGTGTGTGAGTGAGGGTGGCCTAATCCGCTGGAGTCCTTCGAGCTTCTGCCAGACTATAGGTTAGGTTAAATCCAAACCTTGAACGAAATGGGAAACACTGCACCAGCTGATCGTAGTTGTAATATCCTTAAGTGTTGCCAACTTATTTTCAAGCATATACGTATTATGTGCTTAATAAAAGCACACTATTTTGTATTGTTTGAGTGGAATACTGGAGTGCGGCAAAAAAAGTGTGCGGCAAAAGTAAAAAGAGTGCGGTAAAAGTAAGTAAATGCAGCAATTAGAAACTTCCTGTGCTATAATCAGTGCAAGGAAGGCCCCTTTGTCAGGTGACTGTAGGAAAACAATTTTATTACTGGCCAGATGTTTTCGTTTCTTTAAATCATAGTTTTTGGTGCTGTAATCTGTTAACAAAAAAAAATTTGATATAAAATTATATAACCTGAATGTCCCATCACATCAATAATAACGACACTTACGTCTAACAAAAAGTGGACTTAATAAAATGGCATTTAGATCTTCTTCTACATTTTCAAGCAACACAGGGTTTCCAACAGCCATGCACGTTTCGACAGTTTTCATATAATCCTCATCCGACAGTCTTATTACTTGAAGTTTGTTGGATTTTTCCTTAGCTTTAATCCACCGATTAGCATGCCCTTGGGGATCAATAAGAAGAGGACATCTGTAAACAAAACCAAAATTGATTTTATTTGACAAATTTTAGATTTCTATGTTTGTCCACATAGAGAGAAAGATGGAGTTAAATATGATATTACTTTTTGTTTGAAGCTAAAACAGTTTCTAATGCAACAGCCTCTAGAATATATTGTCATGATAATGAAATTGTAGGTCTATTTTACAAATGTATGAGAAAATAAAAAAAAAATAGAATCTTTCTAGATACTCTACGAATGATTTTGTTTAAGACTCATTAACCCGCAAGAGCTTGCATACATGTCTAAATGACCAGATTTGTACTTTTTTGTGTAATAGTTTATTTCACAGATAGTTTTTACGACCAACGACCGACGATCGAGAGCTGCAAAACCATTTTTGGTCCGTGGTACGAACACTATTTTTCACCACACTACGACTATTCACAATAATAATTAATGCACACTGATAGTCAACGCAACTTTAAGGTTATGTGAAGAAGTCATTTCAGGAATCAGCAAAAATAATAAAAAAACTGTTGCTAAGCAACGGCGAAAACAAAACAATTCTATTGCAATGCTATGGATACTGTTTGTGTATTTAATATGCAAGCGGACAGCTGATTTTGCGGCCCCGGGATGTAAAAACCTGCTCGGTCCCCAAATTACGGTGACAGCTGGCATGGCCAGCAAAACATAACTTTCAGCCACCAATTAACATATGTAATACAGCCAAAAACATCATAGTGTGGTGAAAAATTTATATTTATTGATTGTCAGTATTGTCAGCCTTTACTGTACATAACACACCACATTCCAGGAACACAGTGAGATACTTTTTGCCATCTTTCATCTCCTCATTGTAGTCTAATGACAGTTTTGTTCCTCCCTTTGCGTCTCCTCGTGTTTTAGAGGTAACGATCGATAGAGCATTGTGTGTCTCCTCGTGGTTTGTTAATTATCCTTATTTTTCTTTTAATTGTTAATTTGCTAAAGTTTTAATTCATTAGTATTGCCATTAAATTATGTACCTAGCCTCAGAGAAGTATTTACGTACCTCTCAGTGGCTAGAGCTGGAATCTAACAAACAAAGTAGGATTGATAGTCCATTGTCGAGTGTTGAAAGAGATGAGGATGTTGAATGTTTAGTGAGACTTGCAGGATATTCAAGGCATCTTTTAATGAACCATTTGCTGAGAGAGGCCAAAATATCAATGAGAAAGATGAGTCTTTAAACTTTAAAGGGATTTTATCTTTACAAGTCAGTGATAACTTATAATGATTTATTACTGAACTACTTTAGTGAACTATGTTTTTTATAGTTTACTATACAGTTAGTTTAGTATGCTTTTATCATTTATAGATACATAAAAAACCTTTGAGGCCTTATCGATTTATATGAGAAACATTTTACAAAAAAAACCATTCAAGGTGTATGATTTTATTATAACTAACTATCCATTTTAATATTTTATCATCTTAAGCATATTCAGAAGGTTGTAAATTAAGTATTTTACACTATTTTTACGATTTTGAGGAATTAAAATATATTGTTAACCGAAAAATGGCTTTTTAATTGTACCCAGTCGGAAAGACCATATGCCTTTCCTCAGATTTTCAATTCAGTGCAGCCTCTGCCGGGTTAAGCCAGTGAAAATTGATTACACTGTCTGTAGAACTTAGGGTACTTTTCATAAACTAACTCATAAATAATGCAGCGTATAATAATAAAATAGGAGGATTATTTAGTTACAAAGACATACCTCACTGTGTTTTCCAGTATAACAGCATTTTCAATTGAGAATTCATCTCTTGGAAGTCCAAATATGTTCCAATTTTGTATATTTATATCAAACCCTAGAACTTTGACGAAAGAGAAAGTCTCTGACTTTGGAATTTCTAAATCACAGCAGATCTTGCACCAATCATGCAACAAGCTTTGCCTGGGAAAAATAAAAATCAATAAATGTCTATAGACATACCAGAAACAAAAGAACCCTGGGCCATTTCGAGCCGTGCATGTTTGAATGGCACACGGCACCTACCGACGCGAACCACGTGATCTTTTTGTTTCTGCGCAGGTTGTTTTGTTATTGGGATGTCTATAACTGTTTATTTTTTAACACTATAACTATAAAAAATGTGGTACAGTTGAGTAACCAATGTTAACCAATAGGGAATTGCTTGGGCTAATATTCGGGGTTGTTTAAACAAAAGAATAACATAAATAAAGTGAAAACTGTGTCAAAATGTGTTATAATAAACAGTGTAAATGTGTAAATAACATTCATTCATTTTGTTGAACCCTAACTAAACTGACTCTAACTACTATTTTGTCATCTAAACATTTAAATATGTATTAACATGGCCTTGTTGTTCTAAAATTAAAAAAAAACTTTTCTTTACAGGTAAGTGCCCAAAAATCTAATTAAAACATTATATATAATTTAATACAATGTTTTTATCACAATTTTATTAATCTAACATGTTAATTCATTCTCTATGATTCTCAAAACTATATTTAAGTATATCATTGTAATCTGTGTGCATTTCATGTTATAGTTTATCTATAGAAAAACAAGTGAAACAAAAAACTGATTGGAGAAAAAAGCACTGTGCAATAGCATAATTGATGATAGTTGCTGCAGACAAGCCAATTAAGGTTTTTGAATCTAAATTGAATAAGATTGTAAATTTGTATTTTTGAAATAAAAAACAAATAAATAACTTAAATAAATAGTCAGAGTAAAGAACACAAATTTGATAAACATTAAAAGTTTAAAGTAGACGAATTAAAAAATATGGACATTGAAAATCTTACCTGAACTGAAATGTTAGAGGTGCAAGATAAGCAATAACTCCACAAGATAATAAAATGTCACCAGCCAAATTGTCAAAACATGTTTGTAGAGAGTTAGCAGTTTCCATCCAGCGACCTTTCTCACCCCCTAAACCACCTATAACAAACACGGAGAGAAAAGTTATAAAATAAGAAATATATTATATTTGTCAAGAAATATATTTGTCACTCACAAATAAAAGTAAGTAGGTAGTAGAAGTACAAGTGAAGTGCTGACTCTTCACTACTTTCACAACTAAAATTGACATTTTATGATTTTTTTTTTACTTTCCCTTTGCTTTTGGATTTGGACCATGTGTCCACTCATAGACCCGACTGGATTAAAACTCAAATTTCATAGATGAATTTTTATCGAAGTTATGGCTTGGCTCCAATTAAAGGGAGGGTGAAAGATGGAGAAGAGGTGTCCTGGCTGTCAATAAGATTTAGTTCTGGAACTTTATTTTCTTGATCAAACAATTGTTAAAACGATTAGTAGCCTAATTTTATCCCCAAAAAATTTGACCTGAAACAATATTTCTAAAGGATGTATCCTTTATCCTCCTTATGTATACAGTTTTGAATAAATAGGGATTATACAACATTAGTATGATTATTGATTGGATGGATTTTAAATAACTTATTTTTGGTAATTTTTTTAAATAAATAATCAGGTGAAAATATTTGGAACTACAAGAATTGAACAAATGTACCAAATTTAAGAGTATATGAAGTGCATATATTGATACTTATTAAAACCAGATTAAAATTTGTTTAGTATACCTATTAATTTTTGAGCCTTCCACAGTTTGTTTTCACACATTCCTACTTCATCTTCCAATACCTTCTTCCGCTGCTGAGCTGCATCGAGTTTAGCATTCAGATCCATAAGCTTTTCCTCGAGCATTCTCACTTGGGCTCTTTTCTCTTCCAAAATAGCCATTGTGGCTGCAAATTCTCGCTCAGCAATCTCTAGTTTTGCTTTTTTAGGAGCTACTTCCTATGGGAAAAACACGTGAACAATTAAGATTGGTACTTGGTAAATTAATTTATTTTCTTGTAAGAACTTTGGTGAAGAATTTGAGAAGCAAAATTTCGTAGACACTAGCGATCATTATCACCGGACATGAACTAGTCACAAAAACAAGCTTCAAAATTTACAATGGGATGAGAACTCTACTAGTGTTGGTTAGGCTATGCTACAATGTGATGATAAGACGTCTAATACTCTACTTGTGTTGGTTTTTCTATGGTCAGATTAATATTTCATTTGTTTAAAGACGACCTCAACTTTTTTTAACATTCAACAAACAAATAGTATATTTTTACTTGATCCTGCAGGTTGTTGTAAGCTAAAAGATTGGTTTAGTAACTAACTTTCCTTTTACGGAGTGAGGGTGGTAACAGTGTCTCGACAATAACATTGGCACGTGCATGCACCCCTAATCACTCGTTCACACTGAGCAGAAGCGTCAGCGCTGTGGCAACTGGCAATGGCTACTCGATGAGTGTGTACAAGTCGGCAACATCCCTATAGCCTTCCAATTTTGTAACAAAATTGATGCGTAATGTTGAAAATAGTTTAACTATACCAACAGTTATTTGTTCCGATGAACTTCTAAATCAGAAGTTTTTTCTCTACTATTCTGTTTTTTTTTGTCAATTCAAAAGATTTGTTAAGGCTATTTATTTTTTTAACAATTTTTTCCCCTCCAGCCGTGCGCCAAATTCAGCCAACTGAGTTTACTTTACTTCAAATGAGGCATAGGACTCGCAGAACTTACTAAACCTATTACAATTTTATCTCAAATTTAACTGAACACAGATTACCTTAGCAACAGCGTCATACATGTCCATGGCAATAACCCACTTGCACAGGCCTTCAGCAGCACTCGAAGCCTTGGCAACAATGAGTGGCTTGAAGTCTTTGTTAGGCAAGTACTGCTTGCGAATCATAGCCATGATAGGAGGGGATATGTTGTCTTTGTCATAGTCTTTCAGTTGCTGTAGGAAAGCCATATCTCCCAACAGTCTCTTGCTTGGGCCCCAATAGTCCAGGATCTGAATGACAACGTTACAAGACAATTGACAAATAGTTGACAATTTATACATGAAAATAAATAATTAATAAAATTAGAGGACTAGGAGTTATTTAGAAAGACTTTATAACTGATGACCACAACTTTGCAGACCAGTATTAATTTGATGATCAGTTTAACTAACTAGACTGTCAGCCAAAAGAATAATGAACTTTGAATTAAGAAGAGCCTGAGGCAACTAATTTAACTTAATAATATCATATCATCCACCAATACAGAAAACACAGGCAACATATCGCAAATAGATAATAATTAATAAATACCCCTTTCGCAGCAAACCTGCTGACTAAGCAATTTTCCATTTGCTTGATCGGATCTCCACTGAAATATTCCCTTAGTTAGTTAGATTTATTCTCCATTTAATAACATTAGGTTCTGGGTGAGTACTTAAGTTTGCTACTACAAGGAATGTCATAAAGTGATAAAGTGTGTTTTCTATTTTCGATTCTATAAAAATCAAAGTTCTCCAAAAGAGCTAAAGGATAACTGCATATTAATCCTTTGTTGCTGTTTTGGCAACTAGTTTTGGTTCTTCTGAACCATCATCAGGTCTCAAGGTGTCAGGTGATGACTTCATTTGAAGGTCGTAAATTTTGTGTCTCGTTTGCGTCTCCTATATGTTTTATTTATTGAACTCTGTTAAAGGCCTTCAAATGAAACCTGACACCTTGAGGCTTGATGATGGTTCAGAAGAAGCAAAACTAGTTACCAAAACAGCAACAAAGGATTACTATATGCAGGTATGAAAACTAATGTATAAACTTTAATGTAATCAGTTGTGATTAAATTTCTTTTGCGGAAAAAGTAATGATTGCATATCACTGATAACTAGACCAACCTTTCTACCAGGAGTGTTAGGGTCAGGGATTTTCTCAGGTTTGATGTCCTTCATCACACAAACTGCAGCCATGACAAGCTTGACGGTATCTGGAGGATTCTTCATAGACTTGACTAAAGTGATGTCCGTTGGCTTGAGTGTGTTGAGGGCAGCAACAGCCTCTGTTGAAGAAATCAAAGTCAAACTTTCCTACGGAAGGTGTTCCTCAAAAATAAAAAGAGTTTGTTTGGTTGAGAAAATTATTTAATTGATTCTAAAAGACTAAGAAAATTTTAAAACCTTTGAACACTTGTAAGAAAATAAAAAGTCAAAATGAAAATGAGGTTTTTAGCTGAAGATCTTCAAATATTTTGTTGAATTTGATATATTATCATTGCAATGGCGTCATAATATCCATAAAAAAATTGCAGAGGCCTTCAGCTGCACTCGAGGCCTCATTGTACATAACAACAGTGAAATATGATATTCACTTTAACCCTTTATCATACTGAATGAGAATGAATTAGGCTGACATTTATGAAAAATGTATCAAATAAAAGCAAGCGATTAAGCATCACTGGCCTAACAAGCATGTGGTTAAATTTAATTGTACGTGACCCTCTGATTGGAGATTTTTCTTTGCAAGGCTTTCACATTCACTCTATCTGACTCCATGTGATTTTTATCTTTTTGGCTCATAAAGTATTGTGTAAATTTTATTCTTTTACTTTTCATTCTGAATTAGTTAGATGGATGCAACTACTTTAAAAAACACTCCAGACACATTGACTATCAAGTTGGAAAACTCACTTATTGTACTGTATTGATATTTGATCTGTGACAAATTGAGCTCACATACCACAAGCTATTCTTTGAAACTGTTTGAGATCATAGGCGGATCTAGGCCCTGACTTTCAAATCCTGACTTTTCAAGACCGATTTGAAATTCAATACTAATTTCCGGCTTTCCCGTTTTTCCCGACTAATAGACACCCTATAAAAATAATAAATTTTGTTTACAAAAATCAAATTTTGAGGTTCCTATTAGTTTTTTTAAAATTAATTTCTCTAACTTAACCAAAAAGAATGTGAATCCTTGTATCTGGGAGGGCTATGCCCCCCCAAGCCCCCCCTTTAGCCGCCACTGTTTGAGATGCTTTATGATCTCAACCTCTTTGAATCATCAAACTGGATGGATACAACCATTGCAATTCAGATACACTAATGACAGGGATGTGGCAGAGGGTGCATTATTTAGGTGAGTCGATGGTTCATTTGATAAAACAACAGGATATGAATCCATGAGAGCGATACCATGGGTTTGCGTCCTAGTGCCAGCCACAAAATTGTATCAGTACAGCAAACAATTGTACTGTACCAGCTCCCCCTTGCTTTGCTAGATACATTCCAGGCACAGGCTTGCAACCTATGTGGACAGGCAATTGAAAAGTTAAAAGAAAACAGATAATTGTGTGGCTGTTAATGGAGCTTACATTGAGTACCAACAAGCTAAAGATAAGATAAGATCAAGTGAGTCGTCAATTTTAATTTATGTACCAGTTATAACTGTAAGACCAATGTAAGAATTACAATAGAGCACTAAACTTTGATATTCATCTTAGATAAAATTTACCCTCTAAAATGGGGATGGCCAAAGCCAAGTCAGCCTCACACTCTATCTTAAGATTGTTGGCTGCAGCAGCTTGTATCTTAGCCACTTTCTCGTCCTCCCTGACAAGACCCGAGGCCTGCTCAATGATCACAGTCTCTCGCTCAATCACTTCCATCATCTTCTCTGTCTCCGCCGCAGCCACTTGCAACTGTGGCTGAAGTGCTTCCAACTCTTTCTGCATTACTGATACCTATCATATAGAAATGCTGGCATTAAAGCTGGTACAGTACACACCTGATTATCCACCCCTCAGGTTATCTGAGGTCGTTCCATGCCTAAGTATATTTATATTTTAATTTTCAGTCTGAAAAAAAATATTTTATCATAGTATGTTTCTGTTTGAAGAAGAGTGAAAAGAGCTAGTAATTGTGATTTATTTGAACAAATACTTGAAATAACCATTAGCTATTATTTCAAAGCAAGAATGATCCGCAATAACGTAGCCAATGAAAATTACACAGTACTAGGTTGGCCACCAACCAATGGCCAGCTGGACGAGCAGAACGTAAACAAAGCAGTGGCAGTCTTTGTCATTTCTATGTTTTTAAGTCATAGGTTGGGTCAATCTAAGTCAAAACACAGTTTCATGATATTTAAACTAGAAAGATCCATCTTATTTATTTGTTTCAAATACTTTAGTACATTGGTTTAGCATAATTTTAAAAATTCTGTTTTAAATGTTTTCAAGAATAAAGAGAATATTTTAACAAATTCTCCTGTGCATGCTACAAAAGATCTATGTAAGTTGTTTAGCAGAGGTGTGCTAGCTGCTCTATTATCGTATAACATAATAATCAACATAGATACAGTCAAAATCGGAAAACAAGTCTGCGATGATTTGAGGATCGAAAAATCCTTGCTTCTGCCGTGATTGCAGAGGTCAATGTTAACATTTTCAATTTTCAATGTTAACAGAGAGAGGATGATGATAACTTCATGACTGAGAGAGGTGTTCAGGATTTTGCCGTGATCACTGCTTCTGCCTTCATCAATAACAATTCTTATTACTATAGTTTTAGGTTTTAAAAAGCAATCTCGATGATCCACGATTCAGATAGCTGGAATTAAAATAGTTGGAGTTCTACTGTATACAGTATAAGTAAATATGTGTTACTTGTTTGGACGCAAATTCCAGTTTTTCAAGCCCAGTAATAAACTGAGCTTTAGAATGTACAATCTCCTCTTGTTTTTGTGTGATCAAATGTCTGTACTTCTTCACCATCATGAGGTATGAAGCTGATGTGACGTAACATTTACGACCAGTCACAGAGTAAAACTTCTCTGACGTTTCCCTGCAAAAGAATTGACTAGCTTAGATTATTAGAAATAATATGGAAAATATTAGGTATGGACGTTGTTTTAAATGGGGAAATAGAGAAGGCTAGAAGAAGATATACCCTACAGTAAACGCAGCTTCAGTCTTAAACAAGGCCCACAGACTTTATATGAATTCTCTCTTGGGTTTTCATGTCAGCCAGTCTTGTCTTAAGCTGAGAAGACATACTTGAGAGTTGGGTATTTTATTTATTATCATCACGTTAAGACAAAATTGTTTTGATCATAGCCAAGTGTTAATTTGTTTACTTCTCCAACCACCCCACTTAACAAAGCTCCAGGACGCACAACAGCTGTTACATTGACTTAACCAAGCTATACCAAGGAAACAGTTTGAACTTATTAAATCATATTGACTTTTGTATATTAGCTGTGTTTTTTTACTTAACATTTAATTTTCATTCCTTAGTAGACTAATCACTGATTCCAGAGATCTAATCAAATCCATCATATTTTTCCCCTTTTTATAGACTTCACATTTATGACATTGTAAATTTTGCAGTTTTTCTTGTAGACTTACTTTTTCTCTTGTCCCCTTAGTTGTTAGTTCTGAGTTTAGTTGTTTTTCTCTTTGCAGTTTATTTTCCTATGTTTTTATTATTGAAACTCAATTTCTTGTTGGTTTTGTGTAGCTTAGCTATCAATCTAATCTAAATGGGTTGGGCTACTTCAACTTAGGGAACAGATCATAACACATTTGTGTCACATTCCAAACACCTAATAGCGGTAAGCTAAGCTACTTATTTACTTGGGTCAGTGTTGCCAACCCATTTTCATAACAAAAAAAAAAAAAAAAAAAAAAACTCGACAGTTGTTGCATGCTTACTATTTTGTGTTTTAGGTTTAAAATGTGGAGCGTGACAACATGAAATGTGCAGAAATCAGCTATACTTGTGTTATAAACAGTGCGAAAATAGCCACTTCATTAGTAACTTTAAAAACATCTACCTTGCAGTGACATGAATGTACTTGCTAAGTTTCACTGCTGAACCCAATATAGTCTCTTCAATTTCAAGGCCATCCCAGTAATGAAAGGCTATCTTCTCCAAAGCTTCTTCAGGCCAGTCCTAGTTTTTAATTTTTTTTTGCTTATTGATATTATTCAAATAAATATTTAAGATTAAAAGTTCAAACTGAATGCTAAATAGGTGCATACTGCATTTATTATTCTCTCAATTACACACCCAATACACATACAATCCTAGTAGGTAGAGTTGATTCCTATTGTTATTACATGATATTTATTACAGCCTTTACGTAATAAAAAAAAAATACAAATTCTCTTTACTCTTATAAAATAAATAACTGTCAACTTTATCCTAACTATAAATTAAATTTTGTCAAAATGTGCAAAATTGAAGTAAACTGATAGAACCAATATTTCTGTAAAGTTTAAGATACATAACATTAAAAAATCAATATACTTACCAAAGTTACTTTAATGATTGTGTCTTATTTTTAATAGATAAGAAGTCACTCACCTTAAGTTTGTACTCCTTCCCATTGAAGGTCATTGTTTTATAAGGCTAAAAAAGAAAATTTATTTATTGTAGAAATATATTTGTATTTGGTCTCTAGCCCTAAAATAACAAATATTCTGGTTCAAGTTTTTGATTGGAATTAAAATCTTTGTTCAGATTAAATTTACATACTTGGGTGAAGAATCAATTCCAAATATTAATATCAATATCATAAAAAAATACAGAAACAGACTAATTGCATTAGACTGAGCCACAGCACATTCTCCAAACTTCAAGAAAACTGTCACTAGAAAACGGTCACAGCCACAAACAGTTCTGCCCTTCTCATTAAAATATACATTTAAACTTTTTTGTTTGCTTTTGTTTTCTTATGTATTTTGATAAAGTTAATACTGAAAATGAAAATGTATGTTTGTACAAAATAAACATGTTTTAATTCCAATTTGTGTAAAACTTTTGACCCGGTTTCCCTGGTAGTTCACTAGAAAATCTCTAAATGTTATAAAAGTTCTCTGGGTCAAAAGTTTGGAAACCACCGCTGTACAATGATACCAAAAATAAAATCCCTTACCTCCACCCAATCGACTGTGCAATGGTTGAGTAACGAAGGATATAGAGAAAGCCATCGTCGGAAGGAGTAAGATATGGAGCTCAGACTCAGAATTATGTGGAGGTTTTGACGACAGCGAGACACAAAGAAGGCAAAAACAGTCAGAGGGTTTATATCCAGGTTCCGGTTACCTCCCTGGGCGGAAAGACGAACCATCTGGAATGAAAAATGTAATGAGCAAAGAGGAGAAACATGGTAATAGGATCATTTTGAATGACCTTTTGAGGGGTTAGAAAAAAGTAAAACAACCCAATCAGCCTTAAAATCATGAAAACCACTATAAATTGAAACTATTTATTACACTGTATCATCTTAATAGCTTACTTTCCCATGTCAGACATCAAATCATATCAATCAAATCAAATCAAAAGATCTTTATTAATTATCGTAAATACATATTTACGATAATAGTGTCAAACAAGTAGAAACTCAAGCTTAAACGGTGGAAACTCGGGCTTAAAGGGAATTCGCTGCTGCCCTCCCGTGATTAAGGATTCACTTACTACCTACCAACTAATACAATAATTGCCTTAATATATAAACTACCTTCATTGCCTAAGTTCTTGAGCGAGCTATTTAAGATCCCCAACTCACTCAAAAGCTCATGCAATCATGGTAACTTATTTAAAATTCTATAGTTCATGAAACTGGGAAATACAATAAATTAACCTAAATTTGTAGTTTTTATTTATGTTATATTACCATTTGTCCTGTCTTTACAATCTATTTATTTTGAGGATGGTTTGAATGAAGAGTTTTATAATTGGAGTGTAAGACTTACATCATATATACGTTCCAGCTCAGATGATGAGAACATATCTGGGATCTGTCCAGTACTTAAAATCATGTCAAGGTCCTGTAAGAACATTTCGTTGGTAAGCTCGTTCTCAGAGACGAAGAACACAGTTTTTGTATTGTTGCCTCCTGCGTTGATAAGCACTTTCTTCAAGTCATCCCTCCACTCTGAGAAACCTGAAAGAGTTAGATAATGCGTAGATCAAATGTAAAACTTAAATAAGTTAAAGAGGAAAATAAAGTAATGTTTACCCTTTTAAGTCCTTTTTTAGTAGAGTGTTCTAAAATTACCCTAACATAGTTTTTTGTTAAATCTTTCTCGCCTAGTATAGGATTGAGTTCCATATCCTGAAACGTTACCAACACTTTGTTTTTTCCTTATAATAATAATAGAAAATGTCTTGCAAAAAAGATTATAAATAAAAATATTTGTTTTATTATTTCTCTAAACTAGTAAAACTTATCCAAAAAAGTCCATTGAGGACCTAATTATGAATTATGTAATTCTAAGTATTTGTAATACCTATATTTCTTAAATAGGAAGATAAAATAATTTATCAACTTTATTACTTTCCTGGTATTACAATTTTAAAAGTGAACATATGTCAACTAATCTCTAAGACGTATCCAGAAACACGTCGCAATTTTAAAAATTTGAATTTACTAGTCTCTCTATACATGTGTTAGAGTGATATGAGGTAAAGATGTACTCCAGTACTGTTTAATCAAATGAAATAACCGAATTCAAACCCTCCAAAAACATCCCAATTAAACAACTAACATATATAAAAGATTACAACAGACTACAGACTACTAACAACTAACATATATTAAGAAAAATATATCTGCAATAGTACCGAAGGTGACATAAATAGAAAAAAATGTGTGTACCTAGAATTACTTTACTTTTTACAATTAGACAACATTAGACCAAAGAAATAGTGGATGTTTCTCAACTCCAAGCTGCTTGTAATCCTTATATAAATAATACGTGAAGGCGATTTCTACGAAACACTACTCCTCCCTTAATAATGGACAGATTTTTACAAACGATGAGTCAAAACTAAGTATTTTTTGTGTAGACACCAATTCCTGTAAAAAAGTCCTCGGGCTTTGCCCCACAGGCCTTCAAAATCCCAATGTTTTTCTTATGAAGAAAAGATATGTTTACTTAAACAGATAAATAATTTGTATTAATTGCATACTAAAACAGCTGTTCATAGTAATCACATGATACACACAAGAGCGTTCGTTTTCAGTTTTCGATAACTGGAATGGAGAGATTGATTACATTATCTTTGAGTTGACTCTTTTAAGTCATCGGATATTACAACTGTTATTTGTTTTTAAATAACATCTGTAATTTGCAATTGCTCGAATTCGAGCAACAGGTGCACTAGTTTAATAGAATAGTTTACCATAGTTGTGCACAACAGAAGGCTGGTGAAAGTCAGCCTTACAGAGGAGTGCAGCAAGCTGAGTGATAGTCTGGCGTCCAGACCCTCTCATACCCAGCATCAGACACGAGCCTCCACTGATAGACAACACTCGGCACAAACGTGACAAGTGCTCTAGAGCAAACCTAGATCAAGATAGAATATATAAATCTGCAAGTAAACAAATTTAGCAAATTTGGTCACTCTTGAAAGTCCATTTGTTAACATTTCTAAGAATTTTCTTGCAGAGAAAAATCTGGAAAAATAGGTGTTAAGATGGAAGGTCTTTGGGAGTCATTTATTTGGTAAAAGAATATATCAACAACAAGTTTTACTATTCCTTTGTTGGTTTTAGCGAATTTCCCTATAGGGAAGTAGCTATTACCGTAGGTGGCACGGTAAGACCTAGACCCAGGACCGATTTACTTTTTCATTTTGATGTCCCCAGAGGCCAAAAACACCATTCGTTCAAATTTTTATATATGTTTATATATATATATATATATATATATATATATATATATACGTCCGTGAACGCGATAACTTGAGTAATTTTTGTCCGATTTTGATGAAATTTGGTTTAAAGGTGTAAAGCGGGATAAACTTGAATGAGTTCGCGAACCAGCACGATCGGACCATGGGAACGGGGCTTTACGGGGGGTTTTATGGGGTAGAAATTGGTTTTTCTCACTTTTGACCCTCAAAACACAAAATTTCCCGATTTCTCTTTAGACCTTTTTAAAGAGCTTAAAAAAACAAATAATTTAGTATATAAAAGTATTTTTGTTCAATTATTAGTAACGGAGAAAATTAAAAAAATTGTAAATTTAAAATTCCCATGTTATTCTTATGGAGAATATTGTCAAATGTTGTAGTTTGCTTGTTTATGGATATATTTTGATCAAACTTGGCAAATTTATTTATTTTGTACTAAGCTATCAATATTTTACTCAAAAACACTCTTTATTAGTTTCCTTGTAGCAGCAAACCTAGTTACTCGTTAAACCTAATGTTATTAAAATATATTTAACTAAAAATCAATTCAGACAAATGGAAATTCGCTTAGTCGGCAGGTTTGCTGCGGCGGGGGTATTATTTTAATATATACAGACAGAGAGAATTAGACTGTCAAATAATGGCTGTTGAATTGTTGAAAATACTGGCATATTAATCTCAAAACCAACAAAACCTATGGTTTCAGTTTCAGTTTCGGTTTTGAGATTTTAAATTTATAGTTTTGACCATCACCATTGGCCTAAATATTGGATGAGTTGCAGCAATTCATCTTTGAAGCAAACTACAGATAGATTGGATCACTGAAGGCAACCAAATTGTCTACCATTACTTTTACCAATGTAATGAAGCAATCATCTCCTGAAGCCCTAATTTGATATTTGGATTCTAAGCAATGAATATCAAAACCTTATAAGAAGCTAAATGCTTTTGGGGAATAGTTATAGTTAGACTGGATTTTGCCGCCAACATGAGCTTTGCGCTGCTGCTGCTAGGTAAGCGCTAGCCACTTTCTCCACGCCTATTCTCTATCTCACTCACACTGCTGTGGAGTCCCGATAGAAGCGCCTTTCCTACCAAGGGATTACTGCGGGAACTTGCCAAAATTCAAAAATATCAGGCTGAATATTTTGACATGGGAGTTTTGTTTCTTATAAGGTTTGTGTATTCATTCTCATTGGTCTAAGTCTACTACTAATTCGACCTTGTAAGCCTTTAGCTTACCCACATAAAGAGACAACTAAGCTGATTTAACGTACAATATTTTACTAAAACATAGTAAAGGTCAAACAATTTGAAAATTTATCAAAACTAATAGGTTTGAAATAAATATTAGTATAGTAATATTTATTTCAATAATAACATAGTATACCTATGTTGGGTAAACATATTCTACAAACTCCTTAAGGTATTAATACAATATTACAACTGGGGTGTAAGTGAACCTGAATAAAACAATGTTTAGTTTTGTTTCTTGAGTGCTATTGTAGTTCTCAATGATTGGATCCAAGGCCTTCATAAAGTTATCTAGAGACCCGACTTCTTCATACTTCTTGTCCTCACTGTCACAAGTCAATGCTGTTGTGAAAATTAAATTTCTTAAATTTTCCTCTTGAATCTGAAATCAAAAGAGGTGCTTAAATCCTCAGTACAAGGTGAAACAGTAAACAAAGTTACAAAACAGAGTATGGATTAGTGATGGTCGGATCAGGATATCGGACTACCGTACCCACGGGATCTGAGCTAGTACCGACGCCCTATCGTACCCACAAAAAATCAGATCTGGGGCTGGATTCGGTTTTGATGGATCCGAATGTTTATTTTTTATTAACACAAAACGTTCTTTATAAAGTAAAATTCATACATAAGAAAAGGTTTATAGCACGTATAGTAATGTATTTTAAAATAAAATTAATAGTTCAAATAATTAAAATAAACTTCATATACAAGAGACTATCAGTGTCCATATACAAGACTATCTGTGTCCATATACAAGACTATCAAATCAAATACTGTAAAAATTGATTCAAAACATAGGAATCGTACATGAATGCATTTTTTAGTCTGATAATAAAACTAACATATACAAGAAAATTTACTGCAATTTTACACAATATTGTACGAACTTTCAATTATGTACACAATTTTATGCATTAGTTCTTATTTATGTGATAAAAATTAAGAAGTTAAAAAATCAAAAACTAACCATGTTTCAAGTTATGTCTGAAATCTTTTAAGTTGTTTTTTGAATTTGTTAAAATTTTAAATGTTCCTCATTAATTCCGTATCCATATTCAAGACTATTTGTGTCCATATACAAGACTATCTCTATCTGTATCCATACAGGGTGAATAAAAAGTCAAGGCCCCCCCATTTATTTATTTATTTATTTATTTATTTAGCATTTATCATTTATCATTTACTTTTCTAAGCAAATATACAGAGATACCCTTGTGGTGGTCGTGCAAACGTAGCAGGAGCATTTTATAAAGAAGAAGATTATGACAAGAAAAAACAATGTAATGGTAATATTGGCTACCGGTACTATTTTGGATAGAGATGAGATAGCAAACTCTGGTTTTCAGTTTTCACCATTCATTAGCCTAGCCAAAAATGTTATAGACGCCGATATATTCTGTGACATTGCCATATGCTATATAGAAACGATGGTGTTTTGAACAACATGTAACAACTATGTAAAAAAAAGAATATTGTAATAGTTATAAGGATTAGTTTTAAGAAATGTATGACACATTCAATGTACTAAGGTTGTGTACAAAATAATGAATAAAGCATGTTTTGATTTTGAATTTGAATTATCTTTGGAATAAAAGGAATTATAGTTATAGGAAGGTGGTGGATGGAAATAGCACTCTTTCTCTAAAAGTATACATTTAAGTAAACAGTATTTTCCTTTTGCTTCATTAAAATTCTCATCAGTAAGTAATATCTGTACTGAAACAAACATATCTAAAATACTTTACACTATTCTTAGGTTGTATAGTTCATGAACAATAATCACAACACAACCTATTCTAAATTTTCACTGATCATATCCTCAAATGTTACCTCAAGAGTTTTTATGAGTCTATCAAGTTTTGCCGATTTTAATACATACTCTTTCTTTTCATTGTTCCTTCACTATTTTACAGAAAACTACTCACTTCTTCTTGACCTTTTGGCATAAGGCTATCCAGAGAAACGTCAAAACTCTCTTTGAAGCATTCTTTAACAGCATACCTCAACCTGTCAATTAGCTGTGCTCGATCTGCTGTTTCGATCAATCGATCATTGAAGACTCTAAGGGCCTCGTGGACCCACAACCTATTAACAGATTATATCTTAGATACATAATGTGAGCATAGCCAAACTATTTACAGCAATACGTGTACATAATTTAAGGTTTCATTTACTATTTATTTTGTTTAAGATTTCAATTTTTATTCAACGTGAAGTAAAATAGGCTTCAAACCTACAGAATACTCTTGGCATTTATACACCTTTTCTCAAGAATATAAATTTAGTTTACGTTTATAATATAGGGGATCCTTTTAAATATTAAAATATATCACACATGATTGAAGAATGTATATTTCCCAAACACACTGTGGTGTTAGTGAATCACAATTTTTGAGTTGAGTTGGATATCATATTGTTTAATAACCAAGGGAGTAAACTCTACATAGGATTAAAGTGTTTATACATACCCCCCAGGGTATTGGAATTTGTTACAAAATATTGATGTTACATCGTTTACTTTTTGTTTTGGATTAGTATACAAATAAACACAAATAATATCATTATACACCACAGGAAATTTAGCAGAGGTGATTATTCCCTTAGCAAAAATATTTAAAAACAAAATGTCTCAAAGTCTTTTGCTTCTATGACAGTAAGCTGATTCTCGACTCCTCCCTCCAAAAAAACTTCCTCTCTTATTTCTACAAAAACTTCCAGACTATGAAGATGAAATAGAGAAATAGTAATAAAACGTTCAACTTTAAGACAATTGCTTAACTATTCCATGAAATTGTCAATACAAAACTGATTTGAGCAGATTTTCTTCACACATAGACTTTTGCTGCTGTTGGAAGAACACAATTTTAATTCCTGGTATCCAACACAACAGATTCCACTTCATAGTAAGGTCAAAACTTTAGGCAGAGAATTTCACTTGATAATGTAATTGGCGTCATAATATTTTTGAATTCTACAAAAAATATTGGTGGTAAATGTATACAAAATATGCAAACTATAATCACAGTGCCAACTGACTGTGATCTTAAAAGGAAGATTCACATAAAGTAATCACCATTCAGTAAGATTAGGTTATATTATGTTAATTGCTTAAACTCAAGGCAAGATAATCTATAATTACAAATAATTACCTTATGAAGACTTTCTTGCTGTCAATATTCTCACGTTTTACCAGCAGATGGCTGTGAATGAGTTTCCCAAAGTCTCGTAGAGTAAAGGCATAGTGAGGTTTACTGGGGGTTGGTCGCAAGGCACTTGTTGCCCATGATAAAACATCTGTTGTGGCTGCTACAATACACAACACTGTTGGCATCACATCAGTAGCAAATCCATTTCGCTGCAACAAACTTGTTGTTAATAATCGTAGCCCACATCCTAGAACCAGGGGTTTTAGAATTCGGAAATGGCAAGATCATCTGTTTAAACAATTTATAAGTATTCAGAAAATGAAAATTCATCAACCATAATCCTCACAATGTACTAAAACATCAATATGAAAATCATAGAAAATATCCACAGTTTTAACAGAGGCTCCTGATATTCCTTAAAGATACAGTAAAATATTTGTTTGGTTTGAGAGTATTTCAGGAGTTAAAACACTGCAAATAGTGTTTTCCTCTCCTAATCTTTGAATCCCCTCGACATTGTTAAATAATGAATCAACGTTTCATTCAAGGGCGGTCCCAGGGGGGGGGTCAGGGGGGTCATGACCCCCCCCCAAAAATTTTTATATACATAAACTATTATACCAGGGAAACATTAATAATTTTTATTGCAAATCGTTTTACCAAATTTAAATTCGTTATAGTCTTTACACTTGTAGCGAACGAAAGGACTAATTACAAAGTCTAACCTAAAACTTGGGATTGTTCAAGTCTGACTATGCTTTTGTACGTTATGAAAAGTAGGGAAGATCTTCAGACATTGGACGCTTTCAGCCATAAGTCTTCAATCATCTGGGTTAAAATGAATTATAACATTAAATGCCGAAAAATTAAATAAGAAGAAGAATGCAGCCGAACGTCGAACGCCAGCATTGAACACTGCCGTTGCCATATGGGTATTGGATAAAGAAGTTGTGTTAATAGTCAAAGTTTGTTTCCAAATTTTTCCCGGACCCCCCTCCTTTACTGGGGGGTATTCCATACCCCCCAGGCCCCCTGGTGACCCCCCCCCAAAATATAGGTCTAGGACCGCCCTTGGTTTCATTCTCATAGAAGGCACATCGGCTTATTGCTATTAGTTATCTTTACAGACTGTTTTGGGGTTTGAAATATGTATTTATGTTTAAATTTAGGATTACGTGTTTTGTGATGTCCTAAATGTTTTGTCACTTTTGGTAACTTTTCTGCACACCTTTCAACAAATTTAACTGGCCTACATTTATAAAACTTAAAAACTGGAACACTTAATCAATAAACTCAGACTTGAATTTATTGACTTGACAGTAAAATACAAACCAGATAGAGTTATCTTGCAATACTTTTAATAATGTATTACTCATAATAACAAATATCCTTACCTTAAAACCTGTGAAAAGCACCGTGGAAAATATCTTGGCAACAGTTTCATCAATCAGTGGGCTCAATGCAAAGAAAGAGAAATGTCTTAGAATTCTTGAAGAAATGTGCTTCTTATGGCCCCCTGGAAGACCACAGGCCGAAAACAGAAGAAGATCCTCAGCTGCCACCATGGAGTTGTCCTTGGTACGAAACCTGGGCAGCAGGGTAATAATATTCCACTGACTTTAAATTTTAAAAACCAAACTATTTATTGTTTAATCAGATGAAAATTATGTCGCAGTTATAATAATGTGAAGATTTAAATTTTAAAATACTGAGATAATCACTGAAAAAATGACACATGCTTTCTTTCCCTTAGACACACTCATTAAACCACATTTGTCAGGGATTATGAGTATTTCAACGGACTTTCACAAAAATCAAACAAAAAATATCAACAAATTAAAATTAAAATTCAGATTAAAATTATAATTTCAATTCAATTTCTATAAGTTGACATAGATATATTGATGTATCCAAAAATTTCTTGACCAACTAAAGGATTTTTATTCATACATAAAAAAGAGGTAGCCTTCTTAATTTATTGAAAATAATAACTTCTTGAAAGTATTTATTTTACTTTAGTGTTATTTGTGCTTTAGAGTTGCAAATGGAGTGTACATTTAAGTAATCAATTCCATAACCAGTAAATCTCTAACCAAGGCTAGATTTTACAAATTTACAGGATAGGGCCATTGACTTTGGATACTGTGGAAATCCTATATATATGGACCAGCTGTAGCCAGTTTTTATTTAAAAAAATTATAGTTTAGTAAGCCACTCACAGTGCTACAGTCTAAAGCTCTGCTTCCTTAGTTTTTGTCACTGAGATAGTTTATGCGGCGTAAAAGATGAAATAGTTTTAAATAAGTCGTCCTATCAGTTTGACTTTGATGAGAATTTGGTGTATTCAACATAAGTCAGGTATTTACATCAGCACATTCTGTTGGTGTCTTAATTCAACTAGGCCCATTTTCACTCTAAGACTGGGTGCAATTTATCATGAGAATGGAATGTCTAGTTTTATTCATGCACAAAGTTAGAACCTACCACTGTTGATGATCTAGGTAGTGATGCATGACTTCTTGAGGTTCAGGTGGTCCCATGTTGACATCATCTACTATCAGTACTGCTGTGCGTTTACCAGGAGCAGCGTATCTTGTGTGGCTACGGCGCTGCAGCTTGGATATCACATAATCCTAAAAAATGGTTCAAAACTTGTACTGGACCATTCACATAAAAGAAGAACTTCAGAAAGAATAGCTATAAGATGTGGTAAAACCTGAGGTGTATATCTTGTAAATTAGAGTGGCGAGCGGGATGCACTTGCACATATGAAATATTCCTAACAACCGTTGCTTTTGTAATTTCGAACAGACATCTAAAAAATTAATTGCTTTTGGATTAGTTGAATGCCACTAGTGTCCAGTGGTGGGACTTTCAGTGTTTTTGGGAGCCTTTCCCTCATCCCGCTCACACGCCATTCGAATTTACACAATTTTAAAACCGACATATAATTCAATAGTTCCAAAGGTTATTTGATTATTTAATTCTTTATAAACTATCTGCCTATGAACTTTTCTGAAAAACTATCAACAGTTTGGGTTTGACAGATTTGTACAACAACAAAATTAGTAATATCCACACATTCTTCTGTAACGCAGGTCCACTTCAGGAATGAGCAAAGGAGGATTAAATTATATTCCCACAACGCTTACACACTAGGGTGCGTATTTTCATGCTAAGATCATCTGCTTCTTTAGTCAGGAACATTTATTAAAATCCCAATAATCAAATAATGCTAGGTCTTGTTTGAATGATCACAAAAGCTGCAGACTTTTCTCAGGATTATACTGGCAAATGTATTATTGTCAGACGAACACTATAACCACTTTGTTACTCAGGTTCCAATTGTGGTTGATGTACCTTTGATTTGAACATTAAATAAATAGCAAAGGCTGGTATCGACAGTGCGAGGCTGCTCGCTGTGAATGCCTCGTGGCGAATGCTCGGGCTTTCCCTTGGACTGTGGATGCCAGGGTTGCTCGCTATGAGGCGTTTGCGTTGCACAATGTGAGGTTAGCCGTGTTCCAAGGCAAAGCCCGAGCATTTGCCACGAGGCATTCGCAGCGACCAGCCTCGCACTGTTGATATCGGCCTCAAGAAGTTGTAAGATTGTGTAACTAGGGTAATAAACACATATATGATATATCAAATAGCCTTTATCAATGTCAAAAGAGCTAAAAGTGTATGAAATATTAACTAAAGAACCAAGATTTTACATCAAAAAAGGCTTACATAAGATCTTCCAACCTTTAAAAACAAAGTACCTGAAAGAAGTGAGCTGAACTGAGGGGAGAAAAGGATATATTCATTGGTAAATATTTCTCTAGTGACAGTTTATTGATTGTTTTGCTGAAGTACAATGTTTTCCCAGAAGCTGTTGGCCCTGATAGTAGTAGGGGACTTACGTGTTTTACATGCATTTCCAAAATGTTCAAATATCTGAAACAATTAAAATTTTCAAAAAAATATTTGATAAATCAAATTTTTATTCATTTCCCCATAAGTATATCAGTTATTTATCATACCTTGGGAAAAAAAGAATCAGCAGGGTGTTAGCCACACATTTTCCCCATTGTTAAAAAATTTTGATGGAGAAATAATTCCCCATTAAAAATATGAAGTCATATTATTGTGATTCCAATATGTCTCCGTACAAAAATAAACTTCCCACTTCTTAAAAACAGTTAACAAAATTGACTTATAACTATTTAACATATGATGATTTTTTTATATTGAAAAAAACCTAGTTTGCCACTCAGCCATAAGCAGGTTTTTGGCTCTCCAACAGCTCTGTGTCATCGTTCTCTGTCCTCCATCATCTCCTCTGACATGATCCTTCTCATGTCTCTTCTGACTTAATTGCCAATAAGTTCATTTTGAAATGTCATTCTACAACACTGTCATATATACATTGACTAGAGCCTTTCTGCTCTCACTGTTAGGGTTAGCATACATGTTGAGAACAGTTTAGTTTTCCAGCACAGACTTACTTGGCAGATTCTATGGTGGAAACAAGAGAGAACTGGAGGTTTGGAGTGTCCTCCTCTATTTTAAGACTCCTGACAACCTCAGGCCAGAACCGCCAGGCCCCCTTCCCCTTGAAGTGGTACCAGTAATCATTCAGCTGACCTTCACTTGGAATGTTGATCTCCAACTTTTCTATCGTATCTGGCATTGGGTGATTTTCAATGTTGCCTAAAAGTCATTAAAGAAATCAAGACAGAGCTTAAAGAGTGAATTTATGTTAGGGTAACTTTTACAGTCAAGCTTCCCTTACAAATATATAGAGGAAACAAAGCATTAAGTAACATGGCTTATTAATTTTGTAGCTTATACCAAAGACAGCAATATCTGGGAAGGTGATAAAAAAAAAACAGTTATGGCAATTGAACACACCAATAGAATAATGTTTCCGTTAATATAGAAACTTATGATGCACATCAAGTCAGGCCTTTAACAACAGATTGTGAGCATGAGTACTTTTGTTCTGCAAAATTCTGCACAAAATGGTCCATTGATTAATATCATACACAGTGAGTACTTTTTGAAGTTTCAGAACACAGAATTACTCCGATGCATATCCAGCTTTAAGGGCATCATTAATCAGTTTTTCGTCATTCGCCTATTGGGTCTGATGAGGATTGGAGTGTCCAATCAAAATCGATCACCATTACCATCGTTTATATTTACCGTCTTGTTTAAAACAGTATGAGTGTAAATATATGTTTCAAGTGTTATTGGACGCATTTTTATTTACAAAAAAAAAAAAAATTCTTACAAGGATATTTCCAACCAAAACTCAGACTCGAAATGTTTGACGAAAACAATACTTTTTTCACTATGTAGAGGGGGAGAAAGTAAAAAAAGGTAAAATATCATACTAGTTACCTCTCCAAATGTCACGGAAAAATATGTCAAACTGTTCCCGAGATTCTGGTGTGAGTGGACCCCCAAAGGCCCATACTCCAGCCAACAGTGTAGAAGACTGTATCCACACTGGCAAATGCTTCGGGTAGTCTTCATTATCTGCACATGCATCCTTCACCATCATTTCTATCAGCAAAAGCATTGTCCTGCACAAAAGTGAAAACATATCCTTACCAGTGCACTGAAGGATATACAAAGAATTTTTTGGAATGAGATCAGGTTCAGCTGGCTTACCTGAGAAAATTAGAGTCAAGAAAGAGGCCAATGACACAATACAAGTCCACAAATCATTACACTGATATAATCCTAATACATTACTTCCTCAAGCCTAGTCCACACATGGAGACTGAGTCGGCCGACTGTCTGCCGACTGTGCGCGGACAGTCGGCAGACAGTCTGTCAACACAGTTTCGGATACAAGTTTCCGATGTGTTTTGCGTCCACACTAGCCAGCCAGTGTTTCCATGTTTGTTGGTATGGTGACCAAGGAGGACGTAATTATATCCTGTGCGGGCTTCATTTTTCCGAACTATGGGCCTAATGAATCTAGGAAGAGACAATGATGGACCCAACATTTTATCATGGTCACAATCTTCTATCAGACCTTCAGATTAGGTGGATGATTTAGGAACTTCACGAGGTTGAGTTCTAAAGATTTTGAAATTTTGCTGGGCTTTGTTGGTCTTAAGATTTCAAACTTGAAGAGATGAACAATTCAATAAAATGTCGATATAAATTCAATATAAATAATTGAAAACTAATTCTAAAACTTCCAAGAAACTCAATCCAGATTTTTTATTACTGCACAAAAATCGTAATATTACCGCTTTGCAGTCTAACTAAATGGGCTGAATGTTGAACACTTTCGGCTTGTATCCAGTCTCCTGTCTCCAAACACGTCCACACATGCAGACTTGAGACAAAAGTTTTGTCTCTTGTCTCCGTGTTTCCCATTCGAATGGGAAACAGAAAACACTGTATTTTGTCTCCAGAAACACCGAAATTTGTCTGCCGACAGTCGGCCGACTTACTGGAGACAAAATAGCTACACTCCGGAGAAAGTCGGCAGACAATGTTTCCGCAGACAAACCGCCATGTGTGGACGAGGCTTCAGAGAGTAAGTAGGTTGTGAACATATTTTTTCCTCAGGTAAGCTAGCTGAACTCTATCCCTTTTCAAGAATTCCATATTATCCACTTGGCTTCCATTTATAATATTTTGTTTTTGAGGACAGCTGTATTTTGAATGTTCATATTTTTTAGTTATATTGTGGCTTAATTTTACTTAATTGGCAAGTTTTATACATATTTGGTTTTGTTTGATGTATTGAAACAATAACGAGTAGATCCTTCTTTCATTATTAGTGTTTGCATGGTCTAAAGAGTCATGAAACATGAAGAACTGAAAAGCAGATTAAAACTTTTGGGTTCTTTCTTTTCCTTTGGAGTGCAGGTCCTACCCTTCAAAGTCCATACAGTACTCTAGACTAGATTGGCTACCATAGATTCAGTTGAATTAATTCACTCACCTCACCATGTTGCATCTTCCAGCTTTCATAACAAAAGAGCATTCATTCTCAACAAACGCCAGAGTCGGTGGTACAATCCAGTCAAAGAGTGTGTTGTAGTTGGTGGCATAGTTGGACTGGTAGTCTTGAGAGGATAAGAGCCAAGAATGTACAAGGCCTTGCCAACCTACTGTGTCTGGGGGTGAAAAAACAACACCACATCTGGACATGGTGGCAGGAGAAACCTGTACAGCACATGACTTGGCTTGGTGAGTTGTACTAAGGAGTTCGAGAAAAGGTGTACTTTCCACCAAAGGAACGTGTAGGTATAAAAATGTGACACTTTAAACAGAAAGGAATATAAATTTGGCAAAGAGGAAAGGCAGAGAGGAACACTACTTTGTACTAAGGAATGACAAAGAACATAACTTTTGAATTGAGGATTTTACTTTGGACAACTAAGAATATAATTTTTATCCAGACAAACTTCATGTTTTCAGTGTAGAACATGAGTGGCCTGTGGTCATCTGAGCACTTAAAATTTCCATGTAATCTTGTATGGTAAAACAAAAGCACATTAGAAATCATAAATTAACAAACTGGATGGATCTCAACATACTTACAAACTAACTAATATTTACCAACAACCATTATTTTAATTTGTATTATGTCCATTGTAGCCACTGAGATTTTGACATAATTCCTTCACATCTAGAAAGTGTTAAATGGAGTAGACAATTTTTAATTTGTGACAGCTATTTTTTCAAGCAGTGCTCTCTAGTTTCTCATGCAAATAAAATGTTTGTTGAGTGTATGTAAGCAAAGCTAGGATCACATTTTATGGTTGAATCTCATGATGGAACTTGTGTTGTAATAATATCAACGATCTTTGGTTGAGATTTCAGTCTAGGTCTAGTAGGAGTGAATTAAAAATGAATTGACTATTGATGATGAAAACCCCTATCAAATACATAAGAAGTCGGCAGTTTTATTTGTAACCACTACTTTACAGCTGGATAGCTCAGTCGTTGGAGAGCTTATCTAGTAATCAATAGGCAATATACTATAGATAGTATTTATTTCATCATAGAATATAAAACATCAATAATTTCACAGATCAATGGGCTTTTGATAAATATATTCCTGGCTAATGAACCGGTTGATCTTAGTCAGTAACAAATATGTCTTCTCATTCATTCAACACTCATCTTATTGCGAATTTTTGCAGAAAAAGGACACTTTAACTACAGGTAGCAGACCCAAAAACAAATCTATTACCCATACAACTGTGCAAAGGCCCTTAAGCATATTTATATCACATTATCAGTAGAGGTTAGGAATGCAGAATTGCAGGAAGCAGGCTGATGTGATCAGTAACAAACTCACCTGATCCAAATTCATTGTTTCTAGCACTACAGATACATTGGGAGATACAGGAATGATCTCTCCAGAGCTAAGGCAAAGTCTGTGAGATTTGTCAAAGACAGTATTGAGGGTGTCGAGCCAGTAGGACTCCATTGGCCCATCCAGTACTAGCCACTGGTGACTGTTGGACTCCCTGCAACAACGTATGCATTTCAAGACAAAAGAGCAATTTTGACAAATTGGGTGAAATTCTGTGTTTCACCAATGTTTCTGCCTCGATGTAGAGTGCCAGGACAGAATCAAGTCAACCTAAAGATGGTATTCAGAAGGGTTTCATTGATTTTGACAATGCCATTCATTGCATGAAGATCATATCTAAAGAATGTGACTGTGAAGGCCTTTGATAGAAGAATCTTGACAAAATAAAATCAATATGTCTAATCTATCCTTGGGAATGGTAGGATATTGAGAGGCTTACACTGTTCATTAATTTAACTGGACATTGGGTTTTTAATTTCTTAGGACTAACCAAACAAGCTTTGTCATTGTGAATCAACACATAAACCACTGTGCCTGTACTGTCCTGTCTGGCTGTCAAAATCATCTATGAACTGCAAACACTCTGCTACATATCAATCCACGTTTTTTCCCTCCACTGCCATCTAGATTCCGTTGATACTTAAAATCTATACTATACAGAATACAGCTGCTGTTTATATGATTGATCGCATGTCTTATCTCAGGGTGAATCGAGTAGCTCTGAATCTTTTGTCCGATAATTTAATTTGTGATACAATCATACTATATAAAATCTTTCAATTACAAATATGAGTCCTAAAACGGAATATGTGTGTCCCGTCTACGTAAAGTTGGTATTGGAAACCGATAAGGGCATTGGTTGTGATGGACTGTGTCTTCGCTGGTTCCACCGTGATTGCATGAAGATTCCAAAGTCTGAATATGCTAAATTAGCTGCTGATACATCTCTGAAGTGGCATTGTACTCGTGCTGACTGCAAATCAGTAGATCCTATCTCAGAACGTTCTAATAAAATAAAATAAAATAATAATAATAAAATAATCTCTTAAATGTCACTGTGAATTAGTAAAGTCTCTGGTCTTGTAACTAAGGAAGAATTTAAAGATGTATAACTACTGGCATATCTGATTTGAACAAAAAAGTCAACACTTTGACTGCTTAATTTTGAACTACGTCTAACTGCTGGTTAAGAGGGTATAAAACAAATGGAATCTGAGATAAAGAAGCTTAAGGAGAGCTCATCTTCCCCACGACATGATGAGGAACTATTCACAGAAATGTTGGACAATATTTCCTTCTTCAGATTGGGGAAAGCTGGTGGAAGGGACCAACCTATCAAACTTATGTTCCAGGATGAAGCTTTTGTTATGGCCTTGAAGCTTTTGAAACGGTTTTCTTCTGAGACCTTAGGGGAGGCTGGTGGTACTCTGTCTGATGTTTCTGTGGCTTGCGATAAGACCCAGAAGGCGAAGCAGTTTTTAAAAGATATGAGGAAGAAACTAGATGAACGGATCGAAGCTGGTGAATAAAATTTAACCAAGTACCTAAATGGCCAACCAAGAATTGAGTAAATCGGCTCCAAAAAACTAAGTAGGTCTGAGGGAAAGTCCAAAATCAGCATCTATTACAGAACGTCAATGGTCTGAGAATCAAACTGAGTGAATTAGAGCTGTCTCTGTCTCAAACTGTACATCATATCTTGGTGTTGACCAGGACATGATTTGATTAGATTTATTGTAGCAGTGGATAAGAGGTTTCCCTCATCTGAAGTTGTCGTTCCTTGCAATCACCTTAAAAAAATATATCACTCTAAAATAAGAGCATAAAATTATATAATATTTAAAAATAAACTTACCGGAAAAATTTAGGAATTATTCCATCAATCCACTCTTTTGATTCAGGATGAACGTAGCCGTAAATTTGAGACATTGTTAAAGTTTTTAGGTTTATACAGCTGATATTTTCTTCTTTGAGGGTTTCAAACATTGTCCTTACAATCTGAACAGAAGATTTTAGTTTTATACACATATATTTAGTGAAAAACAAACCAAACAGACTATTTGACAGGTAGCATATTATATAGGTTGAATATGACAGAAATAATTTCACAAAATATGTGCTGTAGGGTAAATTCTATATAGCTCTCTATACAGGGGGGAAAAGTCCAGAGACTGTTAAATATTTCAAAAAGTAATAAAGATAGAGCTTTCAACTTGGTACATAGTTACTGGGCATTAACATCATTTTAACACATGATTCAGTGATACACTACCTCTTCAGGGGGACGGCCCACTAGGAGTTGGAAGAACATCATAAACATGAGCTCAAAAGAACAATTGAGTATAAAAAAGCAGCCGTTCAAAAAATTCAAAAAGGCAGATTCAAGAAATCTTTGAACGGCTGCAATTTTTGACTCGGTTGTCCGTTTGAGTTCATGTTTGCAGCATTGTATTCTATAGTAAAGACCTTTAATTTGATGTGCATTGATATTGATAGGCAAATAGGATGATACCTATTTAAGATTGACATTTAAAATTTTCTTCTGACTCTGAGCGGGCCGTCCCCCTGAAGAGGTAGCGCATCTTTGAATAATGTGTTAAATTTATCTTGATGCCCAGTAACTGTGAACCAAGTTTTGAAGCTCTAGCTATAGTACTTAACCAATCTAAATATTTAACTATCCCGGGCCTTTTTTCCCAGCCTGTATACATTGGGAAACCTAATCAGTGAAATATCCGACCCCCCTCTGACAGTGATTTTTGGTCCGATCAGGCACCTTACAGTTTCAAGAGGAGTGACCAAAACAGAGGCAGCAAAATCATTGCGGGACAGCTAAACTCCGTCTGATCCTGCAATTTACTCATCTGGCTCCCAGGGGCGTGCGATTTAGCAACTTGTTGGTATCTGGGTCTTGCGTTTCAGCGACCGCCATGCATTGCTCTTTCTTGTTGGGCCTAGTGAGCCATACATTCAAAGAGTCAAGGAAAAAGCCTCTGCTATGGCCTCCCTGATCTCAGCCTCCATTGAGAGTCTGTAAAGGTTCCAAATCCCCACCATTTCAAAGACTTGAGCGAAACAGTATTTTGTCTTCAGCATGCCATCTGTTATTGACCGATTGAAGCTGGTCTGGACCTTCAAGGTTCCCTCCATGCTCTTGAGGCCCATTATCTTGGACATGAGGTTAGACTCTTCCTCATCACAGTCATCAAACTGCGCCAGGTCGAACTCCATCATCCTATCTCCTGCACCAGTTTCTTCTCACCTTGTCAAAGGAGATCCTAAAGGGGAAACTCCTTTTTGCACTTCAAGGATACAGGCAGGAGAGACATCCTCATGTTTCTCACCGGTGGTAATCTCTGTACCTTGGAGCTGCGTCCAAAAGAATCTCCCTCCACTAACTAACTTGTTTGTTGCTCATCCAAGCTGCTACTCAATGTGTTGGGGGGAGGGGGTTTAACTAGCCATGCCTGTTTTTTTCCAGTTCACCTAACGGCAAGGGATGGCCCAGAAACAGTTTGAACGGGTACCCTCGAGAACAAAACTCCAGTTCCCCGGGCCCCGACCTCTGATTGCCCATCACCAGAGACCTAACATGCCAGGGGTCACCGGTCGCAATCTCTGACCAAGGACCAGAGTTGCTGGCTCCTCACAACCCACTGAGACTACCCATCGGCAGTGCAAAGCACATATCAACTCTTACAACGCAACAGGGGCACTCCCAGTGAAAGCTTCAGTCAGCCTTTTAGTCGCCTCTTACGACAAGCTGGAGAAGGCTGCGGTCCTATCCAAACCTGGGACACCACACAGGTAGAAACCACATATTCAGTCTAACCTCAGCAATATAACACTTAGCCAGTAGCCTATCACAAGCAGTAGTGTACAAAACCTTTTACTGTTTCCTTTGTTCTTTTACCTTTCGGTGAGTTTGAGTAAGATGTGACTGTGATAAACGTTACAGTTTGCATAGCTGAAAAAATGTTGTGCAGTGTTCTATTTTGTTATTATTAAAGTGCAAACTGTGACATTATAAGCTGTTTACACAGTTAGTCTATTCTGCTTAATCGTGTTTTACATGGTCAAACCTAAATAAATTGGACATAGCGAAATTCCTGCAAACCTAGCCTCAATAATAGCGAACCTCGTTTTAACAAAATCCTTGCTTTAACAAATATTCAGTGCGGCCCCTTGAGATTCGTTATATCAAGGTTAGACTGTGTATGTGTTCAAGGTTGAGATACTTAAAAATGGAAATAATTTGAATTTGAATTATTTACATGAAAAGTTGTACTAAAACCCGAATTGGATATTTTACCAGAAACAATTATAATAATTGGTCTTATATGAATTGTAATCTGTTTAATTGAACAAAACTCACTTTCAATGCAGATGATTTTCCAGAGAAGGGATCTCCAAGTAAAATTGTTCCTGAGTACATTTTTAGAGCTTCGTGAATTTGAATTATTTTAGATATAAAAACATCACCACTTTTTAATTTGAAGTCTTTACATATCTGAAAGAACAGGTTTGAAATTAGGTTATCAGTATTGTGACTGCTCTAAATGGAATCTTTTTACCACACTATATGTATACATTTCAAGTACATATTTCAACACAAAAATATGCTATGCTTAAGCGGTAATTACTAAAGTACAAGATAAAGAGTTTTGTTGATCCAAAGATTAAATAATGTTTATTTCAACTTCTGTTTAATTAACTATGTTGAAACACAGTAATGTTAAAATACAGAATTTAAAAGAGCAAAAAGACACCATAAGTGCTTAAATGCTTAGCCCTTTCAGTGCTATGCGACGATATATCGTTGTGCGTCTTTCTCCCGAAAAGTGCTATAGAACAATATATATTGTTGTTCGAGTTTCATTTGAAAAGTGCTAAGCGACAATATATCGTGACGCCGCTACTTTCGATTGTGTGAGTTTAAATGGGCATATCAGTTGACTCGGTTGTTGTTTTAAAACAGCGATGGATTCTTTCGGTTCCTAATATGAACAAGGCCCGATATATCATTCCCTACTTTTGAGTACTTTTGAGTACTTTTGAGGTAAAAAATTTTATTTTTACAGATTTTTTATCGCACACTAGAATTTGCCCCCTTGGCACTTTTTGGACAAAATAAGTAAATAACTCCAACATTTTTCAAATAGCTACAAAAAAATTCTAGCATCCAAAGGGTTAAAGGGGGTTGGGCAACATGGCGGCCGGTAGTAAGGTAGACAAGTCTGGTGCATGTTCAACCAAAGTTACCAGTTGTACGGGTGGAATGCAGTGTTAGGGCGTTTGTGGAAGATGGTTTCATCTTAAATGCTGTGATATTTCAGAGAAGAGTGCGTAAAATTTAAAGACTTATGTGAAAAGTCTTTTTGGTTCTGCGCTTGCTGCAGCGATGAGGTTAAAGACATGATTGAACAATGCAAATAAGCCAAGTTGAACAATGAACAAATGAAGCAAGTGTGAGAGTGTTGACATTAAAGAAGTGTTAGAAAATTTTTAGAAAATGAATGAGTTATATTATAATTTAGAGAAACGTTTCAACTGTATTGAGAAATCTAAAGGACAATCTAGTCAATCCAGCAAGTTAACAAGTGATTCTAATGTTTCGGATGAAGAATCGAAGTCAAGAGATGTATCGAGTAATGTGAAGCAAAGTGATGATTCGACTATCGCAATAGTCGATAACTGAGACATTCAATCATTCAGAAACATGGCATCTGAATGGTTTCTGGCATTGATTCAGAAACTGACGCTAATGAAAGTGAGAGTGAAGCTCAAGTGTTTGATCCATTGAATGGCGTAGTATTGGAAGAAGAAAATAAGGAAGCGGCCTGGAATATAATCAATTGTAATAGAAACCAGTTTTCTTCTTTTAAGTGTTCGGCTAGTCCCGATCTTTTCAATCAACATCTTGTGAACTCTGAAAAACCATATTGTAGCAGATACCCCACCTCAGGTTAATGAAGCAGCTGGACAAGTTATACTTATGGAAAGGCCTCAAAATTGGGTCCAATAGATAAGGGTTACCCCAGATGATATTGTAAATATAGTAAATAGGTTTAAGGCTTCGCCTTGTGTTGATCAATACGGAATGTCATCCATCTTTCTGAAGAATGTTGTACAACCAATTGCCTATTCTTTGGAGGTAGTTTTTAACTTGTGTTTGGAGCTGGGACATTTTCGCAAAGAATTTAAAATATCTTGAACTGTACCTGTGTATAAGATGGGGGATACTGAATCATTAAAACTGCTTTGAACACAAAGAGAGCTTTGATTTTGCAGATGACTGCTGTTAAGAATTATATCTTCGAGTGGTAGACAAGATCATAGCAGACCACTTTTTGAACAGCTTGGCATTCTCACTGTACACAACCAATACATACACGACTGCCTCTTTCTCTTGAAAGCTGACCCTAGGCTCCCTCACATTACACAAGACCAACGCCACAACCTGCAATCTGCAAGGAATGTTGATGTCCTGGAGTGTAGGCTCTCCAAGACCAAAGACTGCTATTCAGTGTTGGCTCAAAAACTATTTGCCTCTCGACATTAAAGAACTCGGTCTTGCACCTTTTAAAAATAGACTGAAACAATGGCTGAGTAGGAAGTGTTTCTATTCCATCGAGGAGTACTTTGCTGCAATGGACTTTTGAGCCTGAATCTGGCCGCCATAAAGTGTAAATATTGTAATTATTAGTTTAGTTTATTTTAAAAAGTAAATTTGTATCTGTCAAGATCAATCCAGTCATCTGGTCAACGATCGCCAGTTCGTATGGTAACGGTAAATATGTGGTATTGTAATTATGTTAGATTGCTTTTAAGATGCATATGATAAATTGTTTTCTTTTTTGTTGTGATAAATTCACCGTCCTACTTCTAGATATTGAATTATACTAATTTATAGTATTTTATTACCTTGCAAAATGCTTAAACGTCTGGCTAAACAACATGACTCATCGCAAATGGACCACCTTCAGGTTTATCCCCTTTTACGATTCGTCATTTTTAAAATTGACTAACTGCATTCAGCCCGACCAAACGTGTGCACTCACTGTGACGCTGTTCTAATAAAAGTACAGTCTTTGCGTAAAATGTGTCTTTATCAATTTGTGTTTTGTATTCAATTTTAAATATGACGAATCGTAGAAGAAGATAAACATGAAGATGTGGCAATCGCTACAAAACATGTAGTTTCACCAGACATCTAAGGATATTGCAGGGTAACACAATATTTTATATTAACTGTTTTTACTTTATATTCATTTGTTTTTTATGTAACTGACTGGAAGTTACATACCGCACAGACCTCGTAGTTGTATCTGTAATTATTGTATTAAAAAAGAAGCAAAAGAATGCATTACGAATTATCTTTGATATTAAAAATAGACGATGCAAAAAATAATATTTTCCAAATTAGGCATCATGACTGTGTACAACCTATATATAATAATTTTACATGTAAAAAAATCCAAAACCACAAAAATACAGTCAAAATTTACATACATAAAACTTGAGGAATAATAGATGTGTAGAACCACATAAATTACAGTTTTTGAAAAAATAAGTATTTATTGGTAATCAATTTCTTTATAATCTGCCTAAGAATATTCTTTGTGAAGAAAAATATAACAGTTTCAAAACCGCCATAAACTCACCCTAATTTTTCAATAATTCGATTTTTTAAATTAAAGTAATGTAAAATAAAAATTTTTATTAGTATCATACAACACCATGAAAATAGTTGATTGGTAACTATTACATTTTAATTAAGGACATCAGTTATAAGATTCCTGTTCAATGTATTCATGTAAATACTAATATTGAATAAGGATGATTTGAGTTGATTTGATTCTTTGATTTTTGCATTCACAATTATGGAAAATATACTTGAAATAAAAGATCCTAAAATCGTAACAGATCTAGTACTAAACTCTTACTTGAAGTGCAGAGGTTTTAAGATGATGATCACAGTAAGAAATAGGTGAAAAATCCATAAACAAATGTTTAAGAATGGTGTAGAACACTTGAACGTCATCACCAGAAAGCTTGGGAAGAAGTGTGTCTGTGATTGCCTTTAAGAAAATTTTACTTTCAGCCAAATCCTCTTGAGAATCCTTCAACCTTTTTGCTACCTTCAGCACCGACTTCAGAGATCCAAAATCTTTAAAACATCAGAAACATGTTATCGTTTTCAGTTCTAGATTATTACTACAAATATCTTAGGTATGGTTAAGGACCAATTATTTTGATAAATACGAGCTCCTGATGAATAGATAGATTCATTTACTGTATTTAAAAATATATTTACTGTGGTATATATCTACAGTACAAGTTAATACTTGACTAGGTTGTAACATTGCCTTTGGATACTATAGGGTTCAAATAAGAGTTAGTTGACTGAAACAAACATAGTCTGCAACTGTCCAAATGTTGTTCTTCTCTCAGTTTTGTAGTTTTTTTTTTTTTTTTTTTTTTTTTTTTTAAGAGGTTGGCGGCCTCTTTTAACCTTGCATTTGCCCATCCACATAGACTAAGCGCCCGTGCGTGGATCGTTTGCAGCAAAGCAAGGAGTGAGCCGGTACAGTACAAAGGTGAACTTTACTGATAAAATGTTATCGGCAGTGACCAGGATCCGAACCCACGACATCATTCCCAAAAAAAAAAAAATATATATATCATAAAATATGCAAAATGACAATGAGTTTTCCTTTCAGTTTGGCTTATTTGAAAATTCGGTGTGTGCAACAGAAATCAGTAATTGACAAAACATACTCTTTTGGAGGCTCAATTCAAATTTATTTTTGATTTTAATACATACAGTATTAATTTTAAAATGTTAACATGACATAAGTATAGGAAGTCGTTTTATTTGAATATTGAAAGTTCATATTCACTTATAGTAAATAGTTTTAATATATATTCTAAGTAAATAAAAAAAGTATTTCAAATGATTTCAAACTTTCATTGGAAAAATAATGTTAAAAAAGTGCAATTAAAATGCAAATAATCTGCTGACTAAGAAATGAACCAACTCAGAAACAATATGTGGGCAGTATATTATTAAAATCAACTATGTAATAATTTCATACCATAACAGAAACGAGCTTGCTGAGAAGACTGTTTGCTGCCGAGTTTTTGAAGTGTGACTAATTTCAATGTCAACTCATGAGACTGAGTGAAGCCAAAAGAATAAAGGGAAACTTGTGCTATAGTCACTATATCAGGGTACATCATGGCAACTGGACGAAACAACATCTGAAAAATCACGATCCCTTCTTCAATGCATACATTTACATAATTTTAGTAACGAGGCATTGAACAAGTTTGAACAAGTTGACTGTTCCATTTCTCAACACATTTGACAAGAACAATAAGAAGTAATAAACCCAGTTTTATCTCATAGATCAGATTTGGTTTTGTGTTACACTGAAGTGGTAATATATTACAGTAACAGAAAAACATTAAATTTAACTCCATTAGTTGTGGTAATGATAAAAAAGAGATACTATGATAAAGATTTATTGTGAATCAAAAGTCATGACAAAATAATAGTGGTACATGATCAGTTGTATTCACTTCCACACTTGGCCTATTGTAAGTAAATTAAAAACAAAGCTATGCTTTCTGAAACCCTTGGTGTCCAGTTAACCGGAGAATTGGGAATCGTACATGAAATTTTATGACCAGGTAAGTTGCTGGTGGGGGTTTTGATTTTGTAAAAACCAACCCCAATTTGAGGGTGGGTGATGAAATTCAAAATAATGTTAAAAAGTGTGTGACATCAACCTGGTCACCTGTACTGAAGGTTATTTGGAAATTTACAGCCATGAAAAAAATAAAAGTGATGGAATGTCAAGTTCCAGTTAAATTAATGTCTAAAACTTCTTTAGTTAATTTTAAGTTACCCCCAGCAACCCCTATGGTGGGGGTGAATTTCAAAATACCACCAAAAAGTACTTTACATTACCTTAGTAACGTGTATCGAAGCTCGTTTGAATATATGCAGTGGTTCAAAAGTTAACCAGGGGGGTTATAATAGAACACTTGGTATATGATTTATTTCGTTGTCTTTGGGGGTTTATTTCTAGGTTTCAACTATTTTAATCTTAGAACATATCCGTTAATATTGAGCCAGATTCTAATACTAAAATAGTTTTCTATTTGAATTTTAGAATATTTGCACACCCCTACATACCTGGTAGGCTTACCTTGAGGTTGGCTGGGATGGGAGAGTGTACAGAGATGCCTGGGTACAAAGTGACACAGATGTAGCAGCGAGGGATGCTGGAGGAAGGCTCCCTCTGTATCAGGTGAGAGATCGAGTCTAACTGCTGGGCCACCACAGACAACACTTCTAGCCTCATCTGGTGAAAGTCATTGAGACACCCCCATGCTCCACATCCTGAAATGCCCTGTAGGAACTGAACAACCATAACCATAACAAACAAAGGCCAACAACAAGAAACAGCATTTAGATGTTGAATTGAATTATCAGATGGCTTTTAGTGAAGGGAGCTCTCCAATCATCGGTCTCAGAGACATTATCATTTTTTCCTGCTATCATGGCAAAATCATTAATTTTTCACTAGACTGTGGACACTGCGGAATTTTTGGTGCACACAATTTCTGTGATGGGAATAATATAATGAGGATAAAAACTTGGTACGGCTTGATTTTCGGACTTAGTGCTTAATCATTCGAAAATCAAGCTACTTGCACCCCTCTAATCTTGAAACAACCTTTCACAAACACTAGACGTCATGTGGACACAAACACAGTTTCACTACAAAGCAACACAACTGGACTGGGACAACATATCATAATTATAATACCAGGCAAAGACACCATCATAGACAAACCTCTCATAGGTTGGAAATTAGCTGCATCATTACCTCAAAATCTCGGACCAAAACTGCTTAACAAATTACAAGCCAATCTACAATCCTTAACGTCAATTAAGATTTTTATAATTTTTTTTATTTTAATGATTGACCTTGTTCATGCACCATACATCCACTTCCTTTAGTTTTTTTTCTTAGTGTTTTAAAAATACAAAACATATTCATATTGAAGGGAGAATAAAACTAAAATTATTTTTTGTTTGTTTTTGAATGGTTAACTATAAAATAGTTTTAAGCAACTTTATGCAAACATTAACATAGGGTCCATCATGGAATCCTCCATACCAAACAAAATGGCTCCAGGAATTTGGTTGTTAGTTGTTACCTTTCCAATAGCAAGATGACTAAGTTCAGGGGTGCAGCAGAAGGAGAAACAATAGACTCCGACAGCTTTTGCTAGATCTCCGACTGTTTCACTCTTGCCTGTTCCTGGAGGGCCTTCCGGGGCTCCGTGGAGGTTCATGTGATAAGCTGTTATCAGAGTACGAAAGCATCTGTCAGTCAAGGGCGTTATTACTAGACGAGAAGTGTTCCCCAGATACTCGTAGCCATATGGTAGAACAGAATTTAATAGCCTTATTTTAACAACATCTTCCTGGTAATACCTGTAAATAAAGAGTCAAGAGTCATTACCATGTTGTTTTCAGTAAGGTTTTAAATGTATGCAGGCAAATATAAAGAATATTCTAAAACTTAAAAAATAATTTTTAATTTTCACTCACAAAAAACATTAAATATTACTATTTTAACTGGTGAACATGGACCATGGTACATGGGCTATTCGGAAAGTAACCTCCAAAGCAACTACAAAGCTACATGTTATGCTTACATACAAAGCAAATCCCACCGCGGCTAGTCCGGCTCCTCGCTTTGACAACGTTATTGCAGTAATATCGTGACTATTTGCTATGGTCATGTGGACATCATCTGCGTCTCCCACATTCTCGGTAAAAATCTTGTTCAATGTTTATCTCCCGCGATCACGGAAACGTCATCATAGTTTTCTGTGATCACGAAAACATTTATCATCATACTACGTGATCGTTGCAAAATATTGAACGTCTCCCATGGTCATGGAAAATCCTATAGAAATCAAATTCCAAGGCCATGGTAAAAATCATCATCATCTTCGGTGGTCGCAGCAAAATCCATAACATCCACTGCAGTTGTGTAGACATCATCATTTTCTTCAGGAATCGTGGTAAAATATTTAACTCCCAAACTCGCAAGGATTTCACCATCCTCTCCAGCAATCATGGAAACTTATCAACCTTGAATAGTATACCGATGGTTCAAAGGTAAGAAGTGGGACGGGGACTGGAATTAATGGAGAGCAAAATAGGGTGGACTTATGTCTTCCCATTACTTTGTATTTTGGTCTGTTTCAGTCCCACATACTCTATGGCACTCTAGTTTGGGGGCATTCCCCTCATGTAGCTGATATTCTGTTGATAAAAAAAAAGGCAGTACGTAATATTGCTAATTATAGATCCCTAGCTCATTGTAAACCTCTTTTCATAGAATTAAAAATTCAACAGTAATTAGTTTGTACATTTGTCAAGTACTGTATTACTCTACACCAAGTCAAACTTGCATTCTTTCCCCCTTAGATCTGACACTCATGAGTACAACATTAGGGGTGGAGGCAAGCTCAGCATGAAACCTCATAAGACTGGCTAAAACGGGTGACTCCTTCAAAATCAGCTCAATTCGCTTTTTTAATAAACTACCTGACAGTGCAAAATTTGTTGATTATAATATTTGTTTCGATATGATTTATAATTGGCTTATTCAAAATCCTTTTTACAGCCTAAGTGACTTTATGAAGTGCAATTTTGATGTTAAATTTTAATTAAAATAAGTTATTATGCCTAACTGTATTTTATGTAATATTTTGATGTATCAGAAATTTGATTGTATTTAAGATGATTATTTTGTAATGTATATAATGTGTCCTATTTCTTTGTAAAAAGATCAATGGAATAAATTATTCTTATTCTTATTCTTATTAGAATGCATTCAGGCTGAAATAACTGTTACCATGGAGTGTGCCAGGGAGAACCTGAGGCAGGCTTCAGGGACATATACATTTCCATTTTCACAGACAACCAGGCTGCAGTCAGGGCGCTCGACTCCTGCGAGTTCAAGTCTAAGGTGATCTGGGACTGCCTTACAACAGTATCTGCCCTGGGCAGGTGCAACACAGTAATACTCTGTTGGGTTCCTGGAAACTCAGGGATAGAAGGGAACGAGGTGGCTGAATGAACTTGGCGTCAGCCTCAGACTTTGTGGGACCACAGAATTTGTCAAGGGTATGCATGCCAGTCAGTCATGTCATGGGCTCAAGAGAAGATGGGTTAGGCTTTAAAACCATAGGATAAGCAAGCTCACTCTCTTCCCCCCTTCCCAGACGGTCGCCTCCAATGCTCTTCGATTAGTCAGGTGGCAACTAAGACAGATCACAGGAATGGTCTTGGGCCATGGCTTCGTGAAATTGCACCTGTATCACTTGAGGATCCATAATGGAGACACTGCATGTAGGAAATGTGGGCAGTCCAATAAGACTGCAGATCATTTACTCGATGACTGTACAGCTCTGAATGAAGTAAGGGAATGCACTCTTGGGACAATGACAAGGGGCAGACACCTTCCTCAGGAGGAGCTCATAGATAGGATGTTGGAGTTCATCAATCCCCTAAATTTCGACGGACTCTGATGCACCAAGCGGGGAGCACAAAAAGCCCATCTGTGGCTGATGTGCACTGCGACAAGGTCGGCCCCGATTCAATCAATCAATCAAACATATTGTAGTTAGGGGACTATCTGTGATCATGAAAAACTCATGAATAACTTGTGCAGTAAAGGAAACATCATTATCGTCTACTGCGATCACGGCAAACTCTTGGATATCTCCTGCGGTGAAGGAACATCATCGTCATGGCAGAATATTAACCCTTCGTGGATGGGTGACGGAAATATATCCACCTAAGTCTTCGGCGATAAAGGACAGGTGGTGGATATATCCGCAGATCGGTTGCTATGTTCCGAACAGAAAACGGATATATCAGCCTTATCTTCAGACAGCCTGGCTGGTGTTTTTGCAGTACCCAGATGTCTCAGATGCAGCCAGCTAAACCATCGCTTAACACTGACAGTAATCAAGTTGTGATGACAAATATACAAGAGCCATGTTACAAAACCTGTTTTTATAGATTAAGCAGGAAATTGGGAACAAAGTTTATTTTTATACAAGTATATAATACCAACATTTTGTTATTTAAAAAAAAATCCACTCGTCAATAATGTATTTCTCATTTTATCAGCCTCATTTTTTTAGTTTAATTGAAACATTTGATAGCAGTCAGTGATTGAGTAAAATATACGATTGAGCTATTTCCTCACTTTGTGTCAAAAATTTGGCATCGAATAACAAAATGGCAAAACACTATATAAATAGACGTACCGTAGCTGAACGAGCCAGTTGAAGTCAGTGTCACAAATAATGCTTTTTGAGATTATCAGTTGCAGTACCTCCAACACATGAACTGTGAGATTAATCAGAGCTTCCAAACTTGTACGAACCCTGGCTAGAAGTCTGCCTCGTATCAAACTGAATATTGCCTCTCTTTGGTTCTGAAACCAACATATTATGTATTTGTTTGTATATTTACCATTCAAATGTTAGTTAAGAGTCAAAACCCTGCTCTTATTGCTTAATGTTAATTTTCTATTTGAGCAGCCTTTCGGGCAAAACAAATAATTTAGTGAAAAAAAACTTTACTTTAAATTCTTACAAAACAATAGTTGATGTCTCGTCAATTTCGGTCAGCAAGTCATTTCCTTATAAAATATTAGCACACTGTTAATTTTTTACCTTATTTTCTTCATAATTTTGAAATAAAATTTGGCATTGCAACTCTAAATAGTTTGAGTTTGTAGTTTAGTTACGGTTTATCATCGTTTGGTAAGGTCATTGAAGATTTAATATTCTTAGTGTAAGTGTTGCAAATGTAACATATGAAGTTTAGGCTTTACTTCAGTTCTGGTTTCATTTGGTGTGCAGGTGTGAGGAGCTCACCAAAATGCGTTCTTTTAAAACGTTGATATTTTGTGTTGTTTGTGTTATTCGTTTGCGTGTTTGTGCAATTTTGACTAACATTAAATAATGTGCCGCTTTAGAATTATGCTACTGCTGATGAAATACTAGGCTAATTAATTGTAACAGGACCAAAACATGTACAACATGATGAAAATCAATGTTTTGACACCATAAGACTACAAGTTATGTAGTTATTATTAATAATTGCTTATAAATATGTCAAGGCTACTTGAAATTAATGTTAATGTTGAAGGAAGACAAGTACCTGGATATTTTTGTGGACAAAGTTGAGCTGGTCAAGGTTTTGCTGGGTCAGACAGTTGTGTATCTGACCAGTCCTGATCGTCAGTAGAGCACACTGGACTGCCTGTCCAGGCCATCCTACCACCCACTCACTGAACACTTCCTTTTTGTACATGGTCAAACACTTCTTACACTGCACCTTCATACTCGCTTGCATCTGTTTCTCTACCTATAGACAACAGTGTTTAATTTAGACAACAGTATTGGGCAACAGTGTCTAAGATCTAACTCACCAGGAAAACACGTCCATCGTGCATAATCTTCCTTTAGCCTTAGTGTGACAACCTGGGACAAAACATGTTCTACAACGGGGTTACCCGCAAATTGTACAATTTAATACAAAAATAAAAGTAATATAAATGATGAGCGGGAAAGCGTTGTAAAGTGTAGAAGTACAGAAGCATACAGAAATTTTTTTTCCAAAACAAATGTTTCCTTATATTTGGAACACCCTTATAAAGAAGGAAGACAATTTGAATAAATTAAAAAGAACACTAAAAGGCTTTTTAATTAAATTTCCATTTTATTCCATAGAAGAATTTTTTTAAATAAAAATTAGTAGCTTACATAATTTGAATTCCATAGCAAAATTAGGGGAACAATTTAAATTTTCACCATGATTAGTAATGCTTTTTCTGTTCATTGTATATTTTTTCTTAAGCCCGGAAAATGGATACATGTTTTTTATTTTAATAACTGCTAATGTTATTGTGATTGCAATAGTGTTATATTTTTAATATATATTCAATTAGAAATTCTTCACTTATCTGAATAGTATATTTTTAAGCACTTTGTAATATGTAGTTATATGTATTTATAGCCTATTTGACTCTATTCAATACATGTTATTTTATGTATAATGAATAAAGAATGATTTGATTTGTTTTGATTTGAATTCACTTAGTCTGCAGGTTAGCTGCGGGGTTGCGCTGCACTAGGTTGTAAGCTCTAAAATGACACCTCAATCGTAAAAACCGATTGGACAGGTGAAAAAGGTTGTTACCATACAGAGGACACCTTTTCTGTATTAAGTAAACAGATGTTGGGTTATTACACCACAGTTTACGTAATTAGATGGTTTTCCCTACTTTAAATCAGCAGTTTAACTAGGTTGTAACACTATGTGTCGCAAAGAATTTGATTTCTGATTGCAATGATCCATAGTGATGAGTGAGCACAGCACTGACTAAATGGCTTGATTAGTTTTAATTTAGCTGAAAACAGATAGACATCAGCAAAAGTAGTTAAACAGCTTGGTTAACTAGTCAAGTAGTAGCTTTACTAAGTAGTAGTGTATCCTGCTATTCGGGGAAAAATCTTGAGCTTCCCTCATGATTACAGACATCATGGCTGTTTTGCCCTGCAATCGAGGCAAATTTAAGAGTATCTCTTGCAATCTTGAAGATATCCTTCTTGTCTTCCACATCCACAACAAAATGATTTCACAACAGCAAATAACTTAAATTGTCCACCATTTTTGGTGTTGGTTTTTTCGCCGAAAACCGGTAAAATCAACAACTATCATAAAAAATCTATCTATTCCTATTCTAGATAATATGATGAAAAGATTTATAACATTCAACCAACTTACATCAAAAAGTAGTTTTTCCACACACCCAAAATATTTTTCCACTTGTAAAGTCTGTTCAAATGTGATTGTTTCTCCATCAGGGCCTTGCAATGCGACAACTTGGTTGTTTTCGTAAAATAGGTCTTGAACTCCTATGAATATCTTTTCCAGATGAGTGTGTATCACATTAGTTGATTTGGTTTCAGCTAAAATGTGCAGTATTTCAACATCAGATAAGAAAAACAACCTGCAAATACCATTTTGTGTTTATTGTTGGGAATGGTGATAAAAATCAAGTGTAGTGATGTGTGATTGAAAACATCACAATCAAATAATATTCTATAATAATAATAATATTATAATAAACAGCAAATTTCTGTTGTAAATATTCTGTGAGTATTGCCTCACAATTGGGGTGAGTACTACACCTCTCCTTGTAAGGTAAGGCCGCGTTTACAACGGAGTTTGGAACTTTTTGTTGGTAACACTTGTTTCTAAAACAAAAGAGTACAACTGACGGTGTACTTTTCTTATATATTGTTGGAGACAATTTAATCAGCATGGGAGACGGACTGGCCCATGGTGGTGGGTAGGCGCTGGGGGTAGCGGGAAACAAATGTTCCCTCATGTTTGGAACACCCTTTGATCTTTACCGACTTCTGGTGGGAAACAAAATTTCTATTTTAAACACTAAAAAACTGTTTCCAACATCAAAATGTTTCTGTTCAAAAAGTAATGTTTCTTGGTTTTTTTATGAAAATTAGTTGAAAATATGTGTTCCTAACTGCGGTGTAAATGCGGCTTTAGTGCAATATTCTTGTTTGGAACTTTTCATGGCTCAGACTTGCACTTTGTCCATAGTCACAATAAGCAAACAAGTTATAACATATTCCTCTAGCACTATAATATCGCTGCATTGCTTTATTGTTTTGTATGGTTTACTATTTTTGCTCCTGTAATATGAGCGCTTTGGGGTGTATTTTCAATTTTTATACTGACTTCTGATTGTTCAACAGTTTTAGTTCATACTTTTTTTTTGTCCTAGGACGCTAGGTACGAGCCCGGAATTGATTTTCACATTACTTCAGGCTAGACCTGGGGGTTGCGGCATTATCACTTAGATAAAATACATTGGTGACCTGACGGGATTTGAACCCAGGACCTCAGGGACCAAAATCCCGCGCTCTAACCACAAGGACAGCAACCCCCCCCCTCCCCCGCCTACACTGAATTATAAGTTGATACTACAGGCCAGTCTTGAGCTGTTCAAACGAGGGAAAGTCTCCTGTGCAAAAGCATTTTTTTTTTTCAAATACTCTACAACAAAAGACAAACTGATGTACTTCACATGGATTTTCTAGTAAATAAGCACATAACATATTCAACAAATATAATCCAAAAACAGATACACAAAATATTGCTGCCTCAACCAGTTATAGGCCTAATGGAGTGTTAAAACATGATCAAATGCATTTTCAAGACATTACCTGGGAAAGTACATTTGAAGCTGGTTTAGGTAGATCTTGACACCAGCGTTGATGTTTTCTAAGATAACAAACATTCTAAGAACTAAGTTCAAGAGAAGAAGGTCACCAGCAGCTTTGATTACTTGCAGTCCTCTGCTTACTTCCTTCATTAGATCCCTGTACATCTGATCCACCTCCTGTAACAGTGGAGAAAAAACACCATCACTGTCGGAACTACCTGTTTTCTTTCATTTCTGGGAAGAAGGAGGGGGATGTAACGGGTCAAATTGTAATTGAGGGGTAATATTTTCACAATCTTCCCAAATACGTTTATTTGGTTCATGCAAAGGCTACAGCGAACGCTGGACGTGGTGACATCATGTTGAGGGGATGACCATAGTTCTCAACCCCGATGTCAGGAGCGTAAGAGAGTGCTGCTCAAGAAGCGCTGGAGCAGTCAGTCGTCTATCAGCCACCAATGTACACTACACGATCTCCCACACGACACTATCAGGCAATATCCAATATTAAAATCACAAATCGATAAGGACACTGGTAAGTGTAGAGCAACACGATAATGCTCTATTTCATTTCCAGGTACGCTTAGTATATTTTAAGTTATATATTTTTTTGTTTAGATCACGCATGTTCAAGGAAGGATTCCAAATTCAAATCAAAAGTTACTTACGAATGAGTCTGATGATTGACCAAGTTATTTTTAGGACACTTTTAACTTTGGTGTTAACCAAGTAGGACGATCGATTCTTGGTTTATTAAAGCCTGTAAATTATTCCGTTATATTCACATTCGTGCTATGTTTTTATTCAAATTCAATCTCAACCCATATATCGAGTGGCAATGATGACCACTTTCCGAAGGTAAGCTAATATAGTTGTTAGCGTAGTTGTAATTAATAATCTCAGCCAATAAACTGGAAACTATAATGAATTTACGAACTCGTTGGAATCCTGGACTATCTCATTGTAGGCTAGGCTACCTGGAAAAATTTAAGGTGTGACTAATTTTGGTGAGACAAAACTATTGCACATTTTACGAAAACCTACAATATTATAATTGTGTTGCATGCCCGGAAATTTTGTAATAATTGTGAAAATTTATTTTTGTGATGGGAAATGTATGCAGTCACCCCTAAAATAACAAGGCAAATATGATTTGTTTTTTTTTAATACAACTGAGACTGACCTGGAAAAGAAGAACTTCTTGGTTCATGCATTCCCGAACTGTCTCACAGGTGAATATTGGTTGGAAGTCCATCCATTGCCTTTCCACTTTCAGCCAAGTTTCAATGGTTAAGTTCACTCTGTCCAATCTCTCACACCACTCTTTCACCTCTCCTACAAGGTAAAATATGAAAAAAGGCAAACATCCACAGATAACTTGGGTCATATCATATACAATCTGCCTCTCTGTCCAATTAACTGTGTTAAGATCGAAGACAAAAAGGTATAGTAAAAGATTAATTCAAAGGTTAACTGTGAACTACCTCAAAGGTTAACTGTGATTTACCTCAAATGTTAACTGTAAGTGACCTCATACGTTAACTGTGAGTTACCTCATAGATTAACTGTGAGTTACCTCATAGGTTAACTGTGAGCTACCTAAAAGGTTAACTGTGAGCTATCTCAAAGGTTAACTGTGAGTTACCTCATTGGTTAACTGTGAGTTACCTCATTGGTTAACTGTGAGCTATCTCAAAGGTTAACTGTGAGCTACCTCAATGGTAAACTGTGAGTCACCTCATTGGTACAATGTGAGTCACTTTGAAGGTTACAGGCATGTAAGTGCTATTAGCCTGAATTGAACCAACCGTGCCTTCTTCAAAACTAAACGTCTATTCTTGTGCACTTTTCATAATAAATGTTAAGTATGGTTATATACATGAGGTAAACATTTATTAGTTACAAATTTTAAATAGTAAATATCAGAACTATTCATCTACCACGTAAGTATCCATTCTTATTTGTATACATTTTAATTGAAAAGTCTATCAAATTATTCACACACTTAAGTATATTGATGATCTTTTAGCTCAGTATGTATTGCATATCCACAGTCTAGCTTGGTGTGCCAACCTTTTTATGCCACAGTGTCATGTGGTGGGACATGACAGGACGTAGAAATTTGTATTGGGAAAGGGGGCTTAAAAAACTGACCACATACCAAAAGGTGAATGTTAAAGATTTAGAAGATTTAGGTGTGTCTACATTTAGAGATGCAAAGGCTTATCCACACAGAGACCATAAATGAAGTACTTATTCAATTAAAGACATTAAAGTAGGTGAGTGGGATTTCATATTTTATTTTATTTTCACACTAAGAAAAAAATTTAACATTTGGAATATTGGTCATTGAGTACTACTCTAATAATTAGCCAAGACATTTTGCAATTAAAAAATTAACGATAAATAGTAAATCACAACAAAAAACAATCAGCATTCTTCAAGAGCATCTTTTTGAAAGCGCTGTGTTGTTTATGTTAAGAAACAAAGAGAATTTAACTAACAGAAAGTAGGTAGTTTACTTAAACTTTTGCTGGAACATATTAAGTATGCCTACCTATGAGTGGCTTCACAAATGCTGAGCCTCTGATTGTCACACATTTTATTAGATGATTGTCGACCAAAGTCAACACTTCTTCCACTTCAGATAAAATTTCTGTTTTTGTGTCACTGAAAAAATACTGTATCGGTAGAGAGTCTATGGCAGCTATGATGGATAAATATTTACATAAATATAAATGTGATGAATATTCATTTGCAACCTGCATTTGACTTTTTTAACCTGTATAACCGATTAACCCCTAGTGGTCAGAAAACCACTACGAGTGGCCACAAGATCCGTAACATAACACAGCCCTGCGGTTAGTATGTGATGCACTATGGGACCAAGAGGGAGTTGCACCCCCCATCGACATTGATTTGAATCATAAAATGAAAATATGCATTATACGAGCTGCACGCCCATCTGCAATATAAAAACGATAATGCTTTTATTTATTTATTTTTTTAGAGGGCCAGGCTTACAAATAACTAAGGGATTGCAGCGCAGCTGGAACAGCTTATGGTGCACCCTCATTCACAGGTCCTCATTCTCCGTCAAATCCCAGGTCCTTTGTGAACCATGAGATCCTTTTGACTATGGTGATCTGTTCTTCCCTTTGATCTCCAGTCGATAGGCCATTACGCGTAGCCGGCCCGAGCTCCAAGGCTACTTTCGGCGTCATAAAACAAAATGGAAAGGCCACTAAGTGTTGCCTTCCCGATGTATAGGGAAGACAAAAAGAGAACGATAAATATGACTACAAAGAGTTAATTAATATATAGTAGATGGATTATCCCTGAAAAACGTTGATAAAAATATAATATTTTTAATTCAAAACATAAATGTTGTATCCAGAATGTAGTAAATATCTTTCATCTGTTAAACTTGTACAGAATTGTGGTTAGTGTGGTGTAATTTTAAGTGATCCAAGAATCAAGAATATTTATTCATTATTTTGTGCTGTACCTACAATACATGCATTAGATGAAAGTCATTAAAAACGAATGGTAGACTAATGAGTTTACAGGCAAGATAAGAGCAAACTTACAACAAGTGTAGTGTAATACATGCAAAATATCACAGTCATCTTAAAAATAGAATACTGTAGGTTTTTTTAAGATGGATAATTTAAAGAAGGATAGTACCTTATTATTCATATAAACCGGAACCTTCTACTACTTTGAATCTGTCTATTGTATATAGAAGATTATTATTTTCACAACTATTTGTATCTCCTGTTTATTTGTAACACTCTTCATCACCACAAAGATAAATAAAGAGAAATAAATTTGAGCAATACTTTGTGTTTACAGAATTTTGATCATCGGAAAATAAAATTGTATTCATAACAACTTTTCATTTTAACTTATTTAAACAGGTCATTCATGACACTTACAGGTAAGGTGTCGAGGTAAAGTAAACTTCAGACCATTCTGCTTTCATTGCACATAGAGTCTGATAAAGTTGAAGTTCCTTACAGGCACTGACGCTGACTATTTCAAATCTAAACAGAAACAGAAAATCATCAGAAACAGTTGGATAGCTTTTTTGCAACATTACCAGTTTCTATCAAAAGATTGATCCATTCAGTTATTGTAGGATTACTTGGTGTTTCAACCCCACCAAATTGTCTAACTGCTTCTGTAACTTAACCATAAACAATATCCCTCTCACAACCCTTCACTTTTTGTTCAACATTAAAAGCAATTCCTCAAACTTCAGTTTCAGCAATATTCTTAAGTCAAACAGCTGTTCAACAGCCAAATCAAAACGGGCACTCTTGAACCACACACATGGGGAGAGATAGCCTTCCAAACACTAAAGTACGCACATCTACCCTTCCGAGAAATCTCATGGTTGACTAAACAGAGGGCAACAACTAAATAACAGCTAACTTGTCATAAATTTGATACCTTTAGAGTGGTAGATGTTTGTATCCTATGCACATTACATGTGTTAACAAATCTATTTGTTCTTTATTTAATTGGTCGATCTTAAAAGGAAGTCCCTCTTCTCGTTTGTCTTCCTCCTTCTCTTTGGGACTTCAGTTGTGTTTAGCCGCACATATGCTTCTGACTACATGAATTTTTAATTTTTTCAAAAATAAAAAAAACATTAGGGTGTGGTGAAGAATTTGCATTGTTACACAGAGAGTTACTAATCCAGTGGAAACCAGCATCTGGATAGTGATGACATGTAGTAAAATAGAATAAAATATATGTACCATTGAGTTAGTTTCCTATTCACTTTTCAAAACCACAAGTAATTAGTAAACAGAATTCTCCTTTACAATATTAACAGACCCCCTCCACAATAAACTTGAAACATTATTGCTTAATTTTTCCTACTTAACCTATTTGATCTACACTATACTTTAAAAAAAATAATAACAAACTAACCAAAAACGTACAGTACACCTCTAAAACTGAATGTCTTGTGACCTGACAATGTTAACAGTTAGCCTTCAGAGCAGCAACTGAACGGTAGTCCACAGTAACTGAGAAATAGTTTTGATACATAAAGTGTAATTCCCCATTCATTGGTTAAGGGAGATTAGACTTCGGGTATAAAGTATGAATTTTCAAATTCTCACTAGAGCAACCGAGTGTGGTAATCCTCTACTCGTCTACTACCGAGAAATAATTACGACACATTCTTCACCTACTGGTGATTTTCATGATTCCTTTATTGAACGAAAGAGCCATAATTTTAACTTTAAGTTTCATACAGTACAAATATAATCAGTGGTAAAAGTGTAAATGCAAAGTCCTTGGACTTTTAGAACAAGTAAAGTGTCACTAATGTCATTTTATCACAGTATTTTTGGATGTGCATCAACGCAGCTTGTACAGTATATCGTACTAGATATCCTAGGTAATATACAGACTAGTATCTTTTTTTTTATAAGTAAGCGGTTGAGTATTTTATTCCATTCAAGCATTATAGGACTGCCCCAACCTATTGTTGACACACTAGAGAGCCATTGAGGCAGACGCTAAAGATTCAGGTACCTATGGTGGGTCATGTGCGGGATTCAGCGTGGTTGACGGGGGAACCCTTTAGGGTTTATGACCTTGTGATGAAACAAAAACTCAAAAACAAAAACATCAAAACTGTTAACACAGTAATTAAATCAGGTAATATTTTTGGGAATCTACAGTATTGCTGGATTAAATCCATGTAGTTTTATCAGGTATGAGCAATGATGATGGATGATGGTACAGTAGCGCTGTTGGTTGTCGGTACTGAGATTACACCTGATTCACACTACCTACATTTTTGTGTATACAAATCTGTGCCTGAGGTGAATTGGATTTTTATAATTATTTTTGAACCCTGGAAACTTCCCAGCTTGCTGAACTGAGCAAACTGATGGCAAAAGTTGGTGACGGTTTTCCCGCAATCCCAGAATACTGTAGTATTATATATTCCTTAGCGAGAGAAACGTCACGGTACATTTAAATCATCATTTAAATCATCAACCAAATATTTAAAATACAGTAGAACCTCGGGCGTGGATCAATCATGGTCAATAGATGCCTCTTAAATTATGTTAAATAACCTCAAAAATCCCAAGAAAATTTTATAAATCGTATTTCTTCAGTCTAATATTGTAAATGCATTGTATATTTAAGTATTTCTGGCAATTTTTATATGCAGTAGGTTCTCCCATTATTGTTTTTGAAACATCACAGTTCATTTGACAAAAATAAATGGAAGCAAAATATATAAATTGCCGAGAGCTTCAAGGTCAAGCAATCGCTTGCACTGACAATCGTCTGCTCCTTACACATTTGTCTGCTGTGCGCTTGCTACCTCACAACAGTTTGTGATTGGGCAATCTGTAACCATTACAGCTTTAGTAGCTGTGATTGGGTCATTAGTCAACGTGGCAACTTTAGTAGATTGCGGTGGGTGAATAAACCATGGCAACTTGTTGAATGTGTGGATGAAGAGAACCCAAAGAAACAATAGAAGAATAAAGAGAAATAAGAAGTGATGTTTTGTCATTGTTATCTTTATCTTATTTTACGACTGTTGTTATTATCTTGATGGCTGGTACCGGTTGCTTACTAATCTAGACTTTGTTTTGTTTTGTTCTTTATCTGATTTATTGCTAATTAAATAATGCTTTAAGTGTTTAGCTATTTTTGTTTTGTTTGAGTTAACAAGCGTGTTTTAACATTACATCTTTTATTACTGAACCAATAGCCCAGTCAATAAATGTTTTTTATCGCAACTAAATGGTGGAAAGCTGGATTTTTTATATGTGATAGAACCACATGAGAGGTGTATTTTCCCAAAAGTCCCCACTTATACCCCTTGAGCTTTCCCCCCCACCCCCCTCAAAACATAGAAATTGCAGTAATTTACTTAATTGATCATAATTTGAATGTTATGTAAGCTATCGAGCTGCAATTTGTTTTGTTTTATTTCTGATTAGTTTTCCTACAGCTTTTGTATTTATAACATTTTTATAAAACCAATACTTAGGGAGATATAAAATTTAAACTTCATTAAAAGCTTTGTTTCAGAGTGCAAAATCTTGTTTTTCTCTATGTATACTTTTAAATATAAATAATACGCAAATATGGTTCATACAAAAGTTTTAGTACGTTTTTCAAGGTTTACAAATATATTATTGGTTAGTCATCTAGGTGACCGGGTGAAGTGCTGGGCGTCGGCAAAGTGAGCGCGTGCGCGCTAGTTGAACACCTCTGCGCTGCGTCATCGCATCTAGCCCAGCCAATAAACGCACCAACTGCCTTTTTTCGTAGCTAAATAGTGGAAAGCTGAGTTTGTTATATGTGATGGAACCACTTAAGACGTGTATTTTGAAAAAAGTTCCTGAATCTCCCCCCCCCACCCCCCCAACCCCCTCCAAACCTGGAAGTATCAGTTGTTAACTTTACTGGATATAATTCAAATACTACGCATGCCATGTAGTGAAATTTGGTTTAGTATTATTTATAATTAGTTTATCTACAACTGTTGTACTAAAGATTTTCTTATAAAACTAAATCCATAGAGATATAACGTTAAATTTTTTTTTATGTTTATGAGTACACAATTTTGTTTTACCCTCTATATATTTTTTCCAAATAAAATACGCAAATTGTTACAAACAAAAATTTTAGTATGTTTCTTAAGGTTTATACATATATATTTGATTAGTCATCAGCATCCGCGCAGCCCCGCCCGTCGATACATAGCCTAATAAGGACCGGCACCGCTAAGTTCTCAACTGTTTTATATAAATCCTAAGACTTCCCAATTTGTAGCCTACATTACTACCAAAACCATCTGTTTCCAAGCTAAACCGTGACTAAATGAATCACCTGACGGTCAGTAAAAATTTTTCGTCGACTCACTAATCCTTGATACAAACTGCGTCCTATCGTTGACATGTCCCTCTCTTCACGCTTCCCGCTAGCAAATAAAATATGGCTGCTCTGCCATGAGTTGTAAGCCTGTGTTAAAATAATATCACGAACAACGTAGAAAACTGTCGGTAGTATTTATAAACCATTTTTAATCATGGTAAGGAACACAAATTAAAACCAGTCAATGTTAAAAACTAACTTTTTTATTAAGACTATATAGAGGAGATTTTAAAACACTTAATAAGCGCCTTCATCTTTATTAGCGATGTTAAACGTTTGCATAATGTCTACCAAAAACCAATAAAGAACTATTATGCTGACTATTTTTTTAGATAACATGAAAACAATAAAATATTAGCGAACAGAACCTCACCAAGATTCACAGTATAGAGTCTCTAAAAATGATTGATCTGGACCACGTATTAGCGCCGTAAAGCAGATTCGTAATACATTGCTGCCAATTTTTACGAAAAAACCTCAATTTGATTGACACATCTACACAGTATGTTAAGAAATTTGAATAATCTGTCTGTATGTATCCCGTAAATAGTCTTGCCTGCATGTATGGGGACACAAATAGTTTTTTACTTACTTATTTATAAATTTTGGATATATGCCTTATTACATTAATTAATTGGAAAGTAAATAAAAGAAAATACGTCTAATAGTCTAACACTTAAAACATAAATTTACACTTATAATGTTACTGACAATACTGTAAATATACATAAAAGATGGTAAGTGGTCGTCGATTTCGATTCGACACTCCAATCATCCACAGACCCATGGGCGAATTGGATCATCTCATCATTGGGTTCAGTATGTTTCTTACCCAGCTTTATGTAATGAAATATATGTATCCATGTATATTATTGTCAATAGGTTTAGCCATTGACAGAAATAATTAAATAAATTATTATTTTAAATGATAAACGAGTTAAAACCAACAATAAATTTAAGAAATGTACAAATGATTAGGTTTCATCTAATTAGTATTTTTTTTCAGTTTATTGCTTAGATCTTTACTGACCGCGAGGCGCAGTTAGTATAAATCTTGCGGGGAACAAAGCGAGTCCCATTGGTGGTAGATAATGGAAATCACATTGTAACGTAAGGATGAGCAAAGAGTATGTTTATAGTGATTTTTAAAGTGTTTATTAGGCCTAGTGTTCTATACCTCAATCTATCAAACTTTCGTTGGTCAAATATGAAAAAAATCAAGTATTAAAAGTATTGCAAGTATAACAAGTAAGTAGGTAGAGATTAATTTACCTGAACCAAAACTGGTTATAAAAAAATTATTGGGTTCCATCTAAATAATAATTGTTTTTACTGTTAACGGTTAAGCTTGGATACAGATTGTTTTGGTAGTAAACTAAAAAGTACAAGGCCATAGCATTTGTATAAAACCTTTGAGAACTTAGCGATGTCGGTGCCTATGACGCGACGCATCGACGGGCGGTGCTGCGCTGCGCGGAAGCCTGCACCCGATGTCTTTGCCGACAATGCCGACGCCCCACACTACATCAGTTTTTTTCAGATGACTAATCAAATATATATTTATAAACCTTAAGAAACATACTCAAGTTTTTTTTTGAAACATTTTGCGTATTTTATTTGGGAAAAAATATATAGAGGGTAAAACAAAATTGTGTACTCTTAAACATAAACATTGTAAAAAAAGTTTAAATGTTATATCTCTGTGGATATAGTTTTATAAGAAAATCTTTAGTACAACAGTTGTAGATAAACTAATTATAAAAAATACAAACCAAATTTCACTACGATGGCATGCGTAGAATTTGAATTATATCCAGTACAGTGAGCGACTGTAATTTCCAGGTTTTGAGGGGGTTTTGGGGGGGGGGGGGTTGGGGGGGGGAGAATCGGGAACTTTTAGAAAATACACGTCTTAAGTGGTTCCATCACATATAACAAACTCAGCTTTCCACTATTTAGCTACAAAAAAAGGCAGTTGGTGCGTTTATTGGCTGGGCTAGATGCGATGACGCAGCGCAGAGGTGTTCAACTAGCCCGCACGCGCTCTCTTTGCCGACGCCCAGCACTTCACCCGGTCACCTAGATGACTAACCAATAATATATTTGTAAACCTTGAAAAACGTACTAAAACTTTTGTATGAACCATATTTGCGTATTATTTATATTTAAAAGTATACATAGAGAAAAACAAGATTTTGCACTCTGAAACAAAGCTTTTAATGAAGTTTAAATTTTATATCTCCCTAAGTATTGGTTTTAGAAAAATGTTATAAATACAAAAGTTGTAGGAAAACTAATCAGAAATAAAATAAAACAAATTGCAGTTCGATAGCATACATAACATTCGAATTATGATCAATTAAGTAAATCACTGCAATTTCTATGTTTGGAGGGGGGTGGGGGGGAAAGCTCAAGGGGTAGAAGAGGGGACTTTTGGGAAAATACACCTCTCATGTGGTTCTATCACATATAAAAAATCCAGCTTTCCACCATTTAGTTGCGAAAAAGGCTGTTTTATTGCATTCATTGACTGGGCTACAAGGTAAATGCAGTGTTTCCCAACCTTTTTCCGTTCAGGGCACACTAACTAGAACAACTTTGGAGTCACGGCACACTTGTCTACAAAATATCATTGGTTAAAATTACATTTAGTAGGTAAGTGGATAAAAAAATCTTTTTTTTTCGATTACATATTACTCTGTATTACCTATTTTTTACTAGTAAATATATATGTGTATATAATATAAAGGTGGGTTTACCAAGGTAAAAAATATAAAACTCACATTTGTTATCCAACATATGGACATTATTTAGTGTTTATTAAGTGGAAAGTTTTAAATAATAATAAAACATTGAGCTTGATTAAAATGTTGTATGAATTTACCAATAATGAGTGAGAAATATTAAATAAACCCTATTTTCAGTTCTAGTGGGAAACTTGTGCTTGACGTATGTTTATTAAAAGTTTCTTTCTTGATCAAAAAATGTTTAACTACTTAACATTTCGCGGCACACCTACAGAGGCCTACTGGCACACTGGTTGGGAAACACTGACTTAACAAATCACGATTGCACAATACTAATTGTATTTTGATGATTAAAAATACAAATTAATCATCATATTAACGTCCATTTATATAGTATTGTATTAGGCGTGACTGAAGTCTTGTGCTCAAACCACTAGACCACCTGTGCCCCCCATACTGGAGATGGTGTTTGTACAAGCTAAGTGAGTCGTGAAACTGTCTATATCGGTTATCTATTGAAATCATGACATAATGTCAAGGTCCTGACATGAACATTTTTATCAAACCCTGCCATGTATCAGCTCAACTTCAGGTTTTATCTTACATTAAGAACTTTAGCGAGACTTACATTAAACAAGAAAATAAGTTTTTTCCAAATTGCCAAATAAATTAGGCCTGATAGCTTTTTTTTAAAGAGGTTGGCGGCCTCTTTTAACCTTGCATTTGCCTGTCCACATAGACTAACTGCCCGTGCGTGGAACGTTTACAGCAAAGCAAGGAGTGAGCCGGTACAGTACAAAGGTGAACTGTACTGATAAATTTTAGTGGCAGTGACCAGGATCCGAACCCACGACATCGCTGCCTTGGGCCCGAAGTCCGCGACGCTACCGACTGAGCCACCGACTCAATAACTACCTACTAACTACTAGCTACTAACTACTTTACTTACGGATCAAGAAGATGCTCAAGATGGTAGCCGATGAATTTGCGCAAGGTAGTTCCAGCATCAGGTGTTACATCAAAACCAGCTATTTCTGATAAATCTTCCCAATGTCGTTTTCTAAGAGCTGAGTTACAAACGATTCCGATCAATCGTAAATTTTGCTGTAACAAGTTTTAGTATTCATGATTTTCAAATAGACCAAAGTAATTCAAATTTGTAGGTATAATCAGTTTAAACAGTTGTATGGCACATAGATAGCTAAGGTATCACATATGTGACTCACCAGCTACTAAATTTGTTATCTGTTTAGTACCACCCAGGAGTACCGGTACTTACTATATTAGTAAAAGGACTGTTTTTTCGGACACTAAAAATATCATCCCCTCTCAAACTGTTCAGTACATATATTCAAGGAGTACCAGTACTATATACAGATTTTTTAGGTTTATTGTTTGATTTCCAAAAGACAAGTGAGGTAGGACTACAATGGCTTAATACCATGGATTTAGATTTGTCAATAATCTTTTCATGAATTTTTACAATTATGTTATTTTATTTTTATGAGTAATAGTTTTCTTGCTTAATTGTGTTACACTGTATACCTTCAGTATCCATGTTTTTAATTTACAGAGGCTAAGAAAGTCCTATTATATTTCAAAATAATTTTTCAGATTTATATGCTAAACTTAAGCTTGGAAATTGTGTTTTACCACAAGATCATCTTGCTCCCGATAGTTTTTTTTCAGTTAGATTATATACAGTAAATGTGTAAACATTGTTCAACATTATTTTGACATTTAAACATTATCCTAGACAGTACTTACCTTAAATTCATTGATGTGGTTCAGTGTTTGGGAGCACAGTTTGAGAGGGGCTGGCCAGTTATTGACGTCAGGATCGTCCACTGTGCCTTTGAACCTCCGAGGATAATTGTCCGTGGCTTGCTGCTTGCACTTTGTCTTGTATGTCTTCTGAGTGCTGGTCAAATCCCTGCAATTGTCAGTTTTGTATGTTGAAATTTTTGACCAAGCGCTCTAACAATTCTCTCTCACAAAAATTTACAGAAAAACATATTATTTTACAGTGTGTCAGACAAGAAGCGCCAATACAATTTTCGATACTAAAATTGTAGTTGAATCTCGATCTGATTTTGCGGTTCTTACTGTAGTTAGTGATAATTATTATTGTGAAGAATTAGTACAGTTCTATGCATTGTTAAATTATTATTGGTTAACTAAACTTAGGTACCTGACCCATTCAATAGAGGTAGGTATAGTTAAATTTAGAATAGATGCTATACTTATCAATATTCAGGCTTACAAGATACAGCTGTTTATGAGAGTTAATAAAGTACAAGTAATCAATAGTTTTTTGTATTATTTTTTTTTTACATTAGAGTGAGTGTAGTAGGTAAAAAAGCTTTGAAATTTGTTTTTATCATAAGTTATTTTAGGTAATTTAACTAGAGATCTGTTGATATCAAAATTGATCAGTTCCCAAAACCAGTACCATTTTTTAACAATTTTACCATATTTATTTATTTATTGAAATACATCACATAATGCCTAAGGTGTGCTTCTGCACGCAGGCAGGTAAATTTTCAAAAGATACATTGTGTACTTACATCTAGTATAGAATAAAAGCAACAAGTATAAAATAAGTTAAGTTATCTAAAAAAGTTATAAGCACAATTTGCTAAGTTATATCAATGCCAAGAAGTTATGTCTACTACAATCAGACTGATAAAATAAAAATGCATCAATGCTGTAAAAACAATTGTCTAACAGGTAAGATAGTAAGTGTAACCAGATGATTCCACCTCTATCAGTGACAAAAGAAGCTTACTATATAGTTTGAGACCCATAAAAAATTCTCTTTCATAAGCAGCAGATTTATGTATGGGGTATTGCAACACAGAGCTCATGGGCCTAAAGCTGTATTGGGAGTTAGTTCTTTTTTTTCAAAAATAGCATAATGTTTTTTGACAAAGATTAACGTGTTGAATATATACAAAGACGGCTACGGTAAAATCTTCATTCTTTTAAACAAATTTCTACAAGATGTTCTTGGACTAACTTATGTGATAACTCTTTTAATTCTCTTTTGCATTTTAAATATTAATTTAAACTGTGGCATTTCCCCAGAACTCATTAGCCAATGTTACCATAGCCAAGAATTTATTATTATAACTAAAGGTAGGCCTATGCCTGAGATTTTTAATCAAGCTGAACTCAAGGTAACATCGTGATCATCTTTGGCAATTTTGGAGACATCATCGCCTCCCACAATCGCGGCAAATTTCCGACCATCTCCTGCAGTTGTGTAGACATCATCATTGACCGCAGTCACAGAAATGTCGTCGTCGTCATTTGCGATTGCGGCAAAAGCCATAATTTTTTGATCGCATGATCTTTGCAGACAAGTCGGGTATGAGTATCAACATAGACTTTTGTCAGTTTATATACTTTACTGTATACTTAATTACTTACTGCTGTGGCCACTGGTACCAAATCCATACATACTTTACTGTATGGCAATGACAAGTGAAATTCTAAATTCACTCTTATAGTTAAGAGAAATGCCTAAACCCTCACAGAGTAATATACATATAAATATACGAGACCTAGAAGACAGATGCAAATCAGACGGAACCAAATAAAATTAAACTCATAACTTCCAAAAATGTTATCAGTAAAAGGAACAAGTTTTACTTACTGGAAGAAAAATGAAACTTGCTCTTCAACAGCTTCTAGAAAAAGCTCATCAAAAGCTCCATCCATCCAGATTTTATGTGTGCGTAGCCATTTGCTACATGTAAAAATTAGCTTGGCAAATGGATGTACAATACTCTGCAAAAAGTTAAAGCAGCGTTAAACAATCATGAGACAATAATACTTTTTTCGGTTCCCCTTGACTCTTAAGTGATATATATACAGTAAGCCCTCATTAAATCGGGTCCCATTAATATGGACTTCCCTTCAGCCTTTTGACAGATTTTTGTAAGGGTTTGAAACAGCTTAGTTAGGAATCTGAATCTGTCATTGTTGTCTAGTTATGTTGCACAATTTAAAGTGCTTCAGCAGTTTACTGTGTTTTAGCAAACTTCCCATGTAGGGAATAAGCTATTACCATGGCCGTCCACACATATGGGCAAGAGGGGGCTCGGGCTCCCCCTTTGATCTCAGGTTAATATTGTTTTTAGATTGTGCACTAAAAAACATTTAAGTTCAATAATACACAAGTATGCTCGTAATACACGCCTAACGCCCAGCAAAGAAGAGGATGTTGAGGTTGGTTGACTCATGAATTCCCCCCTCTCTTACGCCTTGCCTCGATTCTATTTATGGACTCGCCCCTCTCCCCCTTCATCCTTTAGACTTATGCCTTGTTTACTGTATAGCAGTACAAATTGCCCAATAATAAGTAGTGGTTATGGCTTCTGTTCAAGTTACAAGATATGTAAAATGTACCTATGTGAATTTCTCAAAACATGTACTGTTGAGAGATCATTGTAAAAACCTGGTTACCTAGTACAATGGAAGAAGCTTGACTGTCCAGTCTTTGTTTGTTCAAGTTTGCACAGGAACAGAATCAAGGCAAAGAAATGAGCACATTTTGTTGATGAAGTTTTGGATGTGTTTGCTCAAAATAAAATAAATTTACAGTTTCTGTTTTCTGATTAGTTCTATGGTAATAGTAATAAAACGTTTTTGTAAACACTCCAGGCCAGAATGTTACACTATAGCTAGAGTGCCACTGCTACAGGATTACCAATTAATTTTTCGTCTAGTTACCACTGTGTATATGTACACACTACAGTTACTGATTTTGTTCCAATTACAATAATATCATTAAACCTAATGTTATTTCAATAGGGAACAAATCTGACATTTTTTTGCAAATACTTGAATGAAAATCCAATTAAGCAAATGAAAAATTCGCTTATTCTACAGGTTTGCTGGGAAGGGGGTATTTTAAATTTAGGATATTATATTAAAGCTATTTCTGTAAAACTTGATTAATTATATGCCAACCGTTATCCAACCGTTGTGAAATATGACTGCCTTTCTTTATAATGAGTTTATTTAGTTTAATCCGAACTTTTATTAATTCAGTTGACTTTGTAAATTATTCCACTTAAATGAGGGTTTACCGTATATTTTCCAACTGGTGGTATTAACTCAGGTATAATGGGAAATTTTCCTTTTTTCCATAAATTGCAAAAGTATGTAATATATATATATGATTTTGTGGTTTAATGAATTTACGGAGATCAGATTTATAAAATATACAGGATTTATTTGTAGGATTTCTATGTCAGAAGTAGCCATTTAGATTATAGTGTTGGAAATATAATTGTAAACTGTTCCTGAAAATTATAAATTACAAAGCTTTCATAAAATCTTATTTTATATAATTACAATCACATTATTTTATGTTATATTATGTTATATTATGTTATAAATGTTATTATGTTATATTATGTTATCAATCAACTACATAATCCTGGGTTTACTTTTGAGCTACTTTCTCTTGAGGCTATTTTTTTTTCTAACAGTTTAGCAAAATGTGACAGAACATTTTTCTCAACTTATTCTCCACACAAATCAAACTTCAACAACCAATTGTCATTACATAATCAGTACAGTTACCTTCAGTTCATCCAACTCAGGATATGTAGATATTGGAAACTTGAACAAGACTTCTTCATTGTTGATCCAGCTAACGACTCCGTCAAACTGTTCCAGCCTCCTCAAGAACTTTTGAATAAACTAATAGACAAAAATAAATAAGTTTAGGCTTACGTTGATAGTTCAAGTTTATAGCTTATCTTTTCTATATTCAACATGTACTGTAATGCAATACTTGTACTGTTCAATAGCAATAAAGATTATTATTTACTACATAACAAGTAATGACATTTTACCTGGACATACTCAGCAATCTTGTTGACATCGTCCATATTGCTGAGAGAAGTAAGAGATGGCCCAACATCTTCCAACTCCTTATTGAGCTTCTCCGTACTCCTCTGTAGCCTTTCCTCCAACTCATATTTTGTGTTCTCAAACAGCTGAAATAGTGTCGTCAAATAGAAAAGAAATTAACTTTTTCATTCCCAAAATGAGTTACGTATAACTATTTATACAAAAAATCTATAAAGTCCTGTTAATTTTTCTATGTATCATTTGAAATTCATTGAAAAGATGGCTGTAAAATGTTAGGTGCTTAGCACCTTATGATTTTCAAATATCTATGTTCACTAGACGTAACTGCTGTTTGGTTGGGTTAGACTGCTAGACTACTTGTTATTAAACTATCATTTGTGTATAACCTAATGAGTTACATTTGCCTCAAAGAGTCTATGAACAAATTAAGGGGAACATGTCACATTGACTAAATGACTCACAACTATTGCACAAATGATGCACTATGCCTTCTACATGCATGGATTGATGAAAAAGCATTGAAAGAGAAGTCATTTTATGAGCATAATGGTCTTTTGGCTGACTCTTTTTGCCTTTTACGAGTTAGAAAAAGCCTCAAAGATGGATATTATTGCAATTCATAATTTTGAAAAATTGCCTTTTTAGTTTATCTGTGAATGCATAATTTGTTAAATAAAAGGGAATGTGAGCCAAATGGAACCAGCTAACCAAACATATAACATATAAGTACTATCTGCGAGGGACAAAAAGTCCCTTGACCTAGAGCGATACACAGCTATGTTTGGAGGTTATCACGCACTATTTGCAGGCGCTAAGCATGCATCGGCACCTTGCCTAGATATGTCCGAAAAACAACTGTTGTAAATAATTACTCCTATCTTAGTTTTGGTAAGTGGATGATCATCATGTGGTCACGTCATTTGATTCAATGCAGTCTCGAGTGTTCGTGAAGTGAATTTTGTTTTGTGTTGGACATTCCTTGCAGCTATGGATTTAGGAGACATGGTGTGACTACTGACTAAGCAAAGTGGAGAGAGGGATTTAATTAGATAGGTGATTGAGTGTTGTGACAATTAATGTAAAGACAACAAGTTATTAGTCCCAATAGAAAAAGCAACAGAACGTGCCGCAAACTATTATTAAGTGTCAGAAAAAGCTATTAGAGGCCGGCAAACAAACTCCGGATGAAAAAATGTGTACACCCGGGAAAAAACTAAAAAAATGCAAGAAGGCTAACCACTATAATATACAAAAATAGATAGTTTTCATAGGCCTGTAATCGTAAATATAGTTTTTTACAAAAACAAAAAAATATCCCTTTGTGTAAAAAACAATTACCTGTTTTGAGAGCAAGAATTAATTTTAAATGGAGCCAATGGGCACTTCCGTGTCTCTTGAAATAGGCTATATGGAGTCTAAGTGGAGGAAATGTGGTTCCAAAAGAAAATGTTTGATTGAAAGACATGACATTGTCAATTGGAGGTTTAGTATTTGCGAGAAATAAAAAAGCTAAGGGAACAAAAAAAGAAAATTTTCTATCTGGACGAAACTTGTATGGTCAATAATTTAACGTTCCAGAAATGTTGGCAAAGTGTAGACATCGATGGAACGATGTGTAACATCGTTCAGAAATGTTAGCACTACTAATTAGGTCTCTTTAATTAATAACTTATTTGATTCAATATTTCATTTTTTAGGGAACTAATTATGAATAAAACTCTTAATTTTGTGAAATAATGTGTATAATATATTTAAATATAGGCCTACTTTAAAATTCGTTGTAAACTCATGTAAAATGGAGGAATAATTTTAAAAGACTACTGTAAAAATTACATGGTTTGACTTTCAAAATTTTACTTTTTAACAAAGTTTTTGTTCTGCAAAATTACAAAACTTTATTTTTGTAAATTTATTTTATTTTTGCACTACGTTATAAAAATTGCATTACGTATACAATTACATACACAAAATAAAAACTAGCAGAGCAAAGTGAAAGACAGTTCTGATTGTCGCGTGAAACGATCAAGTGTAACACCTTTTAATTACGAATAAGCTGGAGCTCAGGAGACTTCTTTACTCTCGCGGACACTATAAGTCCACAGCACTCCCAAAGATACTCATGAACTTAACCTAGTTCAGTTCTTATAAAATAAATTAATTATACTTCCTTCACAATATTTAGGCGGATTTAACAAGGGGAGTTTCCCCACCACGTTTGGTTTTAATGTATGTTGCTTAATCAGCTGTTGAGTTATTATTTTAAAGGTAAGGGTCAAGTGGAGGGGGTAGATTTCTTCCCCTAAAACCGCATAAATATTGTGAACAAAGTATAGTTAAAAGGTTAAGCTTCTCTTACGTCATTGTACTCCTGAAATATAGGCTTGATCTTGTTGAGCCAATTGATGACCCTTGCGTTGAGGTGTAGCTGCTCTTCACTTAGACTGGTGAAGTCCATGAGACGGATTGCTAGCTGGATGGATCCCAGGATCCGGCTCTTGACCTTATCCATGAAGGTCGTACGACAATACTTGATGTAGGAACCCATCGCTACAAGCTCCTTGGTCTTAACAGGCATGTGGAGGGTTCGCTCAGCTACCATTTCAAACTCACTGCAGATTCTAGCCAACAAAACAATTATAAGAATACAATTTATTTCCTACAATCTTTTTACACTAAACAATGTAACAAATGAACATATGTAAAGAACACTTCTGATGATACTCTACAAACTGTCCATTTCCATTGTCAGACTAGCTGTAGAATGTATACAGTAGACACCCTCTTAACCGACCCTAATGGGACCGGACCTAGGTCGGATAATTCAAAAGGTCGGTTAAAACAGGCAATCCTTAAAAACATGACATAATGAAGTTCTATTCATTTGGTATTATATAATCATTATTTTGAAGTTGTTCTTGCATTATTTATAAAATAAACTACACTTATCTCCTTTTTTCACATTGATAGAAAAGTCACAAATAAACACAAAACCCGGTTAAGTCAAATACTTTACTTTCAATGGAATAAATTATAGTTGTAGGTAAGAGTCAACAAAAAATCTTATTTTAATAACTTTAGTACTGTAATATTATATTGATGCTTTCCAAATCTATCGAAATACAGTACAGAGTTTTTTTGTGGAAATTAAATATACAAGCAATCACTTTGTTATGAGACAGGATGTTTATTTATAGCCTCTAACTGGAGGCTCGAGTCACAAAACCAATCTTGACCTTGGAGTCATTAACCCTCCTTCCCTGCCCTCCCTGCAAGTTATGTTGTTTGATTACTCTAGCGATAAGATAATCAATCAGTTATCAAAATCGTAACGCACTTTACGATTTTATAAATTTGCCGCACAGATAACAAATCAGATGTGCTCGCGCTACGAATGATGATGACGAACTGGCAATATGCAATATTTTTTTAGATAAATACAAAATAACTTTTTCTTAGTCACATCCTGTAGAGATAAGCATATGGTTCCCATTGCCGAGCATGGGAGCGGAAATGCCAAGCTTCCTAGAAAGCGGTGGTTAAACCAAACTGCTCTTAAAGCAAGGTTGATTAAAACAAACTGTAATATTTTAAGATTGAGGGCGGATAATCCGATTAATCGGTTAATGCGAGGTTGGTTAAGAGAGGGTCTATTGTAGTTGTAAATTAATTTACATAAAAGAAAACTTCATATTAATGCAAATAAATATTTAACATGTTGTGTCAAGTTTCAATGAGAATGGAGGAAACATATGGCATCCAAGGCAAAACCATAATAGAAGTTCCCAACTGTGACGCAAGCGCCACAGCTTCATGGCGTAAGGCGCTAGCATGCCGTTCAACCGGTCCTTTTTCTTGGACCAATTTTTTTCTAAGCTCAGCCGGCTCGCCTCTTCTCTCGCCCCTGTCTGCCCGCTGCCGTGATTTTACAAACTTCGAGTCTTCAAACTTCGTACAGAATGATCAATAATCAAGCTAAGTTAACTTATTAGTTTTAAGTAAAATATAAAAATATGTTAGGCTAGAAGTAAATCTCAGGGGGGGGAAGCCACTGGCTTCGCAGGTACGCTGGAAAATGTAGTAAATAACTATCAAGTTTGATTCCGCCTAACGGAATCAAACAATCCTTTTCATGTTTCGAAGCCACATGTTCCAAGAGATTAAGTTGCCGGTAAGAGGGGTTGCTTAGTTCATCTACCAGTTACAATTCAACCAATTCTTGCTTCAATCAGGTTTTTCTTATATATATTTATATATTAGTTTGGAAGGTGTCAATCAAAATTAGGGTATTTAAGTGTGTTAGTTAAATAAGTGTAATCAAAGCTGGCTTGGACTGTCTTCCTGGTCTGGGTAAAAGGTCCAATTCTCTGGGCCCCCCCATCACACATTTCCAGTAATCCAAAGAAATACTGACAACCAGAATAGTTTAAAACCATATCACAAGATTACCTACACCACACAACTCTACTAACAACCACAAAATTAATATCGGGGAGATGTAAAATACAAAAATGTGAAAACAAAAACGGTCTCTACAACAGAACTTAAACTAAATGTGTCCGAAAGAAACTTAACTAAAAGGTTTTTTTAAGGAAATCTTTTTTAAGTTTTGAATCTTTGAAACCAAGAACCGCACTTCACCACCGGCACTGGCACCTTCCCGAAAGCTTGCCTCCGTAATTGGTCTCCTCGAGTGCCGTCTGCATAGTATGCATAAGTAACTACTCTATGGTACTCTATGGTACTCTATGGTACTCTATGGTACTCTATGGTATGGTGGACTCTGTATGGTGAAGATCACTATAGTGAACCCTTAAGTTAACTCAAGCTTAATTATACTCGTAATTGTTTTAGTATTACAAAGAGTGATGTTTCTTTCTAAAAATCGGTTTCTTTAAATTAAAAATGTTTTGTTTGATGAATATTTCAGATTCTACTTAGTGTATTATAGTGTTGTATCATAACAGAAGGTTTACTTGAATAAACATTTACTATTATTAAAGTTTAGTCATATTATTAGCTACTTATGAATCAGAGTAACTTCACTGATGGGCTATGCAAGAAAGAATATTTGTATTTTATACTGTCAATTAATAAATTATTTGCTTCTTTTTTTACTTGACAATCTATGTAAACAGTAAATTACTTTGACAAATAAAATCATACTCAATACTCATTTCAAGGTGAATAATGGCAAGGTGAAACAAATTATGATGCATACTACTTTACAGAGGAGTGCAAAAGTAGGTGTTCAATAACAAAATGATTATTATAAGTTAGGTTTTATTTTTTATTTTACAAACAACAACAAAAATGCTTTAATACTTTAATACTTTTCAATGAAATGGCAACCATACAAAGTAGGTATTTTAAGCCAAGTATGAACGGAGATGAGTGTAGGATGAGTAGCGCGATTTTGTAGTCTTGTTAGTGACTAAGGCCGACTTATTCCTTAGACACAGCTGTTAATTAATAGCCCATACAGCTAATGGGAACTAAGGGGCCTACAGCTTATAGAGGAATCCAAACCACATTTTTGCCTTGGTATATACAAATTGAAATGGGTCTAATTTTCAGGATAGTACTGTGGATAGTCATAGTACTCATTCGTGTGGACGTTAATCCACACCAGGGAGTATCGCATCCACAGTGCATGCCTATAAATATCCACAATTCATAACCTCCTATTAGCTGGATTACAGGACGACGCCACCCGTCCCAGTTGCTGATGGAAATGGAAAAGTAGTCTTTTTTACATGCACAGTAATGAAGAACTTGAAAAGGTAATTATGAGGACTGTCTGTATGTCTGTAAATAAGGGCCTCCATTAAGCTCTTGTTGCTAATTCTGAAACCTGTGTCATGCACTTTACTTCATCAACTACTTTTTTTAGCTGGAACATAGCCCTAGGCTCATCATAGAAGCAGTAGCTAGTTCATAATAGCGGTAAGTAGTTCATCCTAGTTTGTGATGTGATGAAGTTTGAAGTTTTTAGTCAAGTATGAATCGTGCTCTGCGAATAGGTTTCTGTGGGAAACATCGGTAGCTCGTAGGAGACTTTAATTTGATGACAACCATTGTACTACCAACCAACCACAACTGTATTTTTGCACCCCTCTGTATGGAAGCCAACCAACTCACAAATTACCAAACATCTAATGAAAACGCAACAAACTAACATACACTAGAGCTAAACTTTTTCAACGTTTAAGATGTATTTATTCCTTTTAATTTTCATGCTCACCACCATGAGGCTTTTTTAATTTAGGGATAAAATAAGTCTAATAGCTACTGCATTTTAGGTTCCAACGTTCCAACTTCCAACACATTTTTAGGAGTTAAACTTACTTTTTATTTTCATTTATCTGTTGGGCAGAAATCTCTTGCAGTATTTGGGACATAAATCCATTTGCTACTTTGTTTAGATAAGTAATCACATCACTTTGTGATAGCCTGAAAAAGTAAATTTTGATTATAATTATTCGATATAGGTAGACATGGATGAAGTGATTATTGTAGAACTCTGATTATCCTAGTCAGGCTGATTTAGACAGTAGAACTTGAAATGGATCAGACAAGTTCCTTAATCAATCATGAGTCTGTGTGGAGCTTTTAAACTCAGAAAAAAAAATTAATGATTAATTTAGATAATGATTAATATGCTTAGAAATTTTGTCTGTGCAACAAAACATGTAATCCACTGATAAATTGGAATAATTGTTGGACTATTTGACTGAGGTACTTAAACTTGTTATTATCAAGTGGACTCACTCGACACCACAAACCAGAATGTTAGATTTTAAAGAACCAAAATAGGACAATGGTCACAGATATTGTAAATAGCACGTGGTTGCTGACTGGTAACAATATGCTTATTTATAATACTTATTAGAATTTAGAATTTATTTATTTATTTTCTTTAAAAAATAAATTTTTCCCCTATATTGTTATGCCACCAATTAGTATTACAGTCAATCCCCACAAATGCATCAATTCAGAGACTATGCTGGGGTAAGAACCCTCCAGTACCCAGCATAAGATTTGTTAGCCATGATATAGAAAACAAGAGTCACAAAGCAGAAACCTTATTTGCAAAATAAAATCCATTGATAGTAAAATCATATGGGAAGTACTATGGTATATATTGAAGCGATGACATTTTCAAATAAGAAGATGGATATGGTAGTCATGCATCATGAGACCTAAACTTTCATCAAGCAAGTGGAAGTACGGCAACAGACAGTCAGGAACAGTAATAGATTCCGAGGAATTGGTTATCCCAAGCTTGACATGGTGGGTTAAATAATGTAACCATAATTTAACGTTTAGAATGTCATCAATTCCCAACTATGTGACTGATTGGCAATGATTTAGTAGAGTAATGAACTCAATCTGTTAAACCTACCTCAATGCAAAATTTAATGGCTAATAATTCATTACATGTTAAGTATGTAAACAACATTTATAAAATCATTCTACTTGACCTTACGACAGTGAAATATTCTTTATACACCATTTTCTTCACTTTTCTTGAATACATCTTTAGGTAAGAAACCTTTTCAAACATTTCTTCATAGCTGTGTTTTTCTCTGATGAATGTTTGAATTTTTTGTTGCTCACTCTCTGAACATAAGCCAGAAAATTCCTCTCCTAAAATAATAATAATCTAACATTATTTAAACATAAAAAAAATTATATACAGTAGAATCCCGCAAACTCAACACTCGATAACCCGGCAGTCTGGACAACTCGGCCATCACCTGGCTCAGAAAATTTGTGATTTTTGAGTCCGAGTTAAACATGGACTCAAATCAAATCATTCGCAGCTCATACGAAGGATTTGACGTACTATCTCTGATAGCTTAATACTAACTTGTATTATAAATATAAATAAAAGAGGGAGTTAATAACCTTAAAAATTTTATGGTTATTATTTTTGACCCTAGTTCCTGATAACCCGGCATTTCACAAACTCGGCACCCTTCCAGTCCACATTACGCCGAGTTTGCGGGACTCTATTGTATTTAAAAAAAATTTTTAAAATCTTAAAGGCTAACAGATTTTTGTTTTGTTTAGGGGGGATGAATATCACATAGGCTTCTGAGCTGTGAATAACGTAAGCTACCAAACTGTCTTTCAGCTCTAGATTGTTAACATGTCTTTTAATGAATATGAGTTTATTTGTACAGAAAACATGAGTTAAGCTAATTGTACTTTCAAGTGCATATCACAAATGCCAACGCATACATTAACTAATTCATCCCATATACTTTTGTCATAAAATTTTACAAGAAAGTAGGGATGGACGGGTCCCGAAATTTCAAGAATTTTTCGGGAAAAAAATATTCCCGATTATCGGGACGGGATTACATTAAACTCGGGAATTTTTCGGGACGGGATTTGGTCCGATCGTCGGCGATTTTTCCGCTTCGCGAGTGCCGATAACGCCGTTATTGCGAGCGATAGGTCCGCGAACGCAGGACCCGAAGTCATTTCGACGATTACGCCGTGACCGCGGAGTCATAACGATGATCGCGCCGTGGCCGCGATTATTGGACCGACGATCGCACCGTGACCGCGAGTCATAACGATGATCGGGCTGTGACCGCGGAGTCATACCGACAGTCACGCCGTGACCGCGGAGTGATAACGACGATCGCGCTGTGACCACGAGTCATACCGACGATCACGTTGTGACCGCGAGTCATACCGACGATCGCGCCGTGACCGCGAGTCATACCCACGATTGCGCCGTGACCGCGAGTCATACCCACGATTGCGCCGTGACCACGAGTCATGACGACGATCGCGCCGTGACCGTGGGGTCATACCGACGATAACCCCGTGACCGCGAGTCATGACGACGATCGTGCCTTGACCGCGGGTCATGACGACGATCGCCCCGTGACCGCGAGTCATGCTGACGATCGCGCCGTGACCGTGAGTCATATCGACGATCGCGCCGTGACCGCGAGTCATGACGACAATCGCGCCGTGACCGTGGAGTCATACCGACGATAAGCCCGTGACCGCGGAGTCATACCGACGATCGCGCCGTGACCGCGGAGTCATACCGACGATCGCGCTGTGACCGCGGAGTCATACCGACAGTCACGCCGTGACCGCGGAGTGATAACGACGATCGCGCTGTGACCACGAGTCATACCGACGATCACGTTGTGACCGCGAGTCATACCGACGATCGCGCCGTGACCGCGAGTCATACCCACGATTGCGCCGTGACCGCGAGTCATGACGACGATCGCGCCGTGACCGTGGGGTCATACCGACGATAACCCCGTGACCGCGAGTCATGACGACGATCGTGCCGTGACCGCGGGTCATGACGACGATCGCCCCGTGACCGCGAGTCATGCTGACGATCGCGCCGTGACCGTGAGTCATATCGACGATCGCGCCGTGACCGCGAGTCATGACGACAATCGCGCCGTGACCGTGGAGTCATACCGACGATAAGCCCGTGACCGCGGAGTCATACCGACGATCGCGCCGTGACCGCGGAGTCATACCGACGATCGCGCCGTAACCGCGAGTCATGACGACGATCGCGCCGTGACCGTGAGTCATACAGACGATCACCCCGTGACCGCGAGTCATGACGACAATCGCGCCGTGACCGTGGAGTCATACCGACGATCGCCCCGTGACCGCGGAGTCATACCGACGATCACCCCGTGACCGCGGAGTCATACCGACGATCGCGCCGTGACCGCGAGTCATGACGACGATCGCGCCGTGACCGTGAGTCATACAGACGATAACCCCGTGACCGCGGAGTCATACCGACGATCTCGCCGTGACCGCGAGTCATGTCGACGATCGCGCCGTGACCGTGAGTCATATAGACGATCACCCCGTGAACCGCGAGTCACAAGTTTCTATAGGTACCTGTAAATTGTTACCCATTTTTTTGTTTTTATAGATCATTGCCACAAATGGTAAAAATTGATTTCGTATGTCTTTTTTGGTAACTGCAATACAGTACTTTCTTTTTATGCACAGAAAAAAATCCCGTCCCGAAAATCGGGAAGGAAATAAAAATCCCGTCCCGTCCCGTCCCGAACTAAAAATTCAATCCCGTCCATCCCTACAAGAAAGTCCACACAAGAGTGGGATAGTTTATTATTCATATATCCTTATTCTTATTAAATCATGAAGTATTAAAGGAATGTGTCATAATGTGACTAGAAAAAAAAGAACATATTTCTTATCTTCTTACAAGCAAAGAACTAACCGAGCGCTTTCATGTAGTCTCGAACAGGGGTAAAGAGCTGGTATAGGTTGCCTTCAAGAGCCTGGTGCGAGGCTCTAAGGAAAGACTCACTGCGCTTCACAGCTATAAACTTGTTTGGACATGGGACAGCAAACCAAGCCTCCATAGCTGGCATATCCTGGGCCATGTAGGAAATCTGAAAATGGACAAGTCTCCCATGAGGATAAACACGTATTTGTAGATAAGATCAAAATCTTTGTCAGTACTATACTTTGTTTATGTCCCTGAAAATTTACACAGTTGGACCAGAAAAGGTTTAGAAATCTTTGTAGCTTCTTGGAAATATCTTTCAATACAAATATAAATGTATTTTTTTATCCTTTCGGCAACTATGTCATCTTCTTTGGATCTTTTTCAAGATTATTAAGTTTTGCTTCATGAGGTCGTCGAAACATTGAACTTGCTAAAAAATCATGTCACATATTTAACACATGGGATAAATACTGTGGCTAAAGAGACACACTGCTTTGGTGAAGTTTGATTTAGAATATAAAGTACAGTACATTTTCCAGCACATATTAATGAAACCAGTCGCAAGTTTTTAATACTTTATTTAAAATCCTTAACTTTTGTAACAAAGGCTCTTACATGGACACTGGAGAGACATTTGAAATTTATAAAGCCTCAATTAAATATCCAAAAACAGTCTGCTAAATAAGTTTTAAATCTAATGAATTGTTTGATATGCTGCTCAAACTACAACAGTGATAACAACAGGTTACAGAATCACCTGACAGAATCAAGGTATCCTTTAATTTATACGTTAAGGGGATTCCAGACTAAAATTTCAAACAAAAATGAAACGTATACCAACTTTTGTAAGGTAGTGTGTTTAACTGTCACATTTGTGTCTAATAACGCTTTTACTATTCTAACTTGTTTCACTAAAGCTAGACCAGCTTCATTAATAAAATGTTTGACTGATGTTTTTAAGTTTCAAAAGAACACTAGGGTTGCATAAAGTTTAATTTTGGGTTATAATTTAATACTGATGTTACAAACTAGAGTTCTCCTTTCGGCCATCTATATTTTTGCTTTTAACTTATGTGTTTGATGTAGCATATGAATAGGAAACAAAGATCTATAGTTTGAGAAGATTAAAAAATTAAGATGGTGCAACCACGCTCCTTCCCTTTCTTTCTAATGTATCTTGATTCTCTTTTTTCTTATTCCACATTAAAAATTGTCTATCAGTTAGCAACTGTATCAGTCTGTCTGATAACTATTATTTTGCTAAACCTTCAGTTTCTATCAGTGATCAGTTTCCATTAAAGTCCTTTTGATGGGATTCCACTATCGTAACTACAAAGAAATATTTGATATCATAGTAAATGGCCTTAGGGTATCATACAGTATAAAATTTTATCTATCTTGTGCTTTAAACTGCTATAAAAGCTCACAGTTACAACCACAACTTAACTGGCATCAAACATAAGGGAAAATGTAACTTGTACACTTACAGTATCAATAATTCTATGAAAACTTATAAAGATTTCATCCTCCGAAGGAATCATTGCAACATTACTTCCTTGGAAATATGCATCAAGGTTGAGCTGAGGAAATGTATTGGCATCTGACAAGGTTTCTATGATGTGGCATATTGTCCTCTGCATCAATTGAGTGATCTGCAACAAATGAGTAATGAAAATGATAAATGAAGAGTATGAAATATTTGTTGGAATGTTAAGTACAACTACGGCACTAATTACTAGCAGCTAAATATACAGGGTGTTTTTTTAAGTGTGCCACCATTGGGATCTCAGTAACTAATGATTTTACAGCAAACTTTAAATGGGGAACATTCTCTTGTTTTTAAAGAGGTTCAAAAATAGTTAAATAAAATTTCTGTAAATGGCCGCCATTTTCCAATATGGCGGTCAACTTTGAAATTTCTTATGGAACACCCTACATTTTATCATGTTTTCGGATAGAACATGCAATTTAAAAACTTTTTTATTCTTGACATTTCTTCGATAAACCCACTCGTTTAGGAGTTTATTTCAAAAATGGCGGCCATTTTCCAATATGGTGGCAAACTTGAAAAGTGGAAAACGGTGTATTTTATGGTCTTTATGGAATGTGGATGCAATTTTAAGACTTATTTGACTTATTTACTCTTTGCATTTTCGCTATAAACCTACTTGTTTAGGAGCCACATGATGTAAAATGTACACCGGAAGTCATTTTTCCATAGGCTGTAACTCCTAAACGAGTGGGTTTATCGAAGAAATGTCAAGAATAAAAAAGTTTTTAAATTGCATGTTCTATCCGAAAACATGATAAAATGTAGGGTGTTCCATAAGAAATTTCAAAGTTGACCGCCATATTGGAAAATGGCGGCCATTTACAGAAATTTTATTTAATTATTTTTGAACCTCTTTAAAAACAAGAGAATGTTCCCCTTTTAAAGTTTGCTGTAAAATCATTAGTTACTGAGATCCCAATGGTGGCACACTTAAAAAAACGCCCTATATAATGCAAGAAAAGTTTATGTAGACGACGTTTTGTTGTCAACGCTTTGTTGTGGTTTAACTTATTTTTAGACAATTCAAATAAAATAAAATGATCTCAATATTAGTTCACTCCAAACATTAGGCCTACTAAAATAAAACCCATATGAAAATAGGCTATAGATGATACAATATGTTGAGAAGTCTAGTTGTACTATCAAAGTTGATATTACGATGTCAACTTTTTTCTAGCACAGTTTTAATGGGTTCACACAAACAAATGATAGGCTAGTGGATTCCGCTAGTAGATCACATGACAACTAGCAATATCATTAGCTAATATAAGCTAATACAATATGAAAAATTGATTTGTTCGCCTATGAGAGAGACTTGGTCCCCATTAAAAATGTTGCTATTAATATTGTAAATTTTCAACTTGCCACTGGTGTTCAGGTTTCGATGATAGTCCAAGAAGAGAAATCGTCAAGAACTCTTTACAATAAACTGAGCTTTGATGCATTAAAAATAAACGCCATCAAGAAATAAGTGAATACAGGAAGAATACTCGGGAAACAAAACTAAATGTTGAGGAGACACGTCCCATGGTATCAAGACCTCAGGCAAGTATGTCCCAGCATGCTGTTGAAGATGCTACATCCAGCAACTCCTGCCCAAGACCAGTGGAGTCAACAACGGGTGATAGTGAGAGGCAGTCAGAGGCAACATCAGTGTCCAATGAGTGTAAAAGCCAGTCTGTATTCCACCAACAGTGTTCTCTTCCTAAGCCTTCCAGCACCTCTACTCCTTATTCAACTAAAATTGATGTCTAATGCCATCTATTCATGGAAAATAGCTATGCCTAACTTATAAGGGGTCTGAGAGACTTGTTACAGTTCCAATTAGTATGATATTTCTTATTTATACTTCTAAAATATATCGAAGCATATATTTTTTCTGACAGCGTGTTGCTATTTTCTAATCAATAGACTTCACTGCAATAACTAATCCATAGGTTACAGTTTTAACCCTCTAACGTTGTATGTGAGGTGTTTGGGAATCATAACACCACAAAGCTGGTGAATTCATTAAACAACCCTCTTTCATTGAACTGATTTGTTCGAGGGATTGAACAATTTGAATTTACCAAACAAATTTAAAGGGGCTGGGTCTGAATAGCTATTCCACAAAAGCATTTTTGTTTGCTCTGAAAAAATACCCCTCATTGGTTAAGAAGAAGGGAGGAAAGGGAAGATAATCGTAGGTGTCATACCGAAGCCCACTGTTTAACCCTTTGGAGACCAATTGCTGATCTAGTGGTCAAGTCCTGCCAATCACCAAAGGATTTGATCTAAGTGATAGGGCTGTGAAACTCTAGATTGAACCTGAAGTAATGTAATAACGAAGCAGGGCTAGGGCCTAGCGTCCTAAAATGTCAAGGTGGGGACAAGGGCGGTTCCAGGGCTAATTCTCGGAGGGGCCATTCTATCAAGGGTGTGGGGGGTATTCTAATTCTAGGCCAGCATGGCCATAACTACCGGGGGGTTTGGGGAGTATGGAATACCCCCCATTGCCTCATTGTCCTCCCCCGGAAATTCGTGAAAAATTATTCTTAAAAAGTCGACATTTTAAGCATTCTGACGAAGAAAAAGTTTAATCTCCTGTAATCTGAAAATGAGAGTTTAAGTGCAAAACTTCCTTTTTTCATTGATAAAACTATTTCTGTCCTTACTGGCCCTGTAATTTCACCTATCTATTTTTAAATGTTTTTGTTTCATAATTTTGACTAGCATTGTGTATTCCTTCAACAATGATTGTTTAAGAAAATAAAAAAGTTCCTCGCTTACTACATTTTTGACGTTTTTAGTGGTGTTAAAAAACGACCATCAATCTTAATTTGCCTAAATAAACTATAAAAAAATATGTTTAAGTTCAAACTAACTGCACAGTAATAAGCACTGTCTTTAAAAAAACGAATAAATTTGAAATCTGTGTGTTAAAAAATAACTGTTGCAGAGCAGGTTGAAAGAATGTATGTTTGTGTAAAAGACAGAGGTTCATACGACCCGCTGGCCTCAGACAACTCAGTGCGCCAGTATCCAGGGGAGAATTAGATTAAGCATACTCCGTATTAAGTTATAATATAGATGGTATCTGTTTGACATTTCCCAGCCGGGCAGGTGCGCGTGCTACACTGCGACGTTGTTGATGTTTACACTTGAACGCACATGTCTACGTGAGTGAATCAACGAGCGTAAATACTCTGTAGAAACGTCAGTGTGGTAATCAGGTAGACATTGGCAACGTCGCACTCGTAGTACTGTAATGGCGGTTGCTCAATCTTAAGTCTAGACTAACCTAACTTAGAAAACAGCTAAGCAAAGCTTAAGCCTTAAACGCTTCCATTACTTACCATTATAATTTTGTCATTTGCTTGTGCTTAAGTGAAGGGATGCACATAGGTTCAATCTTGTAAGACTGTACAGACTTGTAAGAATATGGGTGTTACTAACAAAAAACCCATAACAAAACAAATACTTAACTGACTACTGAGCCACTACGACTGACGACGTGACGAGGGCATAGGATGGCGGGAAGCGGGGATGCGCACGGCAATTTTAAGGCAATTTTTCAAATTAAAGCTTGAATTTAAAAAATTTTTTAAAAATCTGATTCTCGG